TTCTGGGATAGTGTAAGTTTTAACAATAAGCAACGCTTACTATTCCCATGCCTTTAACCTTCATAGATTTCCAAGAGACTCCCGGGTATACAGTGCTCAGCAAAGCAGACACTTTCTATGCATTCATGCCTTTGGGATGCTCAGCTCGTTTGGTATTTCCTGCACCTGGGTTTTGTGATACCACAGACATGTGGATTAGCTCTGCACTGAACTGTTTCTTATCCTCAGTTGGAGCTTCCATAGACGGCTGCTGAGGCATGTTGGTTAAATAGATCAAAAGAAAAAGAACTTGGTGAACCCAGGTCTGCATATGCAATTGTGTGTTGTCTGCATTTTTATAAATCTCTATCCTGACTGCTTGGTTTCGGCCCCTCACGACACATCCCGCTCTAAATCTCCGGGTTTTCCTTCAGAGCACGGTCTATCCTATTACTTGATGAAGCATCCGAGAGATGCTTTAGAGGTAATTGGATTCAGTACTAGAGGGAACGGACACAGAGCGGAATTTGTCCGTGTGTTTGTGGATGAATTATCTTCAGGAAAATATGTGTGTTCTGTTGTTTCACTGATTGCATGCCTGTTCTATGTTTAGGTTGGTTCTGGCTAGCTTATGTCGTGTTATTGGTGAATCGTGGTCTCAAGAAGCTGTGCAGACACAGTAAAAGGAAAAGGGTAGGGAGGAGGTCGTTTTAAAGTCTGACTCAATGCACTTAAATTGTTATTGTCTTGACAGAAATGTGCGTCATTCTTCAAGAATTCTGGCCTTTGGTAATTCACCTGTGCTTCCTACAGCCTCACATTCAAGTACTGACATACCTTTTCCAGTCAGTTATTTTTAGGGTGAATTCCAACAACTTTTGTGTCTGTGGTTTCAGGGAGGTTTATGAGTACAAGGATTATGTAGGAAAACTAATCGTGTTTCCACTTGAGATGGTTTTGTTTTGGAACTTGACTTCTGAAGACATTTCAAACTATATATTATACAGTCTTTTGTCCATTTCTATACATTTGTTCATGATTAATTTAAAGATTGGGTTAGAAAAACTGCTTACAAAGTATGTGTATGTGTGTTTTACCATAATCCTATTCCTAAAACTGAACTTTTTCCACAATATCAGAATTCCAGCAGATGCCTGAAAGCATTAAAGATGTGTTGTTAAAAGGATGTGCTTTGCCTTTAATTGAGATCTCTTTTACAATCCGAACCAGGTATTTTAGTTTGCACACTATTAACAATGTTATTGCCAAAAGCCAAGTAAGTTTTCTGTAACGGAACATGGCTTAAAGTTACAAAAAACTCAATATTTGCTAGTTTTACTTATGATTTGAGAAGCTGTGATCTAAAAGTTGGATTTGATCATGATTAAAGGACACACGTGGTACTAGTTTCAAACCAATAACCTAGACTGAGTGATCAGATCTAATGCAAATAGCAAAATTCTGCGTTTTTTTTCCAAAGTGAATTGAAACTTTTGACTAGGTGGAAAGATATAAATTCTGTAACTAATCGTTATTCATCATTATTCATTTAGTTCCAGGTTATTCTTCCAGTTTAAATGATATAAATTTGTGGAGTAGTTCTCCTTTTTCTGAAAAAAATGCTCAGTGAATCAAACATTTTGATTGAGAATTGCCGAATATGATGATTCCAAACTGTTTTTCTGAAATAGATGTGTTTTGTGTTTATGTGTGTGCGTGTGTTTGAGAGCTTTACTGGAACAACAACGTCAGCAACAAATTGACGCTGTGTCCACTAACGGTGACGTGCTGTTACTCGTTCTCCTCTGTGTCTTGTATTCCAGAGACCTTGATGTCGTGGCTACACTAAGGGGAGCAATAGTCCTGCATCCCTGCTAAACACACCCATGCAGATGTTGTGGAGCCCTTTGGATGCGAGAACTTCACATGTCACAATGAGAGGCTGCCTGCTGACTGCCATCTTTTTCCTGCCCTTGGTGAGCCGTCCGTTTGCATGCTATTCACAAGTCTGGGCAAGTAAACATGTGGGATGTTTATGAGCACCTGAATGCTTTTATTCATTTCTTTACAGTGTACCTGTAAGTATGTCCACATGCCAGCTTCATCATCAGCCTTTTACTGGAGTGCGCCTTTGATGATTCTTACACTTTTTGCAGATGTGTCTGCAAATAGGCGAATGTCCCCCACGCTGGCACGTCAGCATACGTTATAGGTCCGAGATCAGCTCTGCTTTTAGGCGACTGCCCTCTTTTTTTGGAACAATAGCAGATGGCTTAGCTGATCAGAGAGCTGCTTATTTGTCTGCTGTGACTCACAGTGATTGCTGCTCTCAGTGAAATAAAAAAGCAGAATGAAAGAGCCGTGCAAGATGTGTGGGAGGAATTATTTTCATCATACTGATGCAGCACATCGAAACCACATTGAATGTGGTCAAAAACAGCCCGAAACAAATCTCCTTATTCCACTTCTTTTACATTATGGTGCTTTCTCAACATTTCTATAAGCACTAAATATACTAAAACTGATACATAAAGCAGCGTTGCAGCCAACATCTCCAACCTTTACGTCCCTGCCATCTGACATCTGTTAGGTGTCCTTTTAGCAGACTGCTTGCACAATGCAGTGACAGGCTGACCTTCAGTGGCTGATCCAGCAGATTTATATGTTATGATGTTCTTGTTGTCTGTTAGATTGGTCTGTACAGTGGACCAGTGGTCTGCAACGTCAAATGGGAATTTTATTATCTGGTCAGCACACTGCCGTGGAAGTTATCTGGCCCTAGAAAATAGCCTTGGGGAGAGAAACTGTGCAGTGTGGCCTCTGAATGAACGGCTTATCTAGACAGCCATCTGTTTAAGAGGAGAAAAGAGGAGTGATTGGGAGCGGAAAATAAGAAGCACATTTGAAAATATATTTAATTGATCTTTGATTCTTGCCGTGTTGTCATGGCACCTGTACCAAGGTGGAGCTCTTAAGAGCAGCAGTCTGTATGCAACCTGCTTGTGCTGCATCAGATCTTTGTTAATCATTTTGTTAGCTACGTATGAAGTCCAGTGGTTTTGAAAAAGTCATTCAAAAATTATCCCAGAAGTGAGACAGCTGCACCCCCGGCTGCCAGGAAGAGATGCTAATATAAATGTACTCTATTTAGGAGTACAACGAGTGTATAGGCAATAGTAATCTGTAATTGAAAATTAAATTAGCCTCTTCAGACTTGTCATATTACTGCTTTACCTGTCATTTTTTGGTGCTTGTGTTGTGTGAACCTCTGGTGGGAGCAGACAGTTTTTTTGACTGCGGACTCTGTTTTTAATCGACCGTTAGCTCAGATTAGATGGGATTTATGTTCGAGTGTGTGCAGTGAGATGGAAAAAAGGAGGCTTTAAAGCAGGTATTTAAAAATAAGGATAAATGTCCCTCCATTCCATCCATTATCTATACTGCCTTTTTCCAGTGGGGTCCCGAGAGGCCTGGAACCTATTCAGCACACAATAGGTGAGAGGCGGGGTACACCCTGGACAGGTCGCAAGTCCATCACAAGGCCACACGTAAACAAACAACCACACACATATATGAATTCTAAATCCTAACGTAAGGTTTATTTATTGAAAAGGTGTCTCACCCCATGTCAATTAAATGCTAACTTAAGGGCTTTATCTTGCAAACATTAAGAGAAGCATTAAGCAGCCAAGGAAACATTTCAGATATGTGTTGGTCATAGTTCCCATTATCATTTGATTCTACATGGGTCGTAGGAAAGAAAATTATGCTAAAAGATGGCTGAGTCTCCAAGGTTTGTGTTCCAATTTGATGAATATTCTTTCATTCTAAAATTGTCGTTTGATTATGTAGGGGGGAAAAGGTTCAAGCAGACCTCAAAAACTGAAGTTTACATAGTTTTTAACTCAACCATAAATAAGAAAATCAACACATCATACATGCATTTGGTTGACTGACATGCCTGTTTGCTTTAATGTCAAACAGTATTAGTACAGTAGTGCAGTTTCTATTTATCTTCATCCAAGTATTTCACATGTGACAAGCTTTGTATGCATTAGCTGATGTGGTTACCTGCTGCTCTGCAGCTCGGATGCTCTGAATGCGACAACCTTGTTCATTCAAGCAGTGCCACGAAAGCTTTGATTTAACCGTGGCTTCAAATGTGAGGTGATGCCATTTTCTTCATCAGGAGGAAAAACTACTGTTCGGTGAATTAAAGACTGTTGTCTGCAAATGATAGTGCGCGAGGCAGTAGAGTGGAATGATGCGTCTCATAATTCATAGCATGTTTTGAAATTCTACCAATGTGCAGCACAGTAAAAAAGTAAGTGAATACTGGGACATCCTCACAGGCAATTGGTGTCCAATCTTAACTGGGTAGTGAGGCCTGAAGTGAATTAATATTGGAGGGCAAAGATATAGAATGATGAGTCAGCCATGGCTCAGAGGGTTGAGAGATATTACACCTGTGATTTCACTATAAAAGGATAGGAGGGGTTCCGAGAAGCCACAAGTATGAAATAAAGATTGGTCTTAAGAGAGTTAGAGGTACCAATAAAGAAGAAGACAAACAGTGGGTACCTCTGGGTTCTCATTAAATCAGCCAGACATCTCCTTATTTCCTCAAGTTTACTGTGTGTTGGTTTTCCCGTGCTTCATTTTTTTACATTTCCGATGTGACACAAGAAGAAGTTTTGATAAGCTCTGTCAGACTACCTTGAAGTTTCCTTTTTTGTTGTTGTTTTCACTTGTCTTTTCTCTGTGTATGCAAAGGCAAGCTATTTCTGTCATAAACCTAAAATTGTACTTTGACCTGATGGGCTTCTTTTTTCATCTGTTAAAACATGTCAACATTTCTTCCATGACAGGTTACACACACTATTTCAGTCTGTCTGTTTTTATGTCTTATTTCCCTAAAAAGAAAAGAGAACATCACGTCCTGGGAAAACAAAACTGGGCTTTTTCCTGTTACTTCGACAGTTTTACAGGCAGGCTAAGTAAACACGCTTCATGAATCTTAGAAGCTCTTCTTTGTGTGCTTTTTCCAGGTGGCCTCTGAGGCTGGGCATTGTATAATACAACGTGAACATGAGAAATGTATGGAGATGATGGCAACACATGACCCAGATGGCACTGAATTTGGTAAGTGACCATACAGATATGTGTGTGTTCCTGAATACAAAGAGCTGCTAATCAAAGCCACGCATCACCTTCTGAGAACTACACAACATGCTTGTTTATATACTCAATAATCTGGAATTTCTGGCTGGACAAAGTCAAAGAGGGACATGCACAGTGCTTTCTGCTCATATTACAAACACATCACCCCAAAAGGCTGATGCCTAGCACATGCTGTCTTCCCGTAATAGACAAAAAAACTGTTTTTGCTTGTAATGTCACACATTTTTCCAGCGTCACCTTTTCTGAACGCACAGGAATCTTGTTATGTGGTTCCTGGAAGCAATTATTTTCTTGGCAATGGATTGTGGTTTTCATTAGCGTCCCCCACTGCTTGAAATTTGCCCAACAGACTGCAACTCCCAAACTGCATCATGACTCACAGCCTCACTGACAGGCACCAGAGCCTTGTAAAAAGAAGAAGAAGAAGAAGAAGAAGAACAAAGAGACAGAGCATGACATAATAAGTTTAAAGAGGTGGAGAGCTATAAGTTCAGGTTGTGTTCCATATGGAGATTCAAAAGTTCAGCTACGTATTTGATCTCCCTGAACTGTGCGGAGCAATCAAACAGAGGTTTTTTATTTTTTAAACTAAAGCGCATTGTGTTGGCATAGTATACCAACTTGTTTAAAAGCAAAACAACTTGCATGATTTTTGTGCTGAATTAAGATATTCTACTACTTATTTATCTGCATTCTTTTTGTATTTTATTATCCATTCTCACACTACAGCGTTAAATGCTTGCCAGATGTGACTCTTTAAATCATCCCTGTTTCCTCCCATTCCTTAAAAAGAAGCAATTCTGCCCTTTTTTGCTGACAGCAAGTCATTTCTAAGGAACTAGAAAATGCTCAGTTAGCAGAAATCAGACTTTCCGGCTTGAAAAAAACTGAGAAAAAATGAAAAAGGAAATTCTGCATGAGCAGATGATGTGAACAATATTTGTTTTATGATTTTCTTGAAGGTCCTCTGTCAGAGATACAGATGAAACTGAAACTGTTAAATATTTATTTACCATCTAGGCCTGTAATCCTGGGTCTGAATAAATGTTTATGATTTCTGTACTGCAGCCTGCAGCATAAGGGTAATCTTCTTTTTTAGAATATGTGACATTATAAGTCTGAATCTGACACCTGATCATGGATGTAATATCAACATACAACGTGTGAGTGGCTTAAATATTGAGATGATAATGTACAAGATTGACAGTAATTAAACTGGAAAACCATTGAGGAGAATCACAGACCACACTTCAGAATGGACTCTCCTTCCTATCTTTGTTTGCCATCATTGTGAAATTACTAATGTTGGTCCGAATCTTATGAGGAGTCTAATGCATTATTTGCTTTTAGAAAAGTGTCTGACCTTTAAAAGAAATTAGGAATACTCCTCAGGTCATTTCAAATAAGTTACTTATGATCAGAATTGTGCTTTAGTTGCAGTCAGTGGCTCGGAGTACAAAAGAATCTAATTCAGTTCAGTGATCAGATTAAAGACTGAAATAAACTCCATCTTCCACATCAGTCTATCTTCAGTGTTCTTCCTCCATGTGCTGTAAGCATGTGAGCTGAGCATTTGCAGCCCAGTGAAGATTCAGCATACTGTGGGATCTGTTGTAAGATGGCCAGTGATGCAGACAGAGTGTTTTATTAAGCTGGTTACCTTTGTGGCTCAGCGCGGCTCATTTGGCTCTGATTTGCCCTTTAAAAGGTAATTGGCTTCGTGTCCGGCTCAGCAGACAGAACCAAAACAGATTAGAGAGCCAAGCAGAGGAGAGAAAGGTCTGCAAACAGACACATACGTATGTACAGGAACACATCCACGAGCATGCACACATGGATCCAGCCACAGTACGAAACACCTCAAAACGCACAGAGAACACACCCATCTTTGCAACACTATCACCTGAACATATAGAATGAGATGAAAGTGTGACTGACAGAATAGGAATGGATGCGAAGATGCTGAGGACACAGGAGTGGACAGAAATCCGAATTAAGACATGATACACAGGACGGGTTTAACACAGAAACTTAGAAGTCAGAATTATTATAGTTAATCAGTCACTTGTCAAGTTTTGTTCATTTAAACAATCAGTCAAAGGGAAAAACATCATGGAAAAAAACAAGAATACCTTGAATTTAGTTTGCTTTGAAGAGAATACGTGCACCTTTTAAAAGAAGAACATCAAACTAACTGCAAACATATATTAAAATAATCAATACAAGCACTTATTGATTTATATGCACAAAAAATAAGAGTTTTTTTTAGAAAGAGCTGTTGTCTGGGCCTCAGGTGGCTCCTGTGTGTCCATCTGTACCTGCCTCCTTCACAACCTACCACTCATCTGCAGAAAAAAGCAAAGCAGCCACCAGGGAGAGTCAGCCTGGGTAGCAGGAAGCTGAGCTTTTGACCGCTAGTTCTCTATAATTATGGGGAAGTTTCAATTGGAAAAATTATTTTATGTGTGTGCAGGCTTCTTTTTTTCTTTCTTTTTGTAACTTCAAGCACATCATCATTACCCTGTTTAAATGTGCGATCATTTATGAACAATAATCCAAAAATAATTGTACTCACATAAATTGTGTGCAGCTTTTGAGTTGATGTGTCTGTCCATATATTAACATTTTTTCATCGGATGATCCGCTGTCATCATTTGGATCCATCAATATATATATCTAAAACTTTGATGACTTTTTAACTCAATAAATAACTGATAAGGCACCAGCTAATCTTACAAATAAGTAGATCTCTTTTGACCTGAATAGTCTTTTAACCTCCTGAGACCCTGTGTCCTCATAAGAGGACGTTGCATTTTTGTCTCTCTTTACCATGATACTTCTTTTTTTCTTTCAGCTTTGACCTCTTGACCTCATAGCAGATGCTATCAGACACTGTTTGAAATCTAAAGTAAAATGGTTTTATACATTTCCATCCAATCATGTTCTTATTGTGTAATAGAAAAACTGTAAATGAGTCAATGGGACTGTCAGAACAAAATTGTAAAAACATTTAATTAAATATGTATCTCATATATCTTTAAAAAAAAAGCTAAAATGCATGCCAAATAAAAGCTTGGGTCTCAGGAGGTTAAGATAAATCATTTGAATAACTGATTGTTGAGACTAATTCAGCAGTGTGATTATTTAACACCACACTGACTTTATTTGATCCTGTTTGGTTTCTTTTTCATCTGCTGCCACTCAGCATGTCCGTGGATGTGGGATAACCTGACCTGTTGGCAGGCGGCGAATGTGGGTGACGTTGTGGTGGTCAACTGCCCAGAGTTTCTCAATGACCTCATAGCTCCAGATGATGGTAAGTGACACCTCAGGAGCAAATGTTTCAACTAAAATGATATAATTTAATAATGTATGTTTCAAAATACTTTTTACACTGTTCGGTTTTGCTGAAGTTAATGGTTCACTTTCAGAAATGGGGAAGGTCAGTCGAAACTGTACAGAGTATGGCTGGTCAGAACCGTTTCCCCACTACATGGACATCTGCTTCCTCTACGACAACACTACCAAATCTGTATGGGCTTTTTTTATTTCAAGTAAGCTGATCAATTTTAACTTATGTTAAAAACACACATGCTCATTGTTTTGTCTCATCACTAGGTAACATACTACAAATCAGTCAAAGCCCTGTACACAGTGGGATACAGCACATCACTGGTGTCTCTGACCACTGCCATGGTCATTCTCTGCAGATTCAGGTGGGTTTAAACTGTGTTAGAATAAGATATGCTTTGCTTATCACAAATGAAAAAGTTGGAAACTGAAAAAAGCAGGAAAAATATAGATACAATTAAGAAAAAACTCTTGCCCCCTCTTAAAAACTGGGTCTCCTACCAGAGAACTTCTACCTGCATAATATCTCAGCTGGTCTTAGGGCTCTGCTCTTCTGGACACAGATATCTTTATCTGCTCTCGGGATCTGTTGGATCCGCTATCTTTTCATATTTCTCCTCAAGACTTTGTATTTGTTTAAGCTTGTTGAATTGCTTCATCCTCTTGATGTTCCACTCACTTGGAATTTTGACCTTCCATGTATGCCGCATACTACACCGCTCTCTCCTGTGAAACATCTTCTCGAAAACTTTACGTCCAGTTGCCTAACTAAACTTTCCAAGCCCTCTCTACCATATTCTGGACAATCTCAGAGGCCTCTTTGCAGACCCCACACCTGGGCTCATGTCTGGTGTGAAAGGCCTCTGTTTATCTTTGTGCTCAGGGCACGTTCTTGAGTTTCTATGATTAGTGTGTCTTCAGTCTGCCCCAAAGCGCATGCCATGCAGAGGCTTATCCTTCCATAATGGCTTTTCCTTCATCTCCTCGTCCCTCTGGGTCTCAGCAGCCTGGGACACTCACTTAGCAGTTCATCACTGGGGGTCATCTTCTTGATTTATTCCTGGATATCTGTTGTTTCATCCTAGATGAAAGTGTCTGTGATGCAACAGTCTCAAGGTACAGTCTCAAGGTGGTGACTCAGTGGCTACTTTGTCCAAGTTTTTTATATATATTTATATGTATACACCTATTTCTTTTATCACTTATGGTGGAAAATGCTCAGTCATTGGCAGGAATCTCTGAAGCTGCATGATAAATGTTCTGACTAGGTTATTTGGAGTGAAAACAGAAAAAGAACTGCCTGTAGTTAAGAAAGACATAAAAAATATTGTTTTTAAATGTGCTTCTTCCATTGAATGTAACCAAGGCTCCAGTCAAGTAATAAACGTATTATCAAGCAGATAATCTTAATAATATTTGACACCCCCTGATAGCAGGTTGGGATAGCACTGATAGCAAAGGACCCTATTACTGTATGTTACTGTGTCAAGAACGTTGGTTATGTTTAGACTGCAGGCAGAGGCAGTTAAACATTGCCCTTATTCTCTGAGTCAGTGATTCAAATAAATTCTGATGTTCTGTATGTCGCTCTCTTATCTCACCAGGAAGCTCCACTGCACCAGGAACTTCATTCACATGAATTTGTTTGTGTCCTTCATCCTGAGAGCGATCTCAGTCTTCATCAAAGATGGTGTGCTGTATGCTCAGGAAGACAGCGACCACTGCTTTGTACATACAGTGAGTAATCACCACTAATTATCATCAATACTGTGTCGGTTTTTAAAGGCCGCAATACGCAGACTGTAACTCTCTTCATGGGAAAGGAAAACAAATATGACTGACTTATTTGGTTTACTGATGAAAAATGTATGTATTTATTGCATTGATATAAATCTGAAAGAGAATTGCACAAATTGGTTCTTATCAATCTAAATCATCCTTATTCTGACCAAATCATTCCCTTAATAGAGCCAGTAAAGGATGTCTGAGGAGCATTGGCTGCATATTATTAGTTAATCACTTCCATGGTCATATTACATTTCTATGAAATACAGACATTTGTTTTTATATAGAAAAAAACTTATCAGTAGAATATGATCAGGACTACTCTGTTTGAGATATTAGGATAAATTGAGGATAAAGAGCTTGAAGTTGTTCTTCTCCTGCTAATTATCATTAAGACCTCTAACTGTAATTCTATGCCAATTTTACCAGAACCAAACTCACTATTAGCTGGCTCACTCATCTTTTATTAGAGATGTAGAGTAAGCATAAGCTTTTGTTCCTTAACAACACATTTTCCACTGCTGTTAAGCAGGCATGATGAATAAACCTAATTAGGAACGCTAATGGCTTAAGTAAGGCCAGCTGAAACCTACTACGAGAGAGCCATTAACATATCAATGATGGCTGTGACCTTGTTTTATTTTTGTTTAGTTTTTTTTCAAATCTACGTCTTTAATATCTGTTGCCATAGTGATCCCAAGTCATCATCAAAGCGGAACTGAAAATCAGATTGCTACCGTGATTGTTTGACTGAATTCGAAGTATAAACATCATCATTAACATGATTTCATTGGATTTCATTTCATCAGACATTCAGGAGGTCATTTCTGCTGTAAAAATTGGTTTGTATGGATTTTTTAAGGCAAATTCATATAATGAGTGGGTCACAGCCCCAGGGTCCCAGAATCTGTTTATGCTGTGTGAGTGGAACATTTAATGAGTGGCCATTTAACCTCTCCTGCTTTAAGTGAAAGATACATAACTGAGCATGAATTTTCCAATTCAGAGATTTTGTATGAATAAAACAACCATAAAATGTCATATATTCAAATCTGATGTTGTAAAGATTCATATTTCTGTTTGTAGATGAAAATGATTCTTCAAATGAAGGTTTTCCAACATCAGTCACACAGATTTGAAATCACAGCTTGAACCGATGTCTGTCCGTTACACTAATGCCTTACCACCTGTGTTTCCTCATGCAGGTGGCATGTAAAGCAGTGATGATTTTCTTCCATTACTGTGTCATGTCCAACTATTTCTGGCTGTTCATTGAGGGTCTGTATCTCTTCACTCTGCTTGTGGAGACCTTCTTTCCAGAAAGACTCTACTTTTTCTGGTACACCATTGTGGGGTGGGGTAAGTATCTCTTTCGGATGGACTACCCTGTCTTTTTTTATATTGTGAAAAAAGTGATGTTTCTCTTGTATTGCCCTGAACATTTCAATCTGTTGTCTAAGAAATATATATGATAATACTAATACATGTATGTGCATTGAATACACTAAGAAAAGATATACAACTATCTAAGCCTTAAACTGTAATCTAATTGTGTGTTTTGGCCAATGGAAAATTTCTGTAATTATGACCAATTTATTTGACTTTTATAACCTGATAATTGAGTACTAAAAATGTGTTTTTATTGTAACAGGAACTCCCACCGTCTGCGTGACCGTGTGGGCAGTTCTCAGGCTGCATTTTCATGACACGGGGTATGTACTAGCTTCTTGAGATTTAAAAGAAGTGCATGAACTCAAGTATTTGTAGTATAAAATATCTTGTGATATGTTTTACTCTCATCCATTATGTTTCAGAGGGTAGTCACTCTGTTTCCCTCGACCTTATGTTCATGTTTCCTGTTGAAATTGTTATTCTAACATCGTTTTTACACAGTAATAAGAAAATAAATAAGGAAGTAAGGAGAAAGAATGATTTACCCATGTACTTGTCAGATATAATGATTTTGGAATGCAAGTAAAGTCTGAAGTGGGGGCTAAATGCGGGCCTCTTTATCTTTGTCCCCATTTTTATTTCTAAAGATAATGAATGGCATCCTGAGTTGTTGAATTATTTATCAATCACCATTATTGTCAGGTGCATGTATATTTTAATCTCTTCTTTAACTTATGACCTTTTCTTAATTCACTTTACAAATGGCTGCCCCCTCATCAACGTTAATGTTATTACTCATTTGTGAGGGGAGCTATGTTCTACAATTCCTGAAACTCGCTGTTTGCCTCCAGATGCTGGGATACAAATGAGAACACTGCCCTCTGGTGGGTAGTCAAAGGACCAGTTGTGGCTTCAATAATGGTACGTTGGCCACGTTTCTTATTACTATGAATGAATTAGATGTCTTTTGTTTTATCCTTTCTTTTGGTTGTTATTGGTTGCGGAGTTCTGAAAAAGATATAGAAATAAAAAGACTATTTGTGTGTATTTATTCTGTTGTATTTATGTGTTTATTGCCAGATCAATTTTGTCCTCTTCATTGGCATAATCATCATTTTGGTGCAGAAGCTACAGTCCCCTGACATTGGAGGAAATGAATCAAGCATCTATCTGTAAGTTGTATCACTGAGTTAAGTTGAACCACTAAGATGTTAGTGTTCAGAGATGTTTGTTGGAAAACTGTTAATCATCCACACTATGTACAACTAATTAGAAACCCTGTGATTCTAAATTGTTTAGTATTGACGCTTTAAAAAAATTGACTTGCATGGCTTGCAGACATCTTTGTCAAAAAGTCCCATGAAAATTCCAAAAGTTGATTGAAAATTGATGTTACCAACACATACAACACCCTGTATTTTAGTTTATTAATGCTCCAAATGTGCGCTGCCTTCTTAAGTGTTGTGTTTGACTTTTTTATAAGTATTATGAGAAAATAGTGCATATTTCCCGGCAGAAAATATCATAACTTGATTTGTTTTCAAATCAGTTACCTTAAGATTTAGATGTAAGACCTTTTTGGCAGGAAATCTGTAGAGCCTGGATGTAGAGTTGTGACTTATCCAGACATAACTCCTGTTCTGCCTATAGGATTTTGTCTTTTGACGCTCTGCAGATAAATCAGTTCTCATTTGCTGCTTAGGTGTATACGTGCGTGACTGCGTGTAAAGAAGTATGCGCGTGTGAGACTGAGTGTCTGTGTCCCTAAAGACATTGTCTTTGTTGTATTGTGTGTGTCTTTGTGCTGTGTAGCAGCTGTGCTCAGAAATGCTTCAGTGAGCCCACACAGGCTGTTCAGCATTCGTGCAGGATGTCAGAGTTTTCCACCATCACACTGTAAGTGTGTGCGTGTGTGTGTGTGGTGGTCTTGTGTGGACTGCATGTGTCTCTGTGCATTTGTATTTCACAATGGGGCGTTCCTAAAGTTTTTTATTTGTTTTTCTTGTGTTTTTTCCATGGTGTAGCCACCCAGTGACATAATCAAATAAACATAGAATCTATTTATGGTGCCAATTATTCAATTAATATCGTCATAATGTGAATATCTTTAGAGTTTATACACATGGTTTTGTCTACATTTGCATTTCATATGCATTCATTAACTTTCTTGCTTAGATTTAGACTAGAAGAGTGACACCAACTTTTCATTTAACCTATTAGTAGGGGTGGGACGGTTCACAAAATCCACGGTTCGGTTCGTATCACGGTTTTGTGGTCACGGTTTTCGGTTCGGTTCGGTACATGGTGATTGTTAGGAAAATCTATTATGTCTTGTATAGTCAGGTTAAAACTAGGGATGGGGATCGTTAATATTTATTGATATCGATACTTTTATCGATACTCCTTATCGATCCGAGTCTTTATCGATACCACTATCGATAATTTTCTGTTATTTGGTGGAAAGACGATGCGACAATATTTAACAAATAAATAATTGTATTTTAAATTAAATGTAATTTTTAATAAATGTTGGCATCAGTAGTTTAATTATATATTCTAAAATAAATAGAGCAATATACAACTGTATTACTCATGTTTCTCGCCAAAAACTCAATTTCCCTTTTCTTTACGTTACACTTGAACGCATCATGATAACCTAATTGTCGTTTTACTGAGCCAATCTGAACACATCATCACGCAGCACGTCTGAAACTTTATTTACTTTTCAAGCTAACTAGCTTGTATGCTGCCGATTACAACACAGATTTCACAATTAATAAAAAAACGACCAGACTCGATAGTGGTATCGATAAGCCCAAACGTTATTGATTTTCAGGTTTTGAAAAAAGTGGAACCGGGTCCTTGATAGAACCGGGTTTCGATCCCCATCCCTAGTAAAAACTGAAAGAAAAAAGCAGTCTGACATTTGATACATTATTGTGACAGTCTTAGGTTAAAAATAGGTGAGATTCTGGCATTGCAAGCGAGGAAATAGTGCTAATTCCAACATGTGCTTGACTCTAAATGCAAAGTGTTCCCATACAGCAGACCTAGAAACTGCTGCTGGCGCGTCTGATTTTTATCGGCTACGCTGCTTCGTTTCTTCTTGTTTGCTACTGGTGGTTGACTTTGGGTGCAGTAGCGCCCCCTTCTGCTCTGGAGTGAACACGCTTCCCTCTGAGAAAAAGGAGCAGTGCATGAACCGTGCGGTACACACGCGAACCGAACCGAGACAGTCGAACCGAACGGTTCGGACGGTTTTCAGAAACCGTCCCATCCCTACTATTAAGTGTTTTCAAATGTGTGCTTTGACCTCATAGTCATGCTGTTGTATATCGTATTCAGGTGGATGCAAAGATAGTAAATCATCTCTGAAAATCCTGGTTTGGCTAAAAGGCTAACATCTCAATATGAAGCATGCATAAAGCAACTTAAGGATCATCTCTAATAACTGAGTAGTTATCTTTCAGCATGCTGGTTCTCTCTTCTAACTTATGGCAAGGAAGTTAATATAACTATCAGTGTAAACTATTCCACAAAGACTCTGGGGGCCACAGAACTTCAGATGAAGAACCACTGTTTTGTACAATTTTGTCTTCCATTTTTAAGGTGTTGTGTGGTTTGATATGTTTTCATCTGCCATGTGTATTTCCATGTGCATGATACATACCATGGGGAAAAATATCTAAATGCAGCTCTGTGTAAACATGTTAACTATTTCATGCTTGTGTCAATCCAGATTTTTGTGAAGAGTTGATAAACTCTGATAGAAGACCCTTTAGTATTTTGAAATGCATCTCTTACTGTCAACAAATCTGGACTTACTGTTGTGCTCAGTTTTAAGCAAAATATGTGTCCTATAAAGATAGACCAGAGTAAATGCTGCACATATGCTGGAACTGTTTCACAGGACAATGGTGTACATGTGACTATAAATAACTATAGTTCAGTACAATAATATGGTTTACTCATATTTATTCAGGAAAACATTGATATTTGGTCCAGTTTCATATTAGGCTTTTGTTTTTTTCGTGGGATTTGTTGACATTAAGAAAATCCAGGACACCATCACTACATCATCACTACACAAACAGAGAGAGCGTGATGATTTGTCTTGCACAGAATTAATTACATGAAAGCTTTTGATTGGTTTTAACAAGTCGTTAATTTGTGGTGTATCACAATGCATCGCTGCATCAGCTGTGTAACTCTTTCATCACTTAAGCCTGACCTACAGCAGTAAATTAACTCAAAAATGACTTTGACTTGTGTATCACCTACACCCTGATCACATTAAAATGCCTGTACCTTGTGTGTGTGTGTGTGTGTGTGTTTGCACAGGCGTCTGGCACGCTCCACCCTCCTGCTCATTCCCCTGTTTGGTATTCACTACACTGTGTTCACCTTCTCTCCTGAGGATGTCAGCAAGAGGGAGAGACTGGTCTTTGAACTGGGTCTCGGATCTTTCCAGGTATGGTCTCAAACTCCCACAACATACGGCTTCAGCAGAAATCAAAACACCGGAGAGAGGTGTCAAAAGATGATAGATTAATCTATTATTTTCATGAAAAAATACTTATAAGGACACTAATATTCAAAAGTGACCGTCTACCCTCCTTTTTTACGGCTGTCCTAAAATCACTATATAATGTATTTAATATAGAATATATAATGACCACTCCGGGAAGATATTTATGTGTCCATCTTTTTGTGTAGGGCTTTGTGGTAGCTGTCCTCTACTGTTTCCTCAATGGAGAGGTAAGACTTTTACATTTTTAACCATCAAAAAAGCATATCTATAAGTGGTGCACAACAGTTACAGGGAAATGAATTAAATATCAGCTCTGCAGGAGGTAGTGTGAATATGTTTGAGTAGGTGTGTATGATATAGGATAAAATGACAGAATTAACTTAATTGTGGTGTTGGCCTAAAATATTTACGTATTAATAGTTGATCACGTTTAGTAAAATGAGATGATTATATATTTTAAGCTCTATAGAGTAAGCTCATGTGGGGCACTATATACCACATATGAGGCCCTAGTAGTTTACTTCTACAGCAGTAGTAGGAGTAGAGATGACCATGAGAAGTTTCTCCCTGAAGGTGCAGTCAGAGATCAAGAGGAAGTGGCGCAGCTGGACGGTGAACCGGTACTTTGCTGTGGACCTGAAGCAGCAGAGGCACCCCTCGTTGGCCAGCAGCGGTGTGAACGGCGGGACTCAGCTGTCCATCCTCAGCAAGAGCAGCTCTCAAATACGCATGTCCAGCCCACTGGCGGAGAACACCAACATCAGCCTCCCGACCTGAGCGTCTGATTGTGCTAAGTCAGATTCAAGGTGCCATCCCACTGATGTTAGATCAACCAGAACAGACCAAAGTGGCCCCTCACACCTCTTAGATTTCGTACTTTTCTGCTTTAGAAAAAGAATAGCATTTACTAGAGGTGTTCAGATGACTTTTATATTTTAAAATTTTCATTAGTTATAAAGTATGATGAAATTATTTGATTGATTCAGTTCACACTGCAGATTGTAAACTTTTATGGCAATTGGCACACTGCAACATTTTAGACTAATTCCAATCAGGCACCTTCAATTCCCAATTCCCTTTTCAAAATGTTCCAGGAGCTGTAATTCTTTGATTGTTTTATGTATAGGAACTGAAATGAAATATATAAATAGGAGAAACTGATAGTAGGGGTCACGTTTGGTTGTTGGTATAAAGCTAATGTGCTTCAAGGTGAAGCCTTACTCAATTCATCACAGTCCAAAGTTAATTATCGGCCAAATGTTCGCCTTGCTTGTAAAAACGCTGTTTGTTGAAACGTTGAAATCTTTCATCTTCGGTTGAAGCGATTCAAACATTTTTTTCTATACTCAGCCATAAGTACAGAGTATGTCAAATATTATATATATATACAGTATATATACCGTATATATATATATATATATATATATATATATATATATATATCAAGGATCGTGTAAATAATTCGTTTTTGGTGTTTAGATCAGATGTTCTTTTGTTTAGTACAACAAAGTATTGTAATGACCTTTTCAAACAAAAGGAACTGGAGCCCAAATCTGTAGACTTCATCACATATTCTGGGAATCCAGTGGATCTTGCTCTCTCGAGTCTGGACTGCATCTTTGCGAGTAATAGACAATAAGACATCTGCCCTAGAAACTGCAACAAAAACACACTGCAGAGCAGCATTTTACGACCTGGTCATAGTCTTATTCAGAGGGGTCTTGTTGTTTACGTGCAATGTAGACCTGCTTGCATTCTTTTCAGTAAAGATCATTTCACAGGAACACAAAACTCTCTGAGCCGATTAACAGCAGTTTATCTTCACTGGTTTTTTATCCTCACTCTGGACACTAGCGATCTGTGCCGTTTTCTGGGTATTTTTCTCCAAAGCTCATCATAGTGCCATGAGTTCAACTGTGCAGTGTTTTTCTGTAGACGGTGATGCATAAACTGCAAACACGTTGAGCTTGAGCCTATTGTGCCATATTAAATAGAACCTCTAATTTAGTTGATTAATCATATTCATATTCCAAAGTGCCTAGCTAGACACAAATAGCTAAGAGAGTCATGTCCTGCAAAGAATGTCAGTGTGAGGAGATTTATTGTAGATGACAAATTATTTGTTTGAATTTTGCACTGCAGAACTTTATTATTAATTATCAGCTGTTTGTGATTGAAATAACTTGCTAATAATGTGAAGAAATTCTTGAAATGACCCTTTTTCTGATTAAAAGGTAAAGTATTTGAGTTGGGACATGGGGTTTAATTTGGCGCTGTAGTTACTAGCCATACAAATTCGGCCACATAAATGGCTTCAGAACACAAATATGAAATGTTGTTTCACTTAACACAAAAGGCTTTAATTTAGCAGCTCTTGACAATCGTGGAGTACTTCTCATTTTCATTTCCTTTTTTATGCAGACACAAACTAACAAAAATTAACTTTGCAGGTGGGAACAGTGCTTGACCAGATGAAATGTGAAGCTATATTCAGATGGAGTTTTCTGTCAAATTTAATTCAGATATTCATTTCTTTGTATCGTCATCCGTATGGATTGTAAAAATGTACTATGTTGAGATAATTATTCTACCAAACAAATGAGGATGTATATTTATTTTCCATGAATCGTGTGTTATGTGCAATGATGACATATACAGTATACAAGCTAAGTATCCATGAAAACAGCTCAATGTCTGAATTCATGACTTTCATTCACCAACTTGGTCAAAGTGCCATAAATGCAGTTGTAAGAGATGAGAGTCAAGACGTGTGGCACAATGTCCCTTTGACTGTAGGAAGACAAAAAAATAAACCACCGTCAAAGTTGGAAATACGCAAAATAATATGTGCAAACCTGCTTTCAGATACTGTCAGGGAAAAGAGCCCTGAGGGGGGACAATTCTATATAAATGGGAAGAGTCTAATAAATGCAAAAGATAAAACTCGAAGTTTGCATGAGGGTGTGATAAAAACCACTCCGCTGCTGCTTACGTGTTTCTGTCACCAGCTGTCACTCTGAGTCTTAGTCGCCTCAGATGGAAACGACCATGTCTCAAAGCTGTTACTGTCTGTGAAAAGAGTTTAAAACTCCTTCAATGACCATATTTGTGCTGTGTATGTGTCTACCGCCAGATGGCAGCAAATGTCAATAGTTTAAGAAAGAAGGTATTTATTTATTCATTTATTTATTCTATAGTTTTTTATTTTTGGTTGGTGTATAAAGAGGTGTAGGTGAAGCATTGAAATGCTAAAAGACCATGGTGTTATTTTGCTAAACGTGTCTTTTGAGACTTTGTTTTTGACGGAAATAACAGAATAAATACTCATACTATATTTTTTTCAGGAGACAAAAAAAGGGGGGGAAGGTGATTTTGTCTTTGCACCATATGGGTCTATTTTTAACATTTCACTTTGTTTTCTGAAACAATTCTGAATTATTTTCTCATTAAGAAGCATTAGGATTGTAAGGAAAGATCATTCGGGGAGCTGATTGCACTTTGTAACACTTCAGTAAAATCAAACACTCTTTTCAGTCACTGCTCCAGAAAATAATGCAACGTGTTTAGTTCTTTGTAAACCCCAGGTATCCTTCATTCTCAAAAATGTTCAATCCCTATTCATTCATATTTGCTGTTATGTTGAAATAAGTAGCACGATTATAGAAAAACAGCATTTTCTAACCCATAATTATTTATTTGACTGAGAGAGAACAAAAACAAATTTAAAAGCCAATCGTTTCAGACAGTACGCTAATTTTGGTCTACCAATTGAAGGTCTACAATTTAGCCACCACTGCTCCTCCAGTCTCAAAATGTGAACCGTGCTTTTTTGATGTGACACGTTGATGTTGCCAGAAACGTTGCTGAGAAAAGTGTCCGTGATTCGGAGATATGCTGTTAGTGTCTTTCTCTGCTATTGGGTTGCTAATCATTACGCGCTTAAAGCTTTACTTTAAGCAGTGTATTTGCTTTATTTCTGAGAGTTAAAGAAGGTGACTAAAATATCTGTGAGATATTGAAACAGGTTAGCTAAGGGTAGGTGCAATCAAAATATCTTCACATGAAAGAAAAATCTTATTCAGTTTTCTTTTAAACAAAAAGTACTGGCTATCTATGATCCAACAGTTTCCATAATGAATTCATATTGGGAGTTGTTAACGCAATAGTAAGCTTACATAGTAAAGCATTAAGCCCCCAAAAAGAGAACTTTATACATTAACCTGCATCATGAAACTAGTAAATACAACCCTATCTGAAGGCACCACAATAGCTGTTCATCCTTATTGGATGATTGACACAAAATCTGTGTCACACATGTGCAAATTTACATTTCAAACTTTTTTTTTTAATGTTCACTTTAGAAAATATGTGGAACCTCCTGCACTTTGGATTCAGGTGTAAAAAAACAGACCCAGCATAGGCACATGACAGTATGACACAGTATGACAATGAAAAGGCTGAACATATCCTACTTTTACAAGTAAAATACATGTTTGAAATGGCTGGCTTCTATGAGAGAAAATTTGTTTTTTAAAACCTAGCAACGGAGTCCCACATCTCCTCTACTGGTCATCATAAACCTGCAACCTATTCATTTTACATAAAGAATATTTTGACTCAATGGTGCCTTCAAATGGGGTTGTGTAAACTACTTTGATCATAGAGCGACTCAACATGAAAAAGGGTAAATAGGACTCCCATTTAATCCATGATGGACCATAATATTAGTTTCCAGTGACATCAAAATCTTTTCTCAAGTAGTCGTACTCTGGCTGGTTTTTCTGACTACTTAGTGGTTTCTTGTAGCTATCTGTTTCTTGTAGCAAGAAGATAAAAAACACTAGTTTTTCCATTTCCCCCATTTGTAGAATCAATCATTCTCAGCAAAAAATAAATGACAGTATTCCAAAAGCTGTCAAAGCTTTTGTTTGAAATGTGTTTTCTGTGATGCATACTGTATCACTGTGTTCAGATACAGTTTCTGCAGCAGCTGTGGCTGTGGAGCCAGTTTTGGTAAAGTCTCTCTGTATGTGAGTTCTATTGATTGCCAATGAATTTTTGAATGTAAAATTATTGTCACTCGGCTGCTCTTAAATGTTGCCTGCTATCAATTTGCCCCGGTGTACAAATGATGTCTTTTCTTTATCATAAATAGTGTATATTTTTGGCATACAGGTGGATCTCTTGACCTCTAATTTTTGTGACAGTGTTTTTGTACATTTGTGTATGTACCAGTTTTCAGAGCGTGTGGATGTTTGAAAACCAGAGAGTGTATTATGTATGCATGTGTATGTAATGACAGGCATTCAAAGGGATATAAGTAGATGTTTAAAAAAATATGTATAAACTTTCATCCACCTTATGTTCTAAATGTGACGGTGTGTCATGTGTACGTGTTCTGGTGTCTAACATCCATGTCCCCAGTTGTGTAAAGTGACTGCAAAATAAATCTGTGGTAGGTTGCCGTACTTTGCACAGACTGAGATTCATTTGAAAATGTTCCACCATGAAAATAACACTTTACCTGCAGATAAAAGGAATTTTATTTTGACCTGCTTAGAGAATTACATTTATGGAGCCCATTCTAAGAGTTCAAATGGTTCCAGGACAGGAAAAAGATCATCTTATGTACAATGGAACAACACTGAAACAAAAGTCGGAATAGGAACCTGTTATTAATATATAGATTATTTGGTGACTCTCATCCTCTTAGTGAGATATGTTTTACTGTTTCCTTAACATCAGTATTTCAGCTTTCGAAGAAAACACAAAAACTGTAACGGTCCTTAAAAAGCAGTGTATGTTAAGTGTAACATTGTTGATTAAAAAAGTCTATTACTCTTGTATTACTAGAGGTTTTCCATAAATTTATCAGCACAGATTTTTCTCTCCTATCACCTGGGCTGAGGCTACCAAGGTAATCAGAAAGCTCCTCAGTGGCCGGGGATGTTCCTTAAGGCTCTGGATGCTGTAGGACTGTCTTGGTTGACACACCTCTACATTATCGCATGGACGTCGGGGGTGGTGCCCCTGGACTGGCAAACTGGGTGGTCCCCCTCTTTAAGAAGGGGAACCGGAGGGTGTGTTCCAACTATAGCGAGATCGCACTCCTCAAACTCCCTGATAAGGTGTATTCAGGGGTCCTGGTGAGGAAGGTCCATTGGATAGTCAATTCTGTACAGAAGGAGAAGCAGTGTGGTTTTCATCGTGGCCATGGAACAGTGGACCACCTCTACACCCTCTTCAGGGTCCTCGAGGGGGCCTGAGAGTTCACCCAACCAGTCTACATGTGTTTTGTAGACCTGGAGAAGGTAGTCGTCCTGTGGGGGTGCTCCGGGAGTATGGAGTACTGGACCCTCTTGTTTGAGCCTTCCAGTCGCCCCAGACAGACTTTCTAGGTGCAGACGAGGCGTTGAGGAACTCCGGTTTGGTGGCCTCAGGTTTGGATCTCTGCCTTTTGCAGATGATGTAGTTCTGTTCTGGCTTCATCGGGCCTGGATCTCCAGCTCTCACTAGAGCGATTCACAGCCGAGACCCTCTCTTAGAGATAGGGTGAGAAGCCCGGCCATCCAGGAGGGGTTCAAAGTAGAGACGCTGCTCCTCTGCAGAAGAGCCAGATGAGATGGCTTTGGCATCTGGTCAGGATGCCTCCTGGATGCCTCCCTGAAGTTAGTGGATGGGGCTTGGAGAAGGAAAGCTTCGCTTCACTACTTCAGCACTGACCTGACTCCGGATAAGCAGGAGAAAATGGATGGATGGATTTTCTTTCTTAAAATCTTTTTGTTTACTTTTTAATAAACATAATTCATTTAAATGTCAAATTGTTTAGCTCAAATTTCCGCAGAAGCTTTGAATATATGTACAGGACCATACAACTGCACACAAACAGAGGCAAACAGAGTTAGTTTGATCATTGATTATATCCACCCATGATCTTCCACTTATCTGAGGTCAGGTCGTGGCAACAACAGGTCCAGGCACACCAGAGATCTTTCATCAGCTCTTTCGGTTAGATCCGAGGACCGAATGACATATTGAGAAGGTTTTGACTTGCCTCTGAAAAGGACAACCAAGAGGCATCACAAATAAACCCTGAAACATTCTCAACTGAGTCTTTATATTGAGAAAGAGCAGCAGCTTTATTCTGAGTACCCTCCAGATGGTCAAGCTCCTCACCCTACCTCTAAGGCTTAGCCCCAGCACCCTCCAAAGGAAACTAAGTTCTTTGCAGTTATCGCTGGATATAAGTTCTTATGAGGGTTACAGCAGAGATGGATCAGTAAATCAGACTTTGTCTTTTGGCTCAGATTCATCAACAGAGCAGTGCAGCCCCTTCATTACAGCTGATAGAGCCATAATCCATCTGTCCATCTCTTGCTCCAGCTTTCCGTAATTCTTTGACAAAATCCAAAGCCAAATAAAGTCCCCCGCAGATGAGGCATCATCAGGAGGAATGGTTCCAATTTCTTCTGATTAACAGTGATGTCCTTCACACACAGCTGCAAAATCATCCAGTGCACGAGGAAGGTCAAGGCCGAATGAAGCCAACAATACTACAACATCTGCAAAAACATGAAATAGAAAACATGGCGCTTGAAGCCAGACACCCTCCTCTGTGATATGTTGCTGTCCTGTTCAGGATCAGGACACATGCTGCTTTGGCAAGCAGATACACATCAACGCAAAAGTTAGACAATCTCTTCTTTTTTTGTAGTTCATATCATCACATTCATGTTGGGGGAGATTCTTAAAAATTATGTTAAGATTCCTTCACTGGCTCAGGAACAATAATTTATTGTGTCCCTACTTTATATTAGCATGTGATATTAAGGCAAAAATGTGTCATCTGTTAGGTTTGTGAGAGACTAATTTGTTCGCAGCCATAATTTTTTAAAATAAAGAATGCTTACATTCAGGGTTTGAATTTTATGTTTCAGTAATGAAATGGATTGACGAGTGGATACATTTTCTTTCTTTCTTTTTCTTCTTTCCTTTTTAGTTTTTTTAACAACTTGCTGAGTTATGCAGAAAATGATTATCTATTTTCTGCCCAACACTTTAAAAAAAACAACTTTTTTCAAGAACGGGAAGATCATCAGATAAGGAACACTGCTATTACCTCTTACTGAGACTGCTTTTGTCCGGTTTGATCTCTTTGTTCGGCTAAAACATGACAGATCTAGGGGAAAGGGGATACAGGATATTTTAAAAAATCAACTGCATTCTACACCTAAAGGCAGGGACTAACACACCCTTATTGTGCTGAAATCGCATAAAACCTGAGAGAGATCAAGCACAAAACAAAAAAAAAATGTGTATCTGTCACTGCTGTCTTCGAGACTGGGGCAAAAGTACACCACAATGTGGGTCAATTTAACAGCTTTATTTGGCAGACTGCTGTGGAGAATAGTGTGACTTCACCAGAGCACAGCCACTGTCACTGTGTCACTTCAATTTTTTCATTGTATTCAGACAGTATCATTTTGATGGCATTTTACCAGGAAAAGCCCTGGAACTTCTTTTTATTCTTATTTGATATTCACTTAAGCACCAGTCATTTCCAAACAGCAAGAACATGACAAATGACAATGCTCACAAATATGGACATGGTTTGTCTAAACAGTATTTTTAAGACACGGTTTACCAATTTGAGGCACCATGAGACAAAAAGGACTATCAGTCCTACTACGGGGGGGATTTTAATTACATTTTCAACCGAGACTGAAATTCCACTAATGTACTGTCACTGCCTTTGTTCAGAGTAGCTCAGCACAAAGCTAGTCCCTATATTTTGGTATGTTCAAACATCCAGTGTTTTTTCAGCTGTGTCCAAGTACCCGCTCAGTATTTTCTCATTTTTCTGCCAATGCAATCCAAACTGTAAACACAACAGTCTGAAATTGACCTCGTACAAACACGGGGCCAGCTCCGTCTCTGCTGTTGTTTCCCTCTTTACAGTGGCACCATAATGTCTGTACATATTAAGTACCACTGTTACGAGAGAGAAAGAGGGAGAGAGAGAGATAGAGAGCGAGAGCGTGTTGTAGTCCAGACTGGATATCTGCGCTGTCCTTAGGTTCACAGCTGTTGCCTGGACTGAAGGCCTTCTGACATGCTTTCTTGATCAAGCACCAGCGTTCATAATCATTTTAAATTCTCTCAGAGGGATTTCTGAATTAATTTCATTCAGCCGAGGATCGCCTCTGTTTAATTTTCCTCGTGCCATTCAGGCAATGCTTTTTTTTTTAAATGAAGGTCTCTGAAATCATACTGAGGAGATGTTTGCGCTCGAAGGAGGCAACCCGAGCCCCCCACGTGTTCGAATTGTGATCTGGGTGAGACTTCTCTTGGCTGGGGTGAGATGGTTTGGATTGTGGCACTTCCACAGCCACCGACGCAGCTCTGTCTGGACCTGTGGGGAAACACACGCGGTGAAGTGCACAATTTGCAAGAAAGACCGAGGTAATGGCAAGTTGTTATATTGGCAATTTTTGTTGGAACCTGTCTTTCCATCGAGATTTATTTTCTTTCAGTTTACAGTAATTACAAATGTACCAGTCGTGGGCCAATGGTATCTGTAATAAACATTTAAGACCAGTTTCTGCATCATGTTCTTTTAACAGAAGGTTTTTTTTTTTATGTTTGACTGACACCTTTTTCAAATAATTTTTATCTGGTAAAAAAAAAAACACCACCTGTGGTTTATTTTCATGATAAAATAACAGCATTTTACTCCATTTTTCCCCTTTAAGCTTAAAATACCATCAGATGCTCAACCAAGCCATTAAACTGTTTTAGTTTATGTCTCTGTCCCAGCAAAAAAAGTTCCATAAGTCACTTTTCCTTTTATGAAGCAACAGTAAACTATTCTGTGTGTTTGTTACCTACCTCTCCATTCATGAAACAGTAAAGGAGGGCCACCACAAACCCCTGTAACACAGCAAATATACTTCAAACTCAAAAGCAGTCAATAAGACAGAGAAAAAACAAATACAAGTACTTTTCATCATTCCTAACAAATTTTACAAATGTATTTTGATATCTTATGTATTTTATTTGTCTTTTAAAATGTGCCACAAGTGAAAGTGGTACCGATTAGCACCTGCTAAAAAACTAGGCTGTTTTCAGCCTATTTGTGTATTTTGTATCCCTCACTATTACTATTGCCTATCTCTTTTCTTATAAATAAGAACACAACTCAGACTCTGTACTGGCCCAAGCACGCCGGCTGCATGGTAGGACCAGTGATTACATGAATAGACAGCGCAGTGAATACAAATTATCCCTTGGCAATTTTGTGGGACTGAATATTTGTTGTTCCACAAGTAAAAAATATAATAATAATTGCATCTGTCAGAGTTCTGCACTGGGCTGGGTATCTACAGCTATTATTAGATACTTGTTTTGCATAACGCTATTGGGCAAAATGTATCCATAAATAGAACACACAAGAGCATTACTAAAAGTATGTGGCAGGGTGACACCGAAACCACTTCTGAACATTATCTCAAACAGTCTTGGGTGCTTTTGTGCTTCATGCTATCTACAGGCAATTGGACCACATATTTCTCTGATAGAAATGTATCTGGGCATAAAAGATTAACCCTAAAACCAAAAGGTTTGCAATTTTCTTTCAAAGCAGGTGAGGCATAGGTGTGAATGATAATGCAGAGCCGTAATCACAGTGACTAGAAACACCTGAGCCTCATCTTCTTTGTCAGCCAAACGCCTCATTGTGGGTTTTCTAAGGGCTTTTTGTGTTTTGTTTTGTTTGTTTATTTACCTGAAAAGATCCCAGGCCCAGTTCGATGTACAGCCTGGCTGCCACTCCAGTGTTCTCAGGCAGAAAGGCAAATACAGTGTAGTGCATCCCAAACAGAGGAATGAGGAAGAGGGTAGATTTAGCCAGCCTCCTGAGGCAAAAGCAATAAAATGAAAGTAGGAAGAAAGAGTTGATACAGGCCCACATAATGATGTAACAGCTGTTTAAAAATTGAAATATTACAGTGCGCTAAAGCCAAGTGCTATCTTAAGTTGCAATACATGGAAAGTTTTAATTGGACAAACAGGGCAAAACACAAAAAAGTATAAATCATTTAAGTTTCATTGAGCCTGAGGTGGCAGTGACAAAACCTTCATAATCCTAACCTTTAAAGCACCTCTGTCATCAGGCCAATCAGAGGGAGAGATTAAAATGCCAAATAACAAAACCCAGATGCACTGAGCTCAAAACGCAATCTGAGTCACATCAGTGACGTACAAATATGTAAATGCTGCCATTTAAGTTTCTTTTCTGACATTTTCTTGTTTGTAAACCTACAAGTCATGCTGCTTGGAAAGATCAACTTTGCCTCGGCTTCTTCAGCAAGAGATAAGTATCTTAATTCATTGTTTCAATATTTCCTTTTCTTTTACGTCACTAAGTTGCGGACGACTTTATCTGCACACGATCAAAGCTATCAAATATCAACAAGCAGCAGTTAATCTGAGCACTGACGGAAATGTCTGCATGTGTTTTTTGTTCTGTAAAGATTAGGTCAGATTCTGAGTTTCTAAGTCTCAGCATAATGATACAGCTTTTGTCATTAAAGCACTCAAACGACTGTTCAGAAATAACTTCACAGCTTGGACTGCTTACGGATTAAAGATCAAAACCCCATCTGCTTATTTCATGCCTATAATAGGATTCTGCTCTTCTTTTGTCCCACCTGGGTGGTGTGCTTTGTGTTAATGCCACAGATCTTGCCTGTATCAGATTGAAATTAGTAAAGCGGTGATGAACCTTTTGTAAGTGAGAGACAATCACCGGATAGTTAAAGCAGGTCTGCCAAAGAGCGACGAAGGACGTGTCTATTTCTGGTATCAGGTGCCTTCTGTATTTGTTCTCGTTCTAAATTAATTCAGCCCATCGTACATCTACCCGAGTCAAAATGTCAATGAAGTAAAGTCATTTAGGGTTCCAGAGAAAATTCAAAAGTGAGGTGAACCGGCATAAAAAACACACCACAAGGCAAGATGTAGGACAAATAAAAAAGAAACTAATTTATCAAGATAAAAGTTTCATTGACTGATAAGTTGCTGTCGAAACTTTTTCTTTCCAAGTTTTATCCTTTTGTGAAACATGCTGCATGCGTGATATTCCAATCACCAATATTCCAACCAGATTAAGAGACAGAACAACACTTGTGTTGGCAGTTTTTACGCTAACAAGCTGAGGGATAAAATGAACACAGACACATAAATGTCAACTTAATTCGCTTGTGTTTTGGACTGGTTACTTTAAGAGTCTTTAAGAGACCAAGTTTTTTTTCCACAAAGCGGGAAAACCTGAGTAAACTTTGGTTCACCACTAAATGTATGTTGTTGCTTTTCCTTAATGCTTTTTAATGCTCTGGTTGTTGTGGCAGTTGTGATTGTGACTTACATGAAATGGCCAGTGTCATTGTTCCCATGTATAGCCGAAGATTTAAGCTTTTGAACCAAGATCCGGATGACATTTATGAAGATTACTATGTTGACCTGGTAGAAATACAGTAAATGTACGTGTTAATGACAAAATCCCAAACTCATAGTATAGTTAGTTTCTACTGAAACCAGACAGAAATCTGATTTATTACTGTTTCTGTTCAACTTACTTGGATAAAAGTGGATACACATAAACAAAAAAAGGTCCCTACATAGGCCAAGTTTTAGGAGAAGCGAACTTCCCAAACTGCATTTCTTAAGGCGTATAAATGTCATGCAAAGAGCTGGGTTTTGAAGAGTATGTTGAATTTTATTTCTTCCAGATGGAATTGTACAAATAATGCTGACTGATTCAGACAGATCTCAACAGGGGAATAAAGGGACTAAAGGTCAGTTGACCGCTCACCAGTAGCGAGGCTGTTATCGGTCCTTTAATGATCCACCAAATACCAACATTGTCTGTGTCATCCCAGCAACTGCAATGAAAAACAAATTAAATCCAGCCTATGACATAAAATGATTTATGATGTGTAAAATTCAGTGACATGACAAAAAAAACATCATACCCTCTGTCATCGTAGAAGAATCTGGTTAGAACCCAAAGAATGAGAACCATTGATGGCAGCCCTGTGATGAGAGTGCCAATATGAATTATCCATGTTAAGTCAATTAAGCTGAATTACCAAACTCACAGACTTGCTGCATTCTATTGCTGCAAATGTTTTCAGGCACATAAGACATTGTTTTTACTTCCTGTATTGTATTTAATGTGTCTCCCACTTGAATCTCTATGCCAAGAATAGCAGTAGGCACAATCCAAAAAGTCAAATGAAAGCGTAAAAAGACAGTGTTGGATGTAAAGCTGAAAAAAAAATCTATAGGACTTGTCAGAGCAGAACAATATCCCCATGGAAATACACTCTTTGTTAGGTTTTAAAAACAGATGCTCGGATAGAGAAATTTCTTCATAATTTTGGCTCAAATAACATTGTATCTTCACTTTTTTTGTATGTTACAAAGAAGAATAAATAATTAAAGCCACTGAATGCTTGTCTCTGTCTTTACGTATTCTGAAACTCAAAATGTAATTGTCACATTCAGTATTACTTTTTTCCTTTTTTTTCAGCACATTCTCCATCAATTTTCTGATCATGTTTTATTCAACGTGGGTACTTCAGGGATTAATATTCTGGACCCAGTTACACATGATCACAGTTACTGTAAAGGTATGCCTGTGTTTAGCGGGCAGTCCTTACTAGTTAAGCAACTATACTGTTTAAAAAAACTGCTGCAACAACTAATTTATCACACTTGGTGTTTTCTCATGTCACGTTGAAAGTTTAAAAAAATTGATGCTCTGATTGCACAGAAGAAAGTTTGGTGGTTGATAAAATCTTCCCCCCCGTCTTACAGCATATGTGTCAATGCACAGTGTGGCTTTAACTACAACTGCTCCAAAGCTTAACAAACCTCCTGAGGTGGAAGCATTGTGTCAACCTGAATGCTCAAACGCCTGGTATTCTTTAATTAGACAGACAAAAGCCAAGCTCATACCCCTTGGGGTCAGATCAGATGGAAAGAGAGTAATCTGAGAATCCATCCTGCTGACACACTTCATGACATTCTGCCACAGGTTCCACGTGACTCCTTATCAGAAAGAGTCCAGGGTTGTTGTTTTTTTAACGCAGCCCTGGCTGCGCATCACAACCACTCGTGGCTTCCCACAGTGTTTGGACTGTATATAAAGCCCAGCATGACCTCCAAACAATTTGGCTCATAGTTTCAAGAACTCCTCAATGGGGAAAAAGAAAAAGAATAATTGCTTCTGCCTCCACAACAGCATAACAAGCATTGTGCTGGTATCCTCACCTCTGCACCAATCAAAGGTGGTGCCTGCCTGCCTGCCTGCCCGCCTGGCTGCTCAGCTTAGTGTGGTCTAATTGTGAAGCAACACACTGGTGGCAGAACAAATTAGGTGGATTGGAGTTGAAGAACTCCATTAAATGACTGGAGTGCACAGGCTTACCAGGCAAATACACACCACAAAAAAAAGCCGTAAACAAAAAACAAAAAAGACAATAGTATGGGAATAGGAAAAACACTGGAAATCAGTGGACTAAGAAAGCCCAGAGAAACAAAAGCAGTATGAAATCTCATGAGCAGAGCCAAGAAAACAAGAGCAAATACACAGCTAAGCGTGTGCTTTTATGGAAATATCCTGGAACCAGCTTTCGGAGCGTGGATGGTTGTCTGGAAACAGATTCCGAACCTAAAATTTACTATGTGCTAAAAGAAGCATAAGATGAACTAATTCAGAAGGAAATACACAAATTGGACGGCATAATATATGTTAAATTATTGCACATGTCCTCTCATTTTAAAGCAACTGGCTTGAAACAGACCAAGCCTTCTGTCCTACAGATCTGTGAATACCAAAGGAGGGCAGAAAGCCTTTTATTCTTGGAGAGCTAAAGCTGTGATTATATTTAAAAATATGGAACAAAACATTGTAAAAGTGACCGCCAGCCTATCGCTCATAGGTTTTGCCATCAACATAGTGTCCCTTCAGTCATCCTTACTCACCCCATCCGATTAGGATGTACCACCAGAAGTACTTCCTCTGAGAGACGAAAGTGAGCGCCAGCAGGGTCTGTAGATACATGCCCTCAACCAGGAGCCAGAAGTAATTGGCCAGGATGCTGAACTGGAAGAAAGCCACGGCAGACTTGCATGCTGTCTGGAAACGACACAACGACAGATAGTAGTGGTACTTGCCACAGCATTCATCAGGCAAGTGGAAAGATGAAGAGATTAAAGCAGTCTTTCTATTTCAATTACACTAGCTCTTTCTCGCAGAGACATTATTTATGATACAACTGAAAAAAATGCATCATGCTTCTGTGGGCCATCTTAGGTCAACTACATGGTAGTGGTAAAGTAAAGTATTTGTTAAATAAAATGCATATATATTTCATCCCAAAAAATTGCCCTTTTTTTGCAGCGAATGACCTAAAATGCCATAAGAATAATTCAATTTCTACTAATTTCTTTCACTGTTCTGTCCAGTGTTAGCCTGTGCTCTGGTTTGGGGGGAGAGACATCTGTCTGGGGGTCTGAAAGGGGGCTTACTTGTTTTTTGAGGAATCTAAGACAATTATTCCTATTTCTCTTAAAAAATATATTTTTTTAATATATTTTTTTTTATCACCTTTCAAAAAGCTTCAGGTTCCAGTCTTGTGTATACATCAAAACAAGAAAAAGTGTAAGATTGTAAAGCTTAAGTCATTCTGGTTACTGACTTTGCCTGCTTGGTGTAATTTGCATGAGAGAGCAACAGAAGAGAAATTAGAAGACATAGCAGAATTTGTGTTGATTTGTGAACAGCGCACTGTGCGTGAACACTACAGCAGCTCCTGGATTAGCGCTGATCAGTGGAGGATGTACACGGGTATAAATTACACGCTTGTTTTTCACTCAGCATGGTATCTATCCACTTTCATGCCCTTTGATGAGCATCAATAAAAATAAATCCTGGAAGATAATCAGAGGAGCACGAACACCTGGAGGAGCGCCAGAGTGGACAAAGACATATTCAACATATTTGATTGCTCAGACCTACTCACAAAGGCGAGTGGTGGTCTTCTCATCATTAAACATTATTATTCCTAAATGAACATGACTATTTGTGTATCCACGCCATTTTGTCTTTTTTTAAAGGAACTATCAATATTTTACACTCAACATCAAAACATTGCATAGATTGGATAGATGTGAGTGCCTGGGATCTGAAATTTAAAGAAATATTTTTACGAACTTCTAGTTTAATTCCCTTAGAAGAAAATGAGAAAGGAAAAGTAATGGTTCTCTTTTTATGTTTACTCAAAGAAATTACTTCAGTATTACAATATCTATTTTATGGAAAAGTACATGCAAATATTTTACACGTTTAAAACTGATGACAGTTGAAGGATTGATTGCTCTTTTCATCTAATGAGAGGATTTTGCCATTCATCAATATTCCCTGCATCTTTCCCCCTTTCCTGTCCCTTTGTTAACTCAATAACACGGTAGACAGTGGAATCTGTATTATGATGGAAACAGCACTAATTAATTAGCAGCCTCACCGTGGACATGGAGCAGTGATCCAGGGTCTCATCAGAAAACAGCACTGTGTCTTTAATGAACACAGCACTGGCTCTCAGGACGAATGAGGAGAACAGGTTGATGTGAATGTAATTTCTGGTGCAGCGGAACTTCCTGGGATATAAAACACAGTGGGTCGTACAAACAGTTTCTTGTGCTTGTCATGCATATTAATATTTTAAGGAACAGTGAGAGGAAGAAGGTAAACAACTGCATGAATTTACATGATTCATAAGCATCTGTTCTGTAAAGACTCCATGAGGCTTCCGCAGATGAATATGTGACCATGTTCAAACTGGAAGACATTGCTTTAACCTGACAAAATTTGACTGAATAACTGTCACAAGCTTTTCCCCGTTTCCCCTTTTCTCCTCTGTCAATGAGCATCTATGTCAGTGTGTGCTTGGGTTGTCTTACCTGAAGGCTGCAAACACCACTATGGCTGTAATGAGGGAGATGAGCGAGGTTGCATAGCCTACAGTGTAGACTTGTCTGAATGTGTAGAGGTAACTCGTCTGGAGACAGAAAGTTGAAACGAAGCAACACAGACAAAAATCATTGATTGATGTGACTAAATTGTCCATAACCTTTCACCAAACATTTTAAACCAAGGTTTTAGATTCTAACCTCCCAGGTATTTGTCTGTATTTATTTTTGGAATAAACATATCTTTCTAGTAGTAAACCTTTTAGTAGCTTTGACCTAAAAAAAAAAAAAGGAGCACTGAGGGAGGAAGTGAGAACAGTATGGTTAGGTTTGAGTGTTTGACAACACACCTCAGATTCAGGCTCACTGTCATCGCTAAAGACACAGGCCTCCTCATAGGGTGGATACATCTCTGACCAGCCATCGGCAGTGCAGTTCCTGTACACATACCCTGAAAAGGGAGCAGAAACAAGTCAGCAAAAGGCATTAAGAACATGTCAGTGCTAAGGTGTTTTAATGGTAGTTAGTGTGAATACTTTAAGAGAGATATTTTTCATTTATTGTTGCAATAAAATGTTTTAAAATGTTAAGAATTTCAGACATATCAGACATAAAAATGCGGTTCAATCTTCATGTGTGTCACTATTAAACAAACACATCTGTTGTACTGCATTGCTACAGTGAGATTTTCTTGTCATTCTTAGATTAGCAGTGACAACTTCTATTCAGCACTTCCCCGAGCTGCTAGAAACTATGATGAGAAATCGGCTATTTTGGTCACTGACTATCTGCACTGACCACCATCTCTGCAGGTGTTGACTCAATATCTCATTAGTCTGACTTGGCCATTAAAAAAGTTACCTCCGCATTATATAGGTTTGTCAAGCATATGAATTTGTGTTGTCACTAAAAGAAACACATAATTCAAGGTTACGAAGAGACTGAAATGGAAATTAGTATGAAATTAATTTTTTGTCTTTTTGCTCACTCCCAACATCCTTTTTTTAACTTCAAAAACTCATTACAGAAACGCCCCCCTTGACTTCATTGTACTGACATTCAATGTTTTATACGTTGAACTCATGTAAAATCAGGAATGCCTAACCCAAATTTACATGTGGTAAGAGCTTTACCCTGAATCGAAAAGTAATCCTGACCATTCACTGTGAAAAGAACGGCCTTTGGATCACCGCACCGAAAATTTGCTAATAGGCCCTTTTTGCTCTATTAGGGTTGTCAGTCAGAGAATGGTTGCTTTCATGTCTGTTCAGGTCCACTGATTGCTACCTAACATCTGTTTGAAAAGATGTTTCAAGGGAAGAGTTTAAGCAATGTCTCTCCCTACAATCCTGTGGGATTGGTTATCAACACGTTTGTGTTGCAGATAGCAAAAAGGATATGGACTGTTGGGTATTGATCGAACAAAAACAAAAAAAATGCATGGCAGGAGGGATTTTTCTCCATTCTCTTTAAGCAAATAGAAACCAGACAGATTTTAAACCTTTAAAACTACAACAGTGTCTGGAAATTCATCTAGTCAAAATGAACCACAATTTACATCAGGTTAAAAAGAGGAGAATACGTAACTATTAATTCTGACTAACTTCTCTAATTATCTTCATAATGGTAGCAGAGAAGAGAAAAGACCAACATTTCACTGTCTAGAAAACAGCACTTTCTATGTCTGATATAGAACAAGTTGTCATAAAATACTTTTTAAAACAAAATTAAAACTCTGTTTACTACTAAGACCTTAGTGTATATATGATCATGAAACATGACCCCTGATGACAAGATTTCAACTTAAGTACTCCTGCCAGATGCGTCCCAGGGCATGCATTCTTGCCAACAAACATAAATGAATAATTCATTCAATGCTTCCTCGTCAGCTTTCATTAGCACTTTGATTACAATACAGCTAATTGGACTTGGCGGAGAGGGAGTGTACATCAACAGAAAATGGGATTCAAACAGAACCTGTGACTTTTAAACAATTGATTAAATGATAAAAGTGTTTTGCACTTTTTTTCCCTTTTTTTTTTTTGAAGCCGTGTCAGGAACCAACCTTGATTACTAGATAAATGCTGGAAGACTTCAGAGCAGGAGACATTGACCACCTGCCCCACGTCAGCTCTCAGCCAGCATCCAATTTCGTCCCACTCTGTTTTACATCCTGCAAAGATAGATGACAGAGGAGAAGTAGCAGAGACAGAAAGTCATAATCAGTTAAAGGTCATATTACTGAACTGAAAAGTTATCACCTCAGCAGTCTCACATGAGATTTGACACCTTTTGCCCTGATGCACTGAGAAAAATATATTATTCTGACCTAGCCTCTGAATTAGTGTATTTTAACATGACTTTCACATGTCCGTGTCAAAGTTATTTTCATTTTACACTTTGAATTTCCTTAGCACACAAAGAAATCTGTGGGAAATGATAATTGGCTTTTTTTACCCTGGATCAAGCCTAAAGGCTCAGCTACATAAAAGGTCTATTAAACCCAGATAAAAAATAAATTTAGCTAAATGGGATTCACAAAGAGATGATAATACAGCAGGATTGCCAACCCCTCATGCTTCCAGTTAAAGATACCTGCTTTCAGGCTCTACAGTACACTCACATACTGCCCAAACTAATCTCAAGTCAAATAAAAAGATCCTCAAAGCTCGTCTCTTGTTTGTTGCATGATTATGGTTCATCTCTGTCTTGGTCACGTAATGGTGTGGTAACATGTTCAAAAGTGACTCTCACCAAATAGAGTCCAGAAGCGTGTATGACATCCAGATGCATGTAAGGCAGGAAATATCTGTGGTCTAAAAATGAATTCCCTAGAGGTGTATTATGACCTCAGAGAACCATGGGATGTCTGACTAAAGCAGCAGACTCTCACAAACAGATTCAAAACTTTACTTGAAACCAAAAAAGAGATGCTTCTGTGTCTGTGAAAATCAACCTATTGGGACTCAGATGATGCTGTCAGAGATCCTTTAAACTGAAAAAGGTGCAGTTTTCAGCGGAAGTGAGAGAAGGGAAAACTTTTACCCACATCAAATGATATCTGGATGATTGTGCATGCATATCCCACAGACGAAAAAAAGAAATAATAATCACATGGAGGATTCAAGTTTAGAATTTATCTTAGAAATAAATATTAATCTAGCATCTACATCCACACCAGGTCATTAAAATCTACACAAAATTACATGACAGTTTATCCAACTCTTTGGAGCAAAAAAGTAGGCCAACTGACTTACGGTGAGATGGGTAAAGATCAGCCTGATATTTTTCTTAAAAGACCATTCATTTTTACTAAGTGCATTAGAAATCAGGTGTTGTTTTTTTTTTAACCAGTGCACTTCACTTCAGCATTGTAGTGGTTTCATGATGAGTGAGCCTGTTTGGATTGAAAAGGTCAGAAACGTAAAGGATCCACCACAGAAACAGACCATCATTTACATGCAGCAGTCTCTCTGAGTGGAATATGTATTTTCTCTCTGCGCCTTATTTCATTTATACAAAAAACTGTGTATCTAATCCATTATTCACTCCTTCTCCCGAATTTCTCCATGTCCCAAAGCCAACTGTTTCCACAGAGTCAGGTAGTTTGACAGAATTGAAGTCACTTTCTGTCTAACCCTGCAAAATGACAGTGGAGCTGGAGTGTGCCGTTACTCACGGATTCTGGATCTTTCCACGTTGCTGTCAGACTGACTGGCTGATATTTCTGATGCTGAGGATCAAGAGGTGTCCTCACATGCGCTTTCAGATTGATTGCCATGAAACTCTGCTATGGTATGCTACGGTTTGCTGTGAATTTCAGAGGTTTTACGCTTCAGTTGATGAATTTAGCCTTTATGATGGCAGGCAGGGTAAATATTTTCTATTTCTCTATTTATTATTAAACAGTAAATAGGCATTACTCAAAATGTACCACTTGAATTTAAATTATGTAAACGCAGATCCAAAAGATTAAAACAATTAATTCAAATGGCCCCAGTGATCGCCTCATGTTTCTTTTTCTTCCACAATTAATTCAATGTGTTTAATATGTCAAAAGCTACTGGAATGGAGGACCTTGGGACATTCTTCGATTAAAGTTTCATAATAAAGACACATTTGAGTTAAAGGCCAGTCTGCTCAGATTTAAATGATCTGAATTGTATCTGTCGTACATCACACTAGGGAGAACGTCAGTATCCAGGCAGATTAGATCCCTGGTCACTGTCACACTCCAGACCATCGCAGGTGTGTGTTCAGAATTATCTGGAATTTGAAACGTCCAGTTCTGGTGGCTTGCAGGAGCAATCCTCTTTAAGAATAGACCACTGTGACAGTGATTGGAAGTTTTTAATCCCTGATACCATTGGAGCATGATCTAATTCCAAAAGGTTACACCCACCTGGACACAGTTCTTTTAACCAGTGTTAAGGTCACTCTGTTACATTCCAGTATTTTAGTTAAAATGGAGGCATTTTCTTCTGTTGTATCTGTTCTATTTGTTCTGTTCTAACATCTTCTCCCTTTTGTGAAAATTTCTGACAAGACTAAGATAGAATTAATACATCTTAAAAAATTGGTTCTCAAACTTCTTCCAGTGAAGTGCATTTTGTTGGGAGGGGAAGTAATCCATTATAGATCAGACCTTAAGAAGATTAAAACTGGCAGTGAAGAGCTGTTAGGATAATAAAGGACGTGGTAACAATGCAGTTAACTCTCAGAGTTTACTGAGAACAAAGCAAAGAAAATGAAATGTTCTACATCTAAAGTACATGGAAATGATGTCAGGGATAAAGCGATTTAATTCTTCAAAGCTGTGGATTGTTCTTATATTCTTTTATTTCTACCACTGTGATTATAGGTGAATCTGATATTTTATATTTTTATGGTGAAAAGAAAGCTTCTTTCCAAGCACAGTGTATGTGGGAGGAACATCAGGTTTACACAAATAGGTTTAATCCTGACAAAATCCTGGAAGAGGCAAAGACAACAGCTTCCAAATTTCGCATCACAGCAGAGACAGTGAAATGTTTATGAGCACTTTGATGGGAGGAACTCACAAAACCAACAGCCTTTGTGCCATTTGTTCTAACCAGCTGTAGCACAGAAGAGCTGGAGTTAGCCTTTACTGATATTCTCACATTCAGGTGTAAAAATGATCAGACAAATTGAACAGTTTAATTGAAGCTCATTCTTGAAATGCAGTGGACATTTTATCTACATATAGTTATAGGTCAAAAGTTGAAAGGTCCTGGTTGTCATGAGTTTTGATGTCACATACAGACAGTGACACCTCAAGGTATAGTGACCAGGTGGCTATACTGAGAAACAAATGCAACCAAATTGGTGTGTTTGAAGAGAGCCGACGCATAGTGACAGTATGATTTAGAGATGGCATGTCTTACCACACTGACAGTGTGTTGGCTGACACATAAATCCCTTATGGTAGGCGGCTTGGACTACCTTCTATGCTCAATACACATTATTTCTAAGTTTACATGGACAAAACATTTATTTTATGCTTTTTTCTCTGTGTAGAGAGAAGAAGTGAAAAAGTATTCCTTCACAAACTGCTGGTCTTTTTCTAGTCCTGTATCAACTAAAATACAATTCAGTTCAAGTAATAAACTAATTCCCATCTTAAGCAAAACATTTAGGTAATTGTACATTACTCTCTAGAAAGGTTTTTGTTTTTGAAAGCATCACATAGCATGTCATAAATTTAGAACACAAAGACTCAACTGCTCCCCCAGTTTTTCTTTTCAAACCAGTTTGCATGGCACCAGCAAATCCTGGTGCCTCCACATTGTGACGCACAAGTTTTCAAATGATTCAACCATCCATATGATGTGAGGGAAAATCTGATTCATCACATCTGTTCTCATTCTTTCATCGCACCTGCATTTCACTGTTTACTGGCAAGCCCACTGAAGCCCGTTCTAGTGGTGCACAGAGGTCACCATTACTGGTTTATGTCTGAAGCCTCATAAGAAACAAACCACAACAGTTTGAGCTTCGATGGTTCTTGTAGTGGATGAAATCAATTGGGGTCAACCTTCATCCCCACATGTGAGCATAGGCCACCAGTGACCCTGCTGCCTTTTCACAGTTTTTCCTTTCTTAGACTGATTTACACAAATAGGTGTGTATTGTGGATCATCCCACAATTACAGCCGTTATGATGACCCTATGACCCAGCTGTCCACCTATCAGGACAATGTGATCGTCAAAAAGCTCAAATCTGTACGCTTGTCAATGCATAAAGGACCTGTCTGAGAGTTATGAGCTACATATTTCCCACTGTGAAAGTACACTTCAACCCCTTTTCTTTAAGTCCAACCACCTTAAAATAATTAGTATTGGGATATGATGTGCAATTTGGTTAGGGAATACAATTCACAATCATTCATGATCCTCTGCAAAAATGAGAAAAACCTGAGTCCAACTGCCCTCACCCTACATTATTCAATTAAGTTTTCTGCCTTCCGTTCTTATTTTCTCTTACCATTCTTAGAGATGAGATTACCTCCAAATTCAGATTAAATCTTGTTATCTGTGAAGCTGTGGAGCAGTATTTCAAGGAGAGAAATCCCTCTTCTGTATGATTCAACTCGTATATGTGTTTGGGTTACACAAAAATTGAGTGAGAATAGAATTGCAATGTGCTGGGGTTTATTGCAGAGATGCACAATCACACACTAAATCGAAAAAGAAAAAGTGTTTGTCCTTCTTCATGTATGTGACAGAGCAAGGGCAGTGAAACCCATGAATTATGGAAACTCACACTGTTTCACCGAGACTGACATCTTTGTGTTTAATCACTGAAGGAGGCTGAACAACCAAGCAGGGAAAACTGCTATGTTTTATTCCCTTCTGTGTCAAACTGTCACCCTTCACAATTAACTTACAAATCAAATGGCTCATTATTCCTTTCATACATATCTTTTCAACCTATTTTTTTTTTCAAACATTTCCTCCCTCCACTGAGCAGGGCTCTATTCTTAGGCTTTGATTAATACACAGCTCCGGGGGAGGCTGTTCACTTTGAGTGTCACTTCATTTAGGATTAGAGGGGTCATATGAAATGACATCGGACATAACTGAGACCTTCCAGAGCGCTGTTGATAGAAGAGCCTGATAGTGTGTTCATTCATTACACGGCATACGTTCAGCTGATTTATCACAGGTATCAGGAGCTCTGATGCCATTCTTTTTTAAGGTAAATGAATATTTAGGTAAAGTTATTATTATTTAATAACCTTCAGTTTGTATAGTTTTCTTACAAAATTACTCATATTTTATAGTCAATAGTCTAATAATGACCTTCGTCAGTTATTTATTCGTGATTTTGCCGTACAGAAAACCCATATAGGGCTAAAAACACATATTTTAGCACTTTTTAAGGATTTAGGTAATGCTTCCCAAGTTGTTGATAACATCTTATTTGCTACATGACCAGCTTAGTGTTCATTAATTACCCTCAGAGCATCCACTTTGGCCAATTTGACAGCTTGCTGTTTGGGTCCAGATCGGGCAGAAGGTAGATCATTACAATTCAGCCTGTTTTCGTGTTAATTGGCAGTATTTAGCTAAAAATGTGGGAGGTTTTAAGTAGTTACAAAAACTATTGGAAATCTTTAAGAGGCCTCTCGGCTGTCGTAGTCAATTTTCCAATGTTTGTATTCACTAAAATGTCAATAAGTAATATTTGATTGCTGTTTGAGTCTAGTGAACCGTCAGAATTATCTGCCTGCATAATTATTACTGATGAATGGGATCTGCAGAATGTGGTTCTCACTTTTTTGTGTTCTCCTGTAATTGGAAGCCTTAAACTTAAAAAACTATTCTAGCATCATTGGTAAAATTTACATGTGCATCGTTTGTTGCAGAGAAAAAAGACACAAAGAATACATGTATATAGTCCTACTGCATTATGATTCATCACAAGTTTAAATCTTACTCTAACATAACTCCAACAAGTCACATTGGGGGTGCAATGACAAGACACACATTAAATCCACAAGAGATCTACTTCATCTTGCTATGCCGACCTGTTGACCTGCAGAAATACAGAAATTCTTTATAGGTTTTGACAATCTTTCAAATCTGTACTCCATTTGACAATAAACTACATTCACAGTTTAACACACGTAGCTACAAGCAACAATTAACTTTCATTTTAGCTAGCAGTTTTTGTAAAAACAGGTCTAAATGTAACACCAGTGTTGGCGAGCTGTGCATAGCCTGAAGGTTCCTTTCAAATTAGTAAAATTCCTCACTGTTGAGAGACACTTATTATAACCCAAGCACAAAATGTATTAATATGTTGCTGTTGGAACGAAGTCACACTATAGCATCTTTCCTGAAATTGTAATGAGATTTCATGCCAATCCTTTTTGAGTCAGTTGGACAGTTTTCTTTGGAAAAAAAAGAATTGATCTTTCGTTTTCGTACAGTTGATGTGACCAAAAATGAGCTACACCTATCTGAGATGCCACTTTGGATTTTCTAAACTTCAAATATGAAACTACAGTTTCATATTTGTTCATCATTTCAAAGCCCAATAATGAACTTAAACTAATCTGTTGCAAGCATAAATCAAGCCGAACCATTTTTTAAAATTCAGCCAACACCACCATATACTAAACTGGCATGTATCAAATATTCTATATTTGCTTACATTACCAGGAAGAGAAACTGATGGCAGTTATCACTTGAGAAGAGGGAAATTTCATCTCCACACGCCTCTCCAACTCTGTATGATCACATACCTGCACAGCTGGCATCTCCGACTGGACTCACTAACACTGTACTTTGACAGGGAAATCTGTCAACAGTAGTTCAACTGCATAATGAGCAGCTGATGACAACTTTGCACCAATGTGTTAAGTCTCTTCAGCATTAATTAAGATCAATTTAGACTGAAAATGTTAAAGTTCATCACTCTCCTGGGGGGAGCTGATCTCATGTTGTTGTATTAAGCATTTTTAATGAAAGTCCTATTTTTCAAACTTTTCAGCCCACCAGGAGATGCCAAAACGGCTAGTTTATGATAAAGATAATTAATCAAATCGGAAGGACAAGCAAGTGAGGACAGGGCACAGAGCAGGTGGTTATATGATTACTATGATGAATATGACGTGATGTAACAACACGTTTCATCTGGCAGTGTCATATACTTTATCTCACTGCTTTATTAACATCTGGTTTCCTCCTTCTGGTGCCATCAAATTCAAACTGAGCTAATCATATTCATGAAATAGCGTAATGTCTCACTTTCACTATTTGGTATGTTTTTTATGTTCAAATATTAATTAAATAGGTTCAAAAGATGCGGGGGAAAATGAATTAATACTTTTCCATTCACTTCTTCTTGACTGCAATCCAAGCTCTGTGTGTGAAATTGGAGTTGATACACCATAATATGAATGTAAAATCTGATCTATTAGCTCTTGTTGTAATATTGTCAATGGATCATATTTAAAAAAGGTTATTTCATTGTGTTGCTATCTGCATCTAAAGTTTTCCTGATGCCTCTTGACAAGATGTCAAAGTGATGCCAATTACCTTTTAATGTAAAATGGCTCCTGTATAGCCAAACTGTCACAAAAAAAAACAAATTTGTTGTCCTTTTGCAAGATTCCCCCATATTCATTTAAAAAACAAGCTCTCATTAATGTTGACCATTGGCTTGGTGATGAAACTGTCAAAGCTCCTTCATCCTAATGAATCACTACATGTTGGCAGTCAGACTTGGAAAGTCTAAACCTCCTCCCACCTCATGATGGAGGCCTCTGAGCACCTTCCTCTGACCTACCTTGAAACATCCTGTGCAGTCCCAATCCCGTTTAGCAGGGTTACCAACAATTCCCCACACTTATTGCTGGTTTTCACTCATAAATTACACATTAACTGTGACCCTTTGGCAGGAGTTTGCATTCTTAATATCATTTGTTACATTTGCCAGAAACCAATAGAATCTGCAGAAGCAAAAAAAACACTTTGTTTTGCCATTATGATGTGTCTGAATAGTTATGCAAGCAAGATGCTTCACTCTGATTTTTGACAAATTTACAAAGCACTCAAAAAGTTAAATCTTTGTTGTTGTGGTCTCACAAAAATGATCAGATGGTAAAAACAACAACATCAAACACATTCTAAGATGGGTCTTAAAGTGTTCTTCAAGACCCAATAGGTATTATGAATTGATTCCTAATTGTGTTTTTCCTCAATAGGCCTGCTAGATGGAATATATTTTCAAAATCCTTTGCTTTTCAGTTCGTTGGTTTAAACAGATCACCCAAGGGGATATATCTTAGGACTTACATATCTATATTTTACGTTTGTTTTTGACTAAATAGATAACAAAGAAATTCTACACTGCTGTACTACTATCCAGCTGAATATTAATGATATGATGGTGTACAGTAAATTCCTCGCATTTCATACTAAACGATTACATTGAGAGGCTGGAAAAAAGCATGAAATGTCTCCAGAGTCCACTTCTCTCCTGTCTTAAAGGTACATAAAGTTGTCGATGTTTGTCTTCTCAATCATAAATCGTAGTCGTATTCAGAATGACGGTAAAATTGAAAACTTGAATAGGCTAAATATGAAACTTAATGCCACAATAAAACGATATGAAAAGGCTGGTTAAACCTATTAATCACTTTCTTATCGGAAGTTATGCTGCAGTTTGTTCCCCTCCCCACATCTTTCAACTAATTGTGTCACGTTGTTCACACAGATATCCGTTATAATCCTTTATAAACACCAAGTTTTATCCTCTCTCGCTCCAAGTGCGTGTGAACATGCGGAAACGGCATCACATGCACGCAGGAACCCACCGTTTTGTTCGGTTTGGTTTTGCGCTTCGCTCATCCTCGTCTGGCTACAAATCTCTCGAGCCCTCAGGTGCTGAGAGACTATGGCGCAGTCCGGATGAATCGCTTCGCCCTGAAAATAAGATGCAACTGAGTTATCTGTTGTGATGCAAAAAAAAAGTCAACGTATTTTTCGCTTGCTCGGAGGAGTAAAGACGCGTGAGCTGGCGCGGCGATGACATGTGGAAATTCAAAGCACACCATTCATCAAACATCACCAGCTGAAATACTTTGGAAATAGTTTTACGTCATGCAAACTTCTATTGCAATTACGGACCTAATCAAGTTGGCTTTTGGTGTTAAATAACTGCTGTGACGTTGAGGGGAATGTGATTTCCACAAGGATGCCTTTTGCATAGTCATGCGCAAACCTTTCAGGCAACATCTGGGCTTATCTGATTTGTCCTCCGTGTTTACCCTGCTTGTTTAGTCTCTGATTGATCACAGTAATGATGTATGCAGGTGGATGGAAAATCTCTAATTAGTGCCGGCAGCGAAATGAGGACGGTTGCTGTCTAAGTGTGACGCATGGCCCAAAGACACGCAGAAGGACATCGGACAAATGGGTTAACTGAATTACACCCCAGATGTTTTTCAATAAAGAAGTGTGTTTCCTAATCTTGAAAATATCGTTGTGTAGATGGCAACGGCAACAACTTTTGGCGCACTTTTAGGTGCTTTTCAGTCAGTTGTTGTTTTTGCACAGATTGAAATTTGCGCAAGGAGTCCGTCTTTTACGGTAGAATAAAAATGTTACTTACCATTGGGTTGGACCACAGCTGGAGATAAAGGATGAGAAGCATCACTTTACCGTGCCGTCTCCTCAGCACCCGATAGGACACCCCCATGTTCTGACCAGGGCTCCTTATATCCCTCATCTCGTTATGGTGCGAGAGCAAATCCAAGCTCTATTCCTCGTATCAATTTTTAGAACGACTTCTTCTTTACAGCTGCTGTTGGAAAAAAAAAATCCACACCGTGAACCCAAAATAGACTGGTGCTGCTTCTTCCTGCGCGCTGCAAACTTGAGAGAGAGGAGAGGCTGGTGCACATCTGCGCTCAGTCTCAGCAGAGTAAAAATCAGTTGAATGAGTATCTCCATTCACAGCAAAGGGGGACGCCTCACGCAGCAAACAGCCAATGGCCTAATTTCAAGTCATGGGAGGCTTTCTGCAAATATTAATGAGGGTCATGGCAATAGGTCAGGTCTTACTTGTATTGTATCAACTTTTTTGGGCTGATATTTACATCAAACAGATATTAACATCATCAGCTATCATTATGTGTCTACAGGCTGGGCCCATCTGAGCTATGATTGCATTGCAGCCACAAGCAGTTGCTAACTAACATGACAGCTCACAGGGCTTTTATGAGTGAATCACACATTTTTCTAATTGGTTTGTGCATATCTGTTAATCAGATACCATGCTCGTTTAAACGGCAAAATATGCAAGAAGAAGATATCAGACATGAAGATCATTTAGAGGAGTACATCAACTCACTGAACTCAGGGATACAAAAATGTTTTTTTAGGAATAAATGTCTGAGGATGTTGTCAACACAGTGGGTGTCACATTAAGGTACTTTTCTTGATGGTTGACTTAATAATTCCTTAAGGGCTGCTGTGGGAAACTGTCAACTTTAAAACCCAACAAATTAAAAATGAACGGGAGGAGGTTTTCTTTAAGAGTCAAAGGTAATTAGTATTAGTGAAGCACGAGCTGTGTTTTTAAGGAGCATTTGCTTTCCTTTAAAAGCAAACATGTCAGGCAGAAATGACTAAATTAAGTCCTTCATTTACTTGTTTACTGAAACAAAAGCTAAACTAATTAAACATGTGGAAGATTTTGTTGGCCTCACAATGAATTAGTTCAATAACACAGAACAATAGGAAACAAATATAATTTCTCATTTAATTGTTGTGATAATCTTGTGGGAAAACTCCAATTGTTTTAGGTAATCACAATTTCTATTAATTAATTAATTTAAATAGTCAGTATCTAAAATTAATTTTATTTTGCAGCATTTGTTCCTGATTTTAAAATTGACAGTTCTCCATTGTCAGACCTGAAAACTTTAATGATGTCCTCTAGAATGAGTACAGATGGTACATATTCATTATTTCCCTTCAGAAGATACAATCACAAAGCAAACCTGAATCTCTGTTGTATTCCAGCATCTGCAAACAATTCAAAGAGATAACAGCACTCTGTGACAATGAATCTGGTCATGAAACAGATTTAGTAAGGAGAAAAGCAGCAGAATAAAGGGGAAACAAATACATTATGCACATTTATGGAGCTCAAAGACAATAAACTTGATTGCAAGCCATTTAACTCTTGGAACCATCGCAGCATTTTGTGAAAGAACATTTTCCTTTTTGTTTTCTGAACTTATCATGAAGAAAATGTGAAGGCAGCCCAGTTGGGACTGGGACATAAGAACAGCTTTTACAATCCGTACACCGATTTAAATGATTGGCCATCTCCACTGGTGAGTGATTTACAAAATGGGTCATGTTTCACAGTCTTCAGGTGCGAATGTAGAGCAGGACAGTGCTAAAAAGGACAAATCCTTCCCCAAAGGACACCCTCCCAAGAACACAAGATTTCAGCCCTCAAGCATCCTTCAAGGTCTTACAAGCTGCTCATTTGCAATAGAATTTCACCACAGCTGTGTAACCAGAGCTTGTTTATGGTTATGAGTATGACAATTTCTTCACTTAAAAAAAAAAAATCTATTAGAGATGCATCCTAAACAGTTTGGTCAAAAAAATAATCTGTCTCGTTGTTCTTGCATGGCCTCTGTAAATGACTGGGATTGATTCCTAGAAACACCTGATAAATATTCACTTATGGCCAGACTTAAAATTCCAACTGAATGCAGATAGAGCATGGGTTAGCTAAAGCATGTAAACATGTGTCAGTCATGATTATGTTCTTAATTTACTGGTTGAGAACCCACAGGGATTGCTTAAATTGCCCCGTCCTGTTTGACCAACAGTTAGAAACCAAAATTCTGTTATATACTTTTTAAGGAGGGAAAAGTACTGGAGTTATAAGTTAAAGGAGCAAGTAAGAGGAGGTGCTATGAAGAATAAATCTATTTTACTGCATATCAAAAATAAACTGTGTTGTCTGTTTGCCTATCCTAAATCTGTCTGTATTCATGTTTATCTTCAGGAGCGACACACTAAGAGCCATAGAACCACTCACATGTCAGAAAACATAACATCAATACGTTTTATAAGAAAGTCTGTTTACCAACCTGCCTGACCTTTGATGACTGCTTTGTATGATGAAAGAAGAAGAAAGCTGGAATATCTTACAGAGTCTGCATTTGTATTTTAGAATATATTTCATTTCCTGTGAAAAAAGTACTTTGTTTATGCTCACAGCTGATCCAAAGTATCAGACTCAATGTAGAAGAGAACAACGAGGAGTCAATCATATCACGCCAATTCCCAAAAGGTGAACACTGTGTAAAGACATTATTAGAAAAAATATAAAGCAATGATTTGCAGATCTTAGAAATGATATTTTCTATAATAATAAAAAACAGCAAATGTTGAAAATTAGACTTTTTCGCTATTTCATCAAAAATGAAAAAAAAACAAATTATGGAACAAGGGCATCAAAAGAAGACAAAAATGAAAGGCACTGGTGATAATCAGCTGAATGGACATGTGGAAAAAGAGTTCCTTCAAGAGGCAGACTTTCTCAGAGTTAGGAAAAGGCTATCATGAAAAAAGGCAGCAAATAATATCTTAGCAATTTAAGAATAATGACACTTCATGTAAAATTGCGGAAACTTAAATGAGTTAATCAAATACTGTAAATAATACGGCAAAAAAAAGAGAATCTGTGCCAATCGCACCATTTGCTGTCTATATCCTCAGGGTCCTTTGGGGATTCAGAAAGAATCATTATTATTTCATAGAAATCACTGCATGGGCTCAAGAACACTTCCAGAAATATTTTTCTGTGAACAGCACTTACTGTGCTATCCATAAATGCAGGTTAAAGCTTTATTCATGCAAATAGAAACTGTATGCAAATATGATCCAGAAACACTGCCTTGTTCACTGAGCCAAAGCTCATTTAAAGTGAACAAAGGCATTGGAGAAAACTGTGCTTTGGTCAGAAAAAAAATAATTTTCTTTAGGAGATCAAGGATGTCCTGAAATAAGAGGGATGGTGTCCAGCTTCCCAGTGCCTTGTTTAAAGCCTGCATTTCTGATGGTGTGGGGGAGCAGTAGTGCCTTTAGAACTACAGTAATTCCCTATTCAAAAAGGCACCATCAGTGCTGAACAGTATGCACATGTTTTGGAGCAACACGCTCCCATCAGGGTGACATTTAGACCCAGTAGAAGTCATGTCTGTAAACATTTTGAGTGTTTGCCTTAGTAATTTTTTAAAGAGTTAGCTAAAGTTCAGGTCACTCCCATTCATGCTCTTCTCTCAGATGGATTTTTCCTTCCATCTGCTTGTAAAAAATGTCTTTCTTCCTCTTGTCCATGACATAGAAATTCAGGCAATAATGGTGAAAAATGATTCCCAGTGGTGTTCTGCAACTTAAAGCCCTAAGGCAAAACAGCTAAGACCTGTCAATATATGCCTAAATCTATTTTAATATTGAATTTGAATGGTCGAAAAATGGATCTGCTCACTGTGATGACCCGTAAATGTGTTTTGAGTCAGGTCTTGCAGTCACAATGTGTTTCTGTTGTATACCTGTTAGTTGTGGTTGAGAGTGAATTTGATTTGGTTTGACAGCTCAGCTTAGTTTTAGCCACACACAGTCCACACACACACATTCAGTGGAACAGAAACTAGTTTTCTTCCAAAAGCCTGCCTGGATTCATACAATTTCTCTTTTGAAAAGTGCATGAAGCATGTCAGACCTTACAATGCCCATTTATTTTAAGAGAAGACATGTTTTTTGTATAAACTGTAAGTGATACAACAGGACCTAAAACACATTATAGTGCTTGGCACACATACATCATGCTAAATCTAATGCTGCCTTCACTCATAGTGATGGGAAAATGTATGATGACAGTGGAATAAATTTGTCAAAATACAGCTCTTAAACTCTATCAGAGAAGAACAGGCTTTTATACAGATTTCCCAACAATATATATCTAAGTGAAGGATATCGGAGTGGTAATTTGATGAATTGTAAGCCACTTTGCTGTGAAGTCTACGTATGTATAAATGCTCTCTCTCTCTCTCTCTCTCTCTCTCTCTCTCTCTCTGTGTATATAGAGATATATATGTCCTATATATATATATATATAGGGAGAGAGAGAGGTATCTGTGTGTATATATATATATATATAAAAATATAGGGGGGGGGGGGGGGCTGATTCAATTAAACTATATTATCATAGTTTTAATGAATCCTTCAAACAACGAGTGTCTCTACGCATCAGGCCAGCCGCCCTGTCAAAATGACAACCAAGTGACAGCCAGTTGTCAGACCTCCCCAAACAAGGATAGCTGGGAAATGCAGTGTTTGACTGAAACGGACCATACCAATATTACGAAACGATTTCTGCTTCAATATGAACATTATTTTTAATTACTACGATACAGTCTGTTTGTATTTATTCCTATTAATCGTAATCTTTTGTATCTGGATCAAAACAATGAGAATATTATGGTTAAAGCGGTGATTAAGATAACATCCCCCCCCTTTGCAAGACAGGAATACTGTGTGCCCCACACTGCAAGTCCTCTTCTACCGTCGGATTACGGCTGTGGCGGCACGCGAAAACACATTCGCCGAATCACAAAACGTCGAATAAACCCAAAAGTAAGTGTTTTAAAGTTATCATTCAACCGCATAGAGTTTCGAACAACTTGTACTGCTTGTAACTGTTACAAACACTCCCGACGACGGGGTGTTTTTTTAGCGCCACGTGGGCTACCAATCCACTAGTCGGAATGGCTGTCAAAAAACTTGTGCAAAGTAACTGTAACTAGTGGCAGAGTGGCAAAGCTACCACGAACTGAAACACGGGTTTGAAACTTTGCCCTGTCGATGTTTTTATCTTTGTTGCCTATCTAATTTTGGGACTGATTTTAGGTATACATTTTCCGTGTTGGTACTTTTTTTTTTTTTTTTTTTTTTTAACTCTCTGACATGGATAAACACACATTCAACCGACAGTTTTTACTCTCTTCTCTGTTCACCATTAGCCTCTTATTCCTCCAAAGGTGAGTGTTGGCGTTGAAGCTGCTTTTCAGCTGATGCTCACAAGCCCCCTGCAAACCTGTTGTGTAGTTGAGTTCTACTCTCGGCTGCCGGGTTCCTTAATGCATTTTGCCTTAACTAATGCACCCTTTGCAATAAGCATAATGCTCGTGGCTAAACACTAAGGTTTTAAATTATGGTTTTGTACTGCTTTAAATCTGTGCTTCCTTTAACCAAGAGATGTTTCTGGTTATTTACCCACATCTAATGCAACAGCTGTTTTACAAGTAGTCTTGGGTAGCTATAGATGCAAGTTTTTACCCTTTAAAAAAAAACTGTATTAGCTCTGTATTAGTTTTAGGATTTTGTATGGAATAAACTCGTATGAGACTTAACAGTGACCTATATTGTGCATCGAATGTATGTGCATGAAACCACTTTTTTTGTGCATGATTGCAGTGTTGTTTTCAGCTTCTTACAAAGCTTACAACATATACTTTATGTTATGAATATGTTCTGTAAACTGTGAGGGCATGTGATTTCAGTCTGCACCATCAGTACTTTCAATTATTGAAATATTCAATTCCACAATTGGCAGCGCACATTGTTCTCCAACATGGTAAAGCGAAGGTGAGTCATACAGTCTACTGCCCATTTTTAGACTTGCTGGGTGTTTCAGTGCGAACATCTCCTCATATTTAATTCATTCACTGTGCTTCCTCACTAATTGGACACAGATGTCTCTGAAAGGTGTAGTTTTTTTTTTGTGCGCCACATCTGTCAGGTGTCATCTGCCCTGCTTGTGATAAGGTAGTAGATGCTGAGCAACTGCTGCAAAACCCATTCTAACAGCCATACATACTCGCTCTACATGTCATCTAATTCGCTTCTACTTTGTGTTTGAAAGTCCAGTATGAAATTAGGTGAATGTAACTTGCTTGGGATTATTCCAAAACTGCAGAGGTCATTCTGAGCCTCTTTTTTTAAGGGGGACAAATCTCATTCAGTTTTTGGGGTTTAGGTCAAGTTATTTATTATTTTATTTTTTTTTACCATAAGACCCACATTGGCACCACATGATGGCTGCTTTACAAGCGTTGGCTGATGCTTCTAACCAGCATGTTCCTGTGTGACTAACTCCACACCGAACTAATGGATCAAGCTTCTTCTTCCTATTGCTTCTTTTCACTCAAGTGAGTAGAGACGACGCCCCTTTCATAGAGCAATGGATCAAAATCGCCAACCGAGAAAGGCACCTCAAAATGCGGTCCCACTGGGGGCCATCAGGCAGGGAAATATTCCTAGTGTGGAACAAGGAATCATCAGTGGAGACAACGTCCAGTTTGGGAGGCTGCGATACCGCTCACGCTTGTCCCAGTCAGAGGGCTCGGGGGCTGAAGAAGACCGTCTTGGCTCCTCCATGGAGGGGAGCAGCTCCTATGGTCGAAGCCCCCTCCTCCAGGGCATGCAGGCCGAGACGGTGTGGTACAACCGCAGCACCTACGAGCAGGCCGAGGGCAACTTCCAGCGCCGGCTTGCCTCCAATGGCAACGGGCCATTGTCGTCTTCTCCTCGGAGCCCTAACACCAGAGGGCCCTTGACCTTCCACTCCAGGCGCAACCATGGCGAACAACAAGATCAGGAGCACGCAGTCACTACTGTGAAGGCGTCCGGCACTCCTCACCGTCAGTTCAATAGAAGCCGCTACCGCACCTCCTCTGAGAGCGAGCAGGGGAGCAGAGACGGCAGGAGACCATACCAGAGGAAGAGGGGCTTCTCCGAGACAGATGGGAAATGGGACAAGTATGACACCTCTCACACAGGGAATGGGAGAGACAGTGTGTGTTCGGTTATTTGACAGGTTTTTTTTTTTTTTTTTTGTTTCCAGTGGTCTGCAATATTGTTTGTCCTTATTATGCCAACTATAATTCCGGAGGGCGCTTGTTTGATAACATGGTGTAATGTACAATATAAAATGTCACTGGTGACCGAAGTCTGTCTTTTCTATGTTTGAACAATAAAGTGGGTTTCTGTATTGGGGGTCGGGCGGCAGGGACCAACCTTTTGTTGCATAATCCAGACTTTGCAGACGAGGCAACTCTTGTTTGTGAGAGGAATGTGGCGCCGTCTACTGCAGTGACCCCTCTCTGGGGTGGGGAGGGCTGAATGTAGAAGCTATTTATAGCTATTGTCTTTCACTTATAGGTATTGTCTGTCATTTAATCTATTTCATATCGTTCCTGCTTTTCACAGTTGTCAACTTTTTGGTTGTACAATTTAGAGAATGTCTCCTCCCATTCCACCAAAGACTCACCTGTGGCCTTGCATGCTGCCGTAACCTGTCATATAGTGAAGTCACACCCAAGCATCTCACTGAGACCATCACTGATCGTACTCGTAACATCTCTACACCCGCTGCTCAGCGTTTGTCAGATCAGCAGCTGGACGGGGCTTACGGTTCATGCAATAGGTCTTGAACTGTCTCCTTCTATTGTTCCAGTTCCAACATGAGCGGAGTGCAGTGCCTTGCCACAGAGAACATCTGGTTCGACAAACAACGCTACGACGAGGCCGAGACGCGCTTCTACGAGGGGGCCAACGGCCCCGCCGCTCAGCAGCAACAGGTGGGGAAGCGTGACCTTTATTTTCTGTGCAGCTACTCTGCGCCACTGGTCAGGCCTCGGCGTTTAGCGGTGTAATACTGACCGCGGAGCCTTGCTTATGTCTATGCCCTGTTGGTTCAGGCAATAGTTGCATCATCGTTGGTCACAGAACCCGGCTGCCCGGAGCAGCTGTCTGCACGCCGGTTAAGCCACTCGATTTAGAAGTGGCTTGTGCAGTGAGAAGGGTCAGGTGGTTTGGCAGCTGTCTCGGCTCCTCAGGCCCCTCTTTCCACTGCGGAGGTTCCACAGTGTCCTGTGATACGAGGGAGATTCACAGCCTGCTGTCTTTCAGCTCTGAGAGGTTTTTCACAAAGGTTGAAAAGGTGCCCTCCTGCTGTTTGGTCTCACTGTCTGCCTGTGCTCTGTCTACACAGTTAGTGGTAGTGTGATCATTTGTAGCAGCAAATTCAAATGAAAAGAGGTTTTAAGATTGTTTCTACATGCTGAATTCTGAAGGGTTTTGTATTGAAACCTGATCAGTTTTCATAATCGTTATCCTTGCAAAAACAAAAGCAGCTGCATTCAGTCTGTTTTTTTCCATTTTCCACACAAGCCCGGGGCTAAGAATGAGTGGATGACATCCTGATGGACAGAGCCCTGCTAAATCCCAAAAGAGCAGGCTGCAGTCTTTTGTGCCTTTGGCGTTACTTTTTTAAGTCACAGACTGACAGCGGAAGTGTCAGTGTTTTATTAATTATTCTAAAAATACGTTTTTTTCCACAGATGGAAAAATGACTGAGGGGCTGCGCACTTCTTTTTTGTTCTGTTGACACTTTTTAAACTCGTACAGCTGTCCGTTACAGTGTTAAAAGACAACCCTTTGAGTAGAACTGCTTAGCTGAAACTATTATTTAATACTGCTTCAGTCAAGGTTCCAATAATGCTAAGCTGAGATTATATGGTGACGTGTAAACACTGCAGACCACTGATTAGTCAGAATGCTCACCTAGGAGCAAAATGACTTTGCGGAAGACTTTAACTACTGCTCACATGACACTCAGTTTTCAGTTCTGCAGAACAAAATGCGTGCATCATCTGTGAGTTGCATATTTTGCGCACCAACAATGATTTTATAAGCGTTTTGATTCACCTGACAGAGCTGATTTATTATTCATCCCCACCTGACCAAAGTTGAGCTCTGTCACAGTTGTCTCTCTCAAACAATATGCAAACCCCCCAGTACCAAAAGCGTGTCAGGAACTAGCAGCACTGGCGTTTCCTGTCTCTGTCAGGGCAGGTTCACCTGCGCTGTGATGATACTCGGCTGAGCCGCCCAAAACCAGGCCGCGCTGTCTGAACTGTAGGAAGCAGAGAGGAGTCGTAGTGTCAAGGCCTATCGCACCACGTAGCATTTGAATAAGCTTTTCTTAATGTTCACTCCACGAGTGAGTGACATGCTGTATTCATCCAACTTCACCCAGTTCAGAACAGCTCTGAACACGGTGCTTATGCCCTCGGAAAAGAATGTCTGAATGTGCTCGTAATGTCAAAATCTGCTTTCTGTTGAATGTAAAGAACACATGGTTTTGGTGAGATTAGTCATCAGAATTATGACTCGTTTTATTGGTATGTTCACGTTTACTTAAGAAAATTAAGTCATCTTTTCTAAGAGCAATGCTGACTCGGCCTTCTGGATTGTTGGAAGATTCTTGTTCTTCTAAAGGGGCTGATGTGGTTTGTGTAGAAACTCCCAGCACAGCAGTGGCTCTACTTGGTCCTTTTTTTTTTTTTTTTTTTTTCTTTATATTCTTGTTTTTTTTTTTTTTTTTTTTTTTTTTTTTTCTTTCTTTAAAACCTTCTACTCTTTGATTCAGCCTTGATTTGAAAGTCAAGCTGTTCTTAAAATATTCTGCCTCTCTTCCCCTCGTAACGTGTCATTGACCTCTGCCTAAAGCTCTGGAAACTGTAGTGTGCGGCATTTATTTGGCATCTGCAACCTTTGCTTTTCCTCCTGTCTTTCCCTCCTTTCTAACCTTGTTCATCCCCACGGTGGGGGCGGCAGGTGAAAACGGCCCAGCATCAAGCCAAAGGACGCCAGCCAAAACGGCAGCACAGAAATGTAAGTCCCCCCCACCCCCCCAGGAATGCTGCATGACCGAGACACAGCTGGATGTGCCGCCTGATGTGCAGCGTTTTGGGGGTTTGTTGATTTAGGCGCTGGTCGTGACCACAGATCTGATGACTCTGGGAAGCCTATGATTTCTCCCGAGCTGCTAAAGCCAAAGCTTGAAGTGTTTTAACAAACACCTTTTGCTTAGGAGCTGTTTTTTTAAAGTTAGTGAGCCCATCATTTGTTCAATCCAACAACCTTCATGTGGGGAATGTGAAGAATGGAGGTTTGAAACTTTTTTTTTTTTTTCCTTCTCTTCCCCACACACAAGGGGAAAAAACTGTAGTTGGTGAAGATTTAGCAAACAATGGATGAAACATGTGTGAGCAGAGCTGCCATTTGACAAACCCCAAATCGGCCATTTGCGTTAACTTTTGGCCGAACAGCAGATGCAATTTAAGAGTTTTGCATGATTGTTTTGTTGTTGTTGTATTCTGGTTTTTGTTTTTAACCTCACCTTGTTGTTGTTGGTTTTTTGGCTTGCCTCCTCACGCCACGCTGAATTTGACCGGTGGATGTTGCTCTGTCATTTCTGTGCTGACCTCCAGCATGACGCACCCTAATTAAGTACTTCTCTCCTCCCACAGTCGTCCTCACATGCAGGTGGAGACCAGGAGCTGGTATCTCGTATGAAGAGCCTGGAGCTGGAAAATCATACTCTGCACAAAGGTTTGAAGTTAGATGTTTTCCACATCGAAGCTTTCACTCTGCTACAGTTTAATATTTATGGTAAAAGCTCTCTTAGGATGAACATGCAGATTTTTTGTCATTGCTTTCGTTTTACTTACTTGAAAATGGCCTTTGGCTAATTTTAACCGGCAGCCCATTTGAGTAGACAAAGACGGCAGCAGATTGAAAACGGTGAAAAAGAAAATAGCCAGCTGTAGGCAGCCAGCTGTTTCGATCAGTGGCCGTCCAGGAGACGGGGATGGCTGCACCTGGACATTAATCAGGTGGCCAGAAGCCAGTGAGCTGTGAACGTTTTTCCCCGGCGTGTCGGCTCCTTGTGGGGATGTTTGTATTCACTGCTTGTTCCTGCTGCTCCCAAGTGGCAAAACCGTGGGTCACTGCAACAGCTCTGTTTTTGTGTCAGTGGTGGCAGAGATGAGGGCCGCGCTGCTCAAACTGGAGTCCAGAGTGGCCGTGCTGGAGAAGTCCCCCACACCAGCGGCCGTCCCATGTGCAAAGGTGAGGCCTGGGGAGGCCCAGCAGGTTTGACCGCTTAAAGACACCACACGCACTAAACTCCCCTGGAACTCGACATCTATCTTATTTGTTTGTACTGATGACAGATAGAAAAGGGGGGGAAGCCTCCATTGCAGTGTGGTCTTTTAATCATTTCACACTCGTATCTGTGTTTGCTCTGCTCGGGGCTCTACGGCTGTAATGGATCTCTGTGCAGAACCCTGAGGCCATCTCACTTGATTTTGAGAGACTAATGACCCGTTTTCTGAATGTGCAGGCGACTCCCGTCCATGCGGCTCCAGCCAAGGTTGAGAACGGAGACGACGAAGACGACGACATAGACTTGTTCGGCAGCGATGAAGAAGATGAGGAGGCTGCACGTCTGAAGGAGCAGCGCCTGGAGGCCTACGCAGCCAAGAAAGCCAAGAAACCTGCCATCATTGCCAAGTCCTCCATCATATTGGACGTTAAACCCGTACGTGCACGTTGCTGCGGGGCTCTGACACAGCTAGTCCATAAGATTCAGGATGATCAATTCCTAGATCAATGCAGGCTTAAAAATGTATTCATTCAGGGGCACAAATCTGAGTAATATCCAAAGTTAGAAATCTTTGCATAATTTTTCTGTGCATGCACAATAATTGGTAAACTGTTTCTATTATTCATTAGCAAATATTCACACGCCTGTCCCTGAGTGTGGAAGTTCTAATGTGAGGTTTGTCTCTTTACCCCCCCTCCTGCCCCGTGCGGCTTTCAGTGGGACGACGAGACGGACATGGCCAAGCTGGAGGAGTGTGTGCGCTCGGTGCAAATGGACGGGCTCCTGTGGGGAGCCTCAAAGCTGGTCCCGGTCGGATACGGCATCAAGAAGCTGCAGATCAACTGCGTGGTGGAGGATGACAAAGTTGGAACTGACATCCTGGAAGAGGAGATCACCAAGTTTGAGGACTTCGTAAGTCTCATTTGACGCCCCCTTTATTGTTTATTTACTTGAAGTTCTCTGTGAGCCTCTCTGAGTGGGATCCACTGCATGGAAACATGAGACTAACGGTCCTGACAGCAGCATCTGTGCAGAGAAGGGGCCGGCTTGTGCGCTCTGAAAGCTGTTTACATGGGCTATCGGTTTTTAAATGAAAATATGTGCATCCACGTACACTTTACTGAGGCAGTATTTCCCCTCTGAAGGACGACGCTGCTATTCTGTCTGGACAGTGGTAAAGCCATTTGACGGCGCTTTGAATTCAGATTCGATTCCAGTTTGGAATTGAATCATTTGGGTAATTCAAAAGTATCTGTTTTGGGTTCTCAGACTTCATGTGGACCTCTGGCTCTTTTTAGACATTGTGTATTTATACAGGTCAAAATATTGCTGGCTCAGTCTTCTTGGGAAATCAGATTTGAACTCTCTGTTATGTAAACATTTATAGTCTGATTCTAGTTTTTATCACTTCTACCTCCCAAATTCTGCACTTGACTGGAAGGTCCTCTTTTTGAAGTCTTCCTTAGGTAGAACGAGGACAGCTGAATGTGTAGCTGCTGAATTATTAAAGTTTCACTGTAGTGGGTCAGCGACAAAAAAAAATCTCAACCTGGCGGGCTGAAACAGCTCGATGGCGTGTAGATCACCACTTAGGCTGAGGTTTGCTTTGACCTGTATTCTACTGCGGGGGGGAGCACAACTTCCCTCTCTATGCCAACCTGTGTAAGTAATTGTTGTTCAGTCAGGGTTTATTGGGGAGGATTTGTCTATGTAAAGCGTTCTGTGGTCACACAAATGTTGTGCAGCTGGATTCAAACAAAGTCGGGATAGCTCCCTTTCCTTTAGGAGGTAGGTTGTACTGCTCCAACACCGCTTCCAGCCCAGAGTAGAACAGAGGAAAGGTCAGGGCCTACGTCAGAGGGCTGCAGAGATGCTCTCGCTCTGGGGGGAGATCTCCAAGGACCGAGTGGAGAAATGGAACATGCTGTGGCTCCATTAGCACACACGTGCTGAGGGGATTCCAGAGGGAGCAGACAGGCTACCATTCAATTAGTCTGAGAAAAGAGTCCCGTCTAATGCCAGGCCCCTCTTCTAGGGATAATAGATCTTTAAATTGACTTCTCAAACCTTCTGGTGGATTTAATTTGTTTTGTTTTTTAACAATGGGGCTAGAGGGTGACCTGCTGGAAACCTTTAACGATTAATTATGGAGAATTTAACTTCTGCCTTACAGTTGTATGTGTGCTAGATGTCCTATAGTGTGACACATTGTTCACATCCATTCATTCTTAAAGGGCCGGACAGCTTTGCTGTTACTGTAACAACTTTATTAAATGGCTTTTTACATACAATGATTGTCGTACAATGTCTGATAAATTAAATCTTAACGGGATTTTTTTTTTTTTTTTCTTCAGGTCCAGAGTGTGGATGTTGCTGCCTTCAACAAGATCTAAAGGCGTGCCCCAAACCTGCTCTGCGTCTTTACGGTTATTAAAAAGCTGAGATCACAAACCTGTGTGAGGTTCATTGATTAATTTCAAAGAAATGTAAATATCTTATTCGAAGGGGTTTCACACTAGAAGCTAGCACAGCTTCAGGGTGGAGCCCAGCCCCACCCAGAACCCCGGGTACAGAGGCTGCGTGAAGGTGGTCCTCTCTTTGTGGAGGAGAACCATGGGCTCGCCAACGCTGTAAAAGGCCAGCGTCCCGCCCCGGAAGTCCAGGAACACCCCCACCCTGCTGCCGCAGCGGGCGCCGGCCGCCACGCTCTCCTTGTTGTGCTGGAAGGAGCAGGCGGCCGGCGAGCAGTCCAGGCTCCACGACCGGCCGTTGTGGCCCAGCTTAGAGTCGCTGCCCCCCCCGCTCCTGCTCATGCTCCTGTAGCACACGCCCACCGAGACCCCCCCCTTCCCCGCCCACTCCACCTCCCAGTAGCAGCGGCCGGCCACGCCCGCCCGGCACAGCACCTGGGCCCAGCTGGTGAAGCGGTCAGGGTGGTCAGGGTAGGGCTGCGCCTCCGAGCGCGTGGTCACCGATCGCCGGCCCTCGGAGAGGCTCAGGTAGGAGTTAGCCGTGTTCAGGTCCAGGGTCAAGTCGCTGGAATCTTGATGGAAGGGGGAAAAAAAAAAAAGGTCAGGAACATATTTTCCGATGATGGATTCTGCAAGATTTTAAACATGCACACTCACATTGTAGGAAATCAGCTCTGGTTTTTGGCTCGGCCTCATAGGGAATGTCATCTTTAGCTGTTCGGAAGGGCTTCGTTAGTTTGATTTTCCTTTAAATCTACCACTACTTTTAAAAACTGCATGCAAAAACAAAAAAACGTACCTCTGGTCTTTTCAGTGGAATTCAGCTGACTTCCGTCCTTCAGTGAAGCCACTGGAAAACACACATTTTATTGAGCCGGTTTTAAAAAAAGCCATGGCATTGGAAGCAGCCGTGGGATGGATCTACCTTTATCGGACACTTTGCTGAACTCCTTATGAAGCGCCTCCTGCAGGCTGTCCCTCGTGTCGGCCAGGGCCCCCCTCATGGTTCTGTACATCAGGTACGTGACGGCGTCTGTGTTGGGCATCTCCGCCGGCTTTGAGGGGAACTGAAGGGACCTGCACCTCTGTGGAGAGACAAAACCAACCCGCACAAAATTTGAAAAGTACTGAAAGAATTTTTGAGGGTAATTGGGACATTAAATTCAGGCCTCGTGACCAAACACTTAAAGACAAGTCATATGGATTGGTTTCCAGTTTTTGGACAGATATAAATGCAGCTTTTTTGCCCAACAATTTGGGACTAAACGTCAGACCCTTTTTTTTTTTCATGTTTTTAAAAGTGGTAAATGTAGAACCTTTTAAGAATAAAATATTTGCTCTTATTCCACAGAAGCTTTTATATGTCTTCCAGCCTTATTTAGACATTCAGAAGACTTCTGAATCTTTCAGGATTTTCTGAATAGAAATATTTGACCATCTCTACAGCCTGGGATCTTCTAACAGACACAAGTTGCCATTTTGACTTCAAGTGTTTTTTTTTTTCAACATGAGGAACACGATAAAAGGCCTTTCATTCAAACACCATCCTGCTTTGTGATCTTCAAAAGTATATTATGACTAAAATGAAGCGAGAAACTGATCCTGAATCCTGTTTGTGTAACGGTTGCTTTGGGCTGCAGATATGAAGCTGCAGGCCGGTCGCTTCATAGGACCCTTTAGTTTTCCTACCTGGATGAAGTGGACGTGGTCCTCTGTTTGCGCCAGCCTCTCCAGCTCTGCTTCGGTCTTGCGCAGCTCGGCCATCTCCCGCTGCACCTTCTCCAGGGCCTCCTCGGCCTGACCCACGGCGGCTCTCTCCTGGACCCGGATCAGCTCCTTCACCTCCTCGCTCTGCTTCTCCATGGACTTGATCAGCCGGTTGAAAATCCTCTCGCTCTCCTCCACCGCTGCCTCCGTGCAGTGCTGCAGGGGATAAAAAGACCTCTTTGCTCTCCAGGAAACGGCACCACAGCAGCACGGTGGAGGCTCTACCGGAGGGGAATCGCTCACCTTCATATATTTGATGGCGTATCTGAGCTCCTTCTCCGCGTCCCTCAACTTCTGCGCAGACTTCAAGCAGCTCTCTCTGAGTTTTTTCTGAGAATAAAGAAGATGAACATGGCGTTGAGTCGACTAATTCCTCCACGGTCGACTTTCAGGGTGGAACCTTTTGATTTCACAGCTGAAGATGGGATTACACGGGAAAGGCCTTTAGTGTCTGAGCGGCGGGAACATCAGAGGACGAGATGTGATTGCAAGACCAAGTCGCGCTTTACCCTCCGTGTGTTCAATATTTCAGCTGCTGAAGCCTTCAAACGAGGCTATAAAAAGACGTATCCGGTATCTCAGACAACATACACAAATCCAGCTTGTGTTACGCCTCAATTCCAATTTCAGACACCACAGAGATTATGCATGAGTCACCCAATGTTTTATTTATATGCAGAAACTTTTAAAAGAGGAGTACTACAGAGAACGACGTCACACGCACAGACGGGGAAAGATCTGCTGCAGCACGCTGACTTCAGATCAGCCAAAAGGATGCAGAGCTGAGCCGGCAGCCGTTAGAAAAACAGGGGAGAGTTGTTCGAATCAGTACATTAAAAAAAGCAGCTGTAACACAGGGTGCTGCACCATTATGAAAAGTCGTCAGGCTGTCTAACAAAGATATACTAGTTAAAAAAGGAATTGCCAGTCTATGAGATTTCTGTACACTACAATTCTCCATTTATTAAATAAACTGAGATTAATCGAGTGTTTTCTACTTTAGAAGTTCAAATTTTGCCTTTTTACAATTCAATTAAACTAAAATCTACAAAAGGAATTTATCAAAAACAATTGAAGTTGCACCATACTAAAGCACAGATTCTGATGACTTCAGGCACACTCAGGTATGTTAGAGTGTAATGCATTTTAAAAATGCTGTATCTAAGTATTTTAGAGGCCAGATGTGTTAAATGTTAGGGATTGGAAGCTTTTAGATTTAAACTACACAGGTGCTTGCAACCTGTTTATAGAGCTCAGTAATTGGTTACATGTACAGTATCACCACCAAAAACATCATGCAAGTGTTTTTACGTGCTCAGAACCAGCAGTAATTGACAGCTCACTTCATCTTCATCACAGATGAGTGACCTTTTTAAAAACACACCTAACCCGCACCTGCTTTGCTCACCTGGACCTGTTTTACCTGTACTCTGTACAGCTGGTACACGTGCGGTCTGCTATGGTTCCGCCATTTGGACTAAAGTGTACTTCCCAAATAACAAAAATCAAAATCAAATGCGCCCTGAGTTAATATTTAGTCTCCGATACGGAGCTGGGTTTGGTTGTGGGCTGGATCCATCCCGGGGACTCACCTGCTGGGCGGCCCTCTCCTCCGGCAGCGGGACGGTGTCGTGGCCCCGGTGGCGCTCTTTTGCGCACAGCGAACACACCGCCAGCTGGTCGGTGACGCAGAACAGGCGCAGGGACTTTCCGTGCGTCCGGCACGGCCTGTCCCTCGGCTGGCCGGAGGCCGGGGCCGGCTGGCCGGGACCCTTTCGGTGGAAGCGCTCCTCGTGCGCCTTCAGGTGCGCGGCGCAGAACGACTCGGCGCACGCCGGGCAGGGTTTGACGGCTCTTTTGCCCCGGCACACGCCGCACCGGACCTCCTGGACCCTGGCCGGGGGCTGAGGCGCGCGCTCGCTGCGCAGGAAGGTCTCCACCACCTCCCCCAGGACCGTGTTCCTGCTGAGCAGGGGCCGGGGGCTGAACGCCTGCCGGCACTGCGGGCAGCTGAACTCTTCTCTCTTCCTGTCCCGGTTCCAGTAGTCCTCGATGCAGTCCAGGCAGTAGCTGTGTCCGCAGGGGATGGTGGCCGGGTCCCGCAGGACCTCCAGGCACACCGAGCAGCAGAACTGGTCCTGCTCGACGGAAATGGTCGCGGCCGCCATCGCCGGAGCGCGATCAATTAAAACAGGAAGGGAGAACAGGTGGGCGTAGGGTTACAGGTGTGCTGCTGACTTTTCTCGGGTTTCAGTCGAAGCCTCCAATCACGGCCGGCCAACCCGGAAACAAGGCAGTCCCGGGCCCTCCGTTTACGCAGGAGCGCCGGCCCCTGAACGCAACACGACTCCTGCTGGGAAAGCACCGGTCCGGGTCTGTCTGTGTGTTTGTGTGTGTCTGTGTGTGTGTGTGAAACTGAACTTTCCCTCCATGCCCGCATCTGTACTGCACATAAACAACAAGCTGAGAGGAAAACCGCTTTATTTTGTCCATGTAACATCAGACATGAAAGTCAGTCTCCAAAGCAAAAGCAAAAAACGACCTCTGACAGAGTTTTGGTTAAAAATGACCCACTTATAAAAGCTTGAGAACTAAAATAGCGTTGGAATATATGTAGTGAGCTGCTGCTTCAGTTGCAGGGTGTCAGTTCTTTGTTTTTTGTTGACTTAATAGTTTATTGGATATCAGTGTTGTTGGCCTTTCGGTTTGTAACCGTGTTATGACATAATGAGGTTAGGATGGGCAAATATTCAAGTATGGCTGATAACACCACAGCTGAGCTGTGAAAATGGGGAAATATCTTCACGTTCATGTGTAGATTTTTTTAGTGACCATGGAAAATAAGATATTAGGCCCATGTGGCTGCATGTGAAATGTAGGGTCTGATGTCCAGTCTATTTCCTCCTGGAGTGAGGGCGACGCTGGAGGTGCCTCTGCCTGGATCCTGTGGACAGTTTGGAGCCTGAGAAAAACAGGAAAGAGGAATCATAAACGTGTGTTAGAGGAGAGGGCAGGATAAGAAGGCCTTTTCTAACATTTGGTATTCAAATAAGGCCTGGAGTTGTTGCTGATCACGAGATAATGTTGGATAACAGCTTTATGAAACCGAAAGAGAGAAATAAGGAAAAAGTATCTGAATAATCGATGATAATGTCACAACTGGGTTTTTAAAAAATGTATTTGTTCTGTGAGAATTAGAGTGAATCAGGTCCCGTCTGTTTTTGTTCTACATCATCTCGACCTTCACCTTTAAATACGTTTAAAACAAAACAAGCATCAGTCCTCAACATCATTCCTGTATTTCCAATGATGTTAGGGTCAAAGAAAATCTATTGCATGCTTGACAATTTTGTCGGTGCAGAGAGTAAAAGTAATCAATCCGGATGAGATAGAACCACAGCTAACAGGCGCAAACATTCAATTTGCTTACAAAAAGAAAAATACCAGAGTCATCTACGGCCTCCACGTAGAAAAACGACATTACTCTGACTGGGCTGCATTCATCTAAGGCAGATTTTTACTCGAGAGTTGGAACGGTTCTGTTTACCAAAGGGTGAGAAGGCAAACGTCGGCACGGCCTGTCCTGGCGGGAGGAACGGGTTCAGCGGGCTCACGGGAGTCTGGTCCAGGCCGAGAGCCGGGGCAGCTGCGGTAGAGCAAACACACGCACGTAAGACCAGTCCCCGGTGTCCTGACCGAAGCAAACCGCAGCCCGGGTGCAAAGTCAGCAAACTCCAGCGTAAACAAACATGCTGAGCGCTCAATTTTACGCCCCGAGGACGGGAACCCGATCAATTAGAGCAACAAAAAATATGGGAAATAAGACACAGGGGGTCACTGGTTACCGTGACAACGCAGATAGATTTGACATATTTGCATTTCAAATTGAGTGGATTTCAGTGTGTTCAAGCACATCAACCGTTTCTGTAAAAAAAAAGGAAAATGTAACCGAATACCATAAAGAGGCTTTAAATCACTTTTGTCTCCGGCACCAAATGGATACGACAGTAATGCCAGAGCAAAATGGGAAAGCTGTGAAGCCATAAATCCCAAACAAAAAACAGTCGCTCACACAAACGCTTAGTACACACTCTTCATTGACCACCAGGAGTCGCAGCAGAGCAACAGAAAGGAGGTGGACCTGAACGTTGGGCTTCGCTGGACATGTTTATAGGCAAAAAACAAAACAAAAAACATATATTTTTTAAGTAAGACTCTAGCAAAGCTCTACGTGCATTTTCAGGCGAAGCCTAATCAGACTCACCCACTGGAGGCTCCATTTGTGCTGTTGACCCAGCCTCACTGGTGTGTGTCGTATCACACTGAACGGCGGCGTTTTGAGGACTTACAATTGTCACATTTCGTACTGTTGAAAAAAAAGAGAGAATCGTGAAACGACACGGTAGAGTCAACCGAGGAGCCCTCAATCCTGTAAGAACGGAGTGTTTCTACCTCTCTCGTAGATGCTGACAAATCCTCCCTGACACACCTCCTGCAGAAGTCCCTTAAAGTCGGACACGGCCGTCATCACCAGGCTGAAGGAGAGGCCGGGGTCGGCGGCGAGCGGCGGCGAGGCGGAGGGCGCGGGCGGGGCGTGGAGAGCCTGACAGCTCTGGACACAAACACCAGGAGGAGGGGGCATTTCAGAGAGGGCCACAAAGATAGAAAAGGCAGAACCACAGAAGAGACCGGGACACCACCTCCAGGAAAAGGACGGGGTCGTCGGTGTGGGCCAGCTGGTCCAGTTCGGCCTCCCTCTTCCTCAGCTCGGCCGTCTCCCTCTGGATCTTCTCCAGCAGCTGCTGCGCGTCGGCCACGGCCGTCTTCTCCTGCGCCTTTATCAGCTCCCTCATTTCGAAGCGCTTCAGCTCGATGGAACGGATCAGCTCGGTGAAGATGGAGTCGCTCTCTTCGGTGGTGGCGCGAGCCGACCGCTGGGGGAGGGGAAAAAAAGCAACCGGAAACGCCCTTAAAAATAAAAAAGCCTGGCGTGTGTGCCAGCTGTAATATTAATGGATGCTGGGTTAAGATGAGGTGTGACAGAAATGAAGCCATCTGAACTCACAGTGAGAGAGAAGATGGCTTCTCTCAGCTCCTGTGCCTCCTTTTCTTTTTGCTGAATCCTCAGATGGGAGTTTTGCTTCATGTCTCTAAGGTTCCTCTGAATAGAAAAAAAAAAAAGTTTTTTAAAAGTTAAAATATAACAAAGACGTGTTCACAGGATGAATGAAAACAATGACTTAATATTTTTGGAAATGCACTGACTGAATACATTTGTTAATGTGTCCATGTGTTTGAATGAATTTTAGTCCAAAAAAAAAAAAACAGTACAGTTTACAGTTTGCTCCTGGGAAGGTTTAAAAACAGATGGCAGTGGTTAAATAAAGAGTAAAAAACAACAAAGGAACTATAAGTAACAGACCTGGTCTCTGTCCACACTTGGGCCCAAAAGCCCATCAAAATGCTGTGTTACAGCTAAGAAAGCTTTGGCAGATGGATAAGACACACTGTGAACTAAAATATGAATGGTACATGTTAGACCCGTCAAACCTGACCTGGAAAAAGCTCTATGGACACTCTGAAAAGTGCATTCCCACTTATTCTACTCATCCGAGAAGCAGAGGAAATGACAGCTCTAGACACAACAAACTTCAAGCCAGAGCTCCTTCAGAAGGGAAGACAACGCGATTTAATTTATCTTCATCTAAAAATGTATCGTCATAGCTGGGTTTTGCTCTTGTAGATCAGATCAGGGATCTGTTTGTTACACAGAAAGGATTATACTTTATCTGTGTGTCCTGATAAAAAGAAAAAAAAACACTAATCAGGATTGAGGCTGAACTTTGACCCAAAAGGACTGTTTAGATTACATTTAAGAATTAAAAGCAGGGGGGGAAAGGTGTTTTCTTCCTCAATTTACCTCCACTTCCACTGCATTAAACCACAGAAAGAACAAAAAAACCTGCCAGATGTTCTGACCAAGTGGAAAAGTCATCGCAGTTTTGCTCTTTTTAGTGACACACATCAGTCGCTGGTCTCATCACTTAGAGGCTCCTGTCTGATCTGGGACGTGTTTACCTGCTGGTGCTGGATTTCTGCTTCGGCCAGCACCGTGTCGTGGCCCTTGTGCTCGTCGGTCAGACACAGGTAGCAGATGCAGCGGCGGTCGGTGCGGCAGTACACCTCCAGCAGCCGGTCGTGGCGGGGGCAGAGGGTCTCCTGCAGCCGCTTGGAGGCCGACACCAGCTTGTGCTTCTTGAAAGCCGGGGAGTCGTAGTGGGGCTGCACATGCGCGTCGCAGTACGAGGCCAGACACACCAGGCACGACTTGACAGCCCTGTTCTTCCTCCCCGTGCACACGTCGCACTGCACGTCGTCCGCTCCGGCCAGGGTCCGGTGGTCCGCGGGGGGGTCCGAAGTCTCCTCGAGTCCAGTCCCCTTGAACCTCTCCACCACGTCGGCCAGCATGGTGTTCCGGGCCAGCACCGGCCTCGGGCTGAAGCTCTGACGGCACTGGGGGCACACGAAGACCCCGATGTAGTCGTCCTGGTTCCAGTAGTTCTGGATGCAGTCCGAGCAGTAGCTGTGGCCGCACGGGATGGTCACCGGGTCCCTCAGCACGTCCAGACATATGGAGCAGTTGAACTGGTCCCTGTCCAGCACCACTCCGGCCTGGGCCATGGTTCCAATGCGAACGGGAGAGGTATAAAAAACGGCAGAAAACACCAGAGCGAGGCCGAAAAAACACAGCTGCTGCTCTGTTTACAGGAAGTGAGGGAGGGGGAGTGGGCGTGGTCTAGGGAGCGTCACCGGAAGTTGTAGGGCATTTAATCTCCGAAGAAGAAAACTGCGCCCATCCACAGAAGTGACCTGCGCCTCATTTCGCCACCGCTTTCCCGTTGTTAGTGACAACAGGAGGAAAAAATAACTTAGCTTCCGGCGATGTGATATTGAAATGAAATGCAGATGTGTATACCTCTTTAATAACACAATAAAATGCCATTCAAGTGCAATCAAAACACGGCCATTCAAAGTCTAACTTCATAGTTTCAACAGTTTCTGTAGTTTAAAAATCTGTATGTAAAGGTGTGTACATGCCTCCTCACTCCTAAGGAAAATATAATCACCCAAAAACCATTTCCAGTGCATTTTTATTCAAAATGCATTATAATTAATAAACACAATAAATAAGTAATGTTTGACAAATAAATCAGTTTCCAGAAATCATAAAGAATAGTAAGAAAATAAAAATACAAAGTATAACTTCAAACTTCAGGGTATTTTGGTCAGTGCATTGACAACATGAATGTAGTTGTGTGGAAAACAAAGTGCGACCTTTTTCAATTCTTAAGTGCATCTTATCCAGACATGAGAGAAAAAAATAATTTATCTGATTCTCACGAGTGCTTAAAATGGTGTCCTTTTTAGTCCAACTATTCCCTTTAATACAACAGTTAGCTGTTCAACTAAATTATTTTTTTTCATCATGTCTTAATAGAACCTTAGAATTAGTTGAAGGATGTGTATAATTTTTCACACAACTGTAAAACAGACTGGACATTTTCAAAAATCTACTCCTCCCCAACATATAACAATAAGTGACTTTGGTCGCAAATTAAACCTTGGATACAGACATGAGAATGTTATACAGGTTAAATAGTTTCTTTCAATGGAATCACTTAAACATTCAGTGATTACTGTGCGTTGCAAGTTTCCAAAGATTATTGCACTCATCGGTCAAAATTCAAAAACATTCTCTTAAAAATAACATGCAGTCCCAATCATGAATCCAATCATTTTCAAGAATGAGGTTTAAATATGGTCAAATAACGATACTGTGCAGCTATATGGATCCCTAAAAAGGTAATATTCCCTTTCAGAATGTCATAGGAATTATTTTGTGCAAAATACTGATGGGATAATTAAGCGTTTGTCAGTACATGTTCAATATGTCCATTCAAGTATGTTCTCACAGCTAAGTTTTTCTGTTTTTAGTTCAAATCTATAACTCTCAGTACTCTTAAATACAAGAAACAGGCACAAAATTATTCTGATTGTTTTAAAACATGCACTGGTGTCAAACGACAATTGAATTTTGAGCTACATGCTTACTAGACTTTATATGATTTTGCCTAATGACAATGAAGTTGCTGAAACCAGTCTACTCACCTTCAACTACTTAACAAGCTGTAAAAGTAAAGCTATGTTACTACTTCTCTTTCTTTTCAAGAAAAGAAATCCCATACTGTTCAAGTTTTCATGTTTAGCTGATTTCATACAAAAATACTTAGCAGGTAAAGACCCGAGTCGAAACAGAGAGACGTGGAACACTGGAAGTCAAATAAAACTCTCTGCAATGTGCGAAAGTCGATCTGCATGTATATATGCTTTACATGTGTGTGCAATGCTATGATATGTTTCTACACTCATGATATGTGATGTCATGGTGCGGCTTCACTTGTTTTTATCCTCCAGTCCGCTCTCTGCCCTCAGCGCCTGGCTGCTGGCTGAAATAAAGCTGATCCAGTGTTTAAGCTCCTCTGGAAACTCCGGACACTCGAGCTGCACACAAACATTTCGTCAAAGCCATCAATGAAACTGCTGCAATCTTTAGAATCTATAAAACATTTCATGGTTTTTAAGAAAAAGCCACAATATTTCCTGTTTAAGCATACAATTCAAAATTATTTGAAACACTTGTTTGTCTAATTCAATCAGAGATTTAAAAAATGTGGATTTTAATTGCCGGTTAAAGAGAAGATAGCATTTGAAAATACCATCTTGGGCATTCTAAAGATGAAGGCTTTCCCTGTTTACGTTGTTCTTATCTATTTAGACATTTCAGTGTTTGCTGACATTTATGTAAACTGACTTATGATTCTTTCCGGTCACTTTCATAAAAAGATGAAGGTTCTTAGATCTCTTGAGTTCAGAAACATCTTGTTGTCACTTTTTAATAAAAGTGAAACTGAATATATACATACTTTATTGGATTGGCAGTTGGATTTGATTATTACAACCTGTTATTCCTTTTTCTTAACAACTTGAACAACCATTAGAGATAGTGATCGGCTGATTGACAAATAAAGAAAATAATAGTAAACCCTGCCACAGAAACAGTGGGACATTTCTTACCTTTTTTTTGCAGATGAATTCGATGATTCTCTCTGGGCTGCTATGCACCACATTCTGCCTACAAAGCATGACCGCAGATACAAATCCATCCTTCTTTGACACAAAGCGTTGCTCCAAGTAAAAGGCCTTCTCATCCCAGCCAAGCACTTTGGTCTGGATTTCAAAAGCCTCTCTGAAAGCTAAGGAACGCCGATACCTGATAGTGGAGGCACCTACCACCATTTTGGCCCCAAGCTTGCGTGAGGCCATGAACAGCCCGTTCCTCATGTAATGATGGAAACGAGCAAAGTCGCACTCCCGCAGATATCGAGAGTTGTTCATGTGACCCAAGTAGTCCAAATCGTGGGTAAGGACCACACCATCAACACTTTGCACAGCAAGAATGTCCCCTATTCTGGGCTGGAACCATGCCTCGAAGAACACCTGGGCCCCTCGCAGGAAGTACCAGACATCCAGGTTGCAGAATAACAGGAGGAGGGCGCCTAGCACCAGGAGCAACATCTCTCTGGAAGAATGATACAAACATAAAATACAATAAGCAAAATTTAATAAAGTCTTATTATAAGCATGTTACAACAGTCTCTACATGTGACCTACTGTTTTTGTCAATAAAAATACCGCCTTTCGTGTGTTGTGTGAATAAATGAACACATTACCATGGCTATTCACTTCAACCTTGAGCAGACTGGGAAGCTAACGGTGCTCCGTTCAACTGAACGGGCTACAACTTGCTGTGACAGCCAAATCTGTTAGCTTAGCGGCTAGCTGCAGCAAGCTGGTGGCCTTGGAGGATGAGCGGACGAACTCACACGCGGAAGTCGATACTTTACAATCTTTCAAAGGCAGAGTTTAATTGACGGCAACAAAAGGGACCAAAATAAACATTACATGACTGTAAAACTCACTGTGCTTGCAGAAGATAGGACTACCATGGGATGAGATGCAACTTCAAGAGACCGGTAGAATCTATTACCATAACTTCCTGGAACGTGACGATAGTCGGCTTCATTGGTCGAACTATTGTCATGGTTACTTAGAGGTTTTTTTTTTTTTTCAGTATTGACAGACGTTTTGTACCTGTCCTACAAAATATAAGACAATTATAAGTTATTATAAGTTCATATTATGTCTTTGGCTTAGTATTTAGTAAAAACATTCCCTTTTCAAATGACCTTTATAAATAATTTCTTTAATGTCCTTTTTCATTAATTTAATAACTAATGTGACCAATGCTTTCGGATCTTTAAAGTGAAATATCATGTCTTAAATACAACAGTAAATAAGAGATAAATTAGTTTAGTTTAAAGAATTATAAAATGTTATTGGTAATTTGTTTGGAATAGATGGCACACAGAGTGCACATTTCAAGTTTATTAGTTGATTTTTTTAGTGTATTTATAAATGTGGCTATAAATCGTAACTTGTATATATTATTATCCTCTCACATTGGTCAATAACTGAAACTCTCTGTATATCTAAACCATGTGCATCTGAAAACGTTTATACAAACAAACAAAACAAAACAAAACAAGCAGCCTTCTTTGTCAAGAAAATTAATTTCAAAACCAAAAATGAAAAAATAATGAAAATACTCCAAGGAACTTCCTTTCAATTGAAACCTTTAGCTGGGTTTATGAATATAAGCATTTTTTTCCAATTAGGTTTCATCTTTACTTTATTAGTTAAATCAAAAAGCAAGTTAAATGAGAATGAAGATCAAAGTTTAGGTGTAAAACCCTGCCCCATACAATATGAGGCATGGCATGAAGGATTGAATAGGAAAAATTACATGCAGATTATTGGAACTGGAAAGTAGGTGCTCTCAGATGAGCTAATTGTTTAAAAGAAGCCCTAATAGAGAGAACAACCATCTGACCTCTGATAATACTGGGTATTTCGCTCCAGTTTGTGGAACCATGGATAAGAAAGGCCTTGAGAGACTTTACCAGTGATTACCATTGTGAGGAATGCAGTGTAGGAGAAAACGCTTCTCTCTCTGTGTACTGACTGACTGGATTCAGTCAGTCAGTAATAAAGTTTTGTCTCTGCTGCAAAAAAAGCTTTACAGCAGCTGAGGCCAGTGATTCCCATATGGTGTAGGCATACAAAGATTTGCCCTGATTTGTTATTGTACTGCAGAGTGCACAAAGACATTATCATAAAACAGATGTAAAATAGTAATTTATCACAGCTTCAGGCTTTCCTCAAATCGTTTATATCAAGCCATTTTTCCTTTTCTTTTTTTAACTCAGTTCCTCGTGTAGTATTGAGAAGAAAATGTAAAATTAAGTTCAATATGTAGTTTAAATTCAATTTGGTAAAAAAAAAGTTTCATAAAGGGGGGGGGGGTTGGCATGTGCCTTTATCTGAAATGGCTTTGAACTTTCAAGTCGTTCTTGAAATTCTACTGGTATAGAAATAAGATTCTAAACGTTACTGATATGAATTGCGTTCAGTCAGTTCTGACGTTTGGCTGATGCAGAAACAAAAGAACACTAAATCTTAAAATCAGCTTCAGTCAGTTCAAATATCCCATAAAAATAGCATATCAACTTTAAACTACAGCAGTTACTTTCAGTTTCAATGTTAAACACCAATTGGAACAGAAGATTAGAACACTAGGTCGCATTAGTAAGCTTCAGTCATGGCTGTGCTGCTTTAAGAAAATCATAGGAAGCATTTTGTATCACTGCTTAATCCATTTCAGACCACTATAAGTCTGTGATTCAGTTACTTAAACAGTACCAGCTATTGATTTATATTTGGGTACAGAAAAAATACTCAAAATTAAAAGTAATTCATTTGTTTTATTGCAGCTGTTAAATCAAAGAATTCATAGTCATACAAGAAAGTTTCAATTAGTGAATAAGTAATCATCATTTATTAGCATTCAAATGCCCTGAAATTGATCATTTACACTCTTCTTAGTGTTTGTCTCTGTAAGTACACCCCTATGTATCCGTATATAATAGAGTTCATGCGAAGTCGGTTTTTAAGAGGCGTACCTTAAATGTAAAGCATAGGCACAACAGTGTATTAGTCAAGTATCGATTGTGAGAAATCAAATATTTCTCTTAGTAGACTGTGAATCATGGGCTGGTAAACTGACTGGCTAACAAAAAGCCAGTCCTCAGAGCTGCCCATGATTCTATTTGTTCTTTTCCTCCAGACCACTCTCAGATCTGAGGGCTTGGCTGCTGGCAGAGATGAAGCTGACCCAGTGCTGAAGATCCTCCGGGAACTCGGGGCACTCCACCTAAAAGGAGCGAACCAAAACTTCAGTGTCCTTCGATGGTGGGCACACAGGTATACTCTCCAGGAAATGTATTTTCATCTCTGCTGAAACGCCCATTTCCTTCCTTACCTTCCTTTTGCACAGGTGCTGCATGATCTTGTCTGGACTGCCGCGTATCACACTCTGCTTGCAGTACATGACGGCACACACCAAGCCGTCCTTTGCCGACACGAACCTCTGCTCCAGGAAAAAGGCTTTGTCGTCCCAAGTGACGATCCTGCTGCGCAGCTCGTAACTCTCCCCTATACACAGAGCCCTGCGGTACCGGATGGTGGTGGCCCCCACGACCATCGACGCTCCGAGGGCCCGTACTGCTTTGAACACGCCGTTGCGCGTGTACAGGGAGAAGCGGGCAAAGTCACACTCCCGGAGGTAGCGGGCATTGTTCATGTGGCACATGTCGATGTCATGGGGGGTGACCCGGCCTGTTAGGACCTGCTCTGCCGTCACGTCCCAGACTGGAGGCTGAAACCAGGCTCGCAGCACCACCACCACCACCCGCAGGAAGTACCAGACGTCCAGGCTGCAGAACAGAGCCAGCAGGATGGCGAGCACCCACAGGACCCACCACATCTCTTGAAGAAAAGAACATCGAAGGCAGAGGAGTTCATTTTGTATCTTTGATGCCATCACATGGATAAAGTAAACGTTAACAAGCTGAACAATATAGAAAAATATGTGACGCTTTTCCAGCAAAAAGCCAAAAAAGGGCAAAATGCAACTCTACCCGAGCAGGGCAACCCTGTAATATATCATTTTCTGACTGTACAGAACCACATCTTTCCCCTTGATGTTTGAGGCACACATAAGAAAAGTTTAGCCTTCATTCAACTTAACACGTACATTCAAAAACATAGGAAAAAATGCACTTGAACGTTTAAAAAAATATGTATACAGCAAGTCTGGCATTATATACTTGCAATATAAACTGTTACTTCAAGAAGATGAACCTGCTGCTCTGTGTTTCGGTGCAGTAAGGTAAAATGGTGCAATGTCCTCACAAACCTTAAGAGCAATGTAAAATACTTTAAATACTTTCTGAAACGTTTTCAAACAAGCACATGACCTGATTGGCTGTCATTTGCACATCTCCTTGAAATTCCCTTAAAGAATTAAAGGACAGACACCACAAATGTTTGTATTTACCGTTTTCTCTCATTTTTCTTCTCGACCCTCTAGCCAGTTAAACAACAGACTTTAGGTGAAAACGAGTTTCACTGAAACCACGTTTTTAAAAAGACAACCAAAAAAAACACTGAGGGTGTAAACAGGTTTTGCAGGAAAGGCAGGCCACATCTGCACACTCACTTAAGTTCATCTAAAGTTGGGATTTCTTTCTGTATGTAGTTTACCACCAGTACCGCATAATCCGAGGTTGTTACTAAATGCATAAGAAACTTTGTGGTTATGTAAAATTCCAGAAAGAAATATAGTTAAGTAAAAAACTTATTTTCATTGAGTTGACAACTTGACACTTGTAGGTTCTGACACATCAACGTTTTCGGTATTAAGGTCACAGCATATATTCTGCTTTCTGTACTTTGACTTAAATTCAACATATACAACCTGAAATATTGCTAATAAAACCAAAACTCCAGCGTTGCGGGAGTTCCAAACACTCACCTGCTGCCTTAAACTGTCCCGTGTCCACTCAAATTAGCAGCGTCGGTGTCACTTAACCCAACTTGTCAAATACTTCCGGTAAGTGATTTCAAAGCTCAAGCACAACAACATGGATCGTTTCCATGCTTAGTAAAGAAGGAGGCAAACAGACTGAAAATTTACTAGGATTTATTTAGACTGTACTTAAGTAAATATTTTTGCCTTTCGTTGATTCAAGAAAATGCTAATAAAGCATTTATTCGAAACTGAGAATTTAATTTGATGGTAAGAAAGATTTACTTCCTGTTGTTGACGTGACGTATGACGTCAGGGAGCGACTGGCTGTTCAGTCAAATGTGACTGCACGAAGTAATAATCAGTTGCATTTACCGTTACAGAATCGTTTTTTTATTTTCCAGGGTGAATAAATCTGACTAAATGTCTTTCAGTCCGTTCATCTTGTACGCAGAGCTTACATAAACTTCAAATGGTAGTGCACAGAGATAATACATTCTGAAGTTGGTCTTGATTTACATCAATAATATGCTAAGTATAACATTTTTTCCACAGTAAAATATATGGATTACTCTTAAATGTGGGCAAATAACAAGTGATACTTGAAATAATCTCTTCGTTTTTCAAACTTTATTCAAACATTATATAAACATTACATAAACTCCAACTTTTCTAAATATCTTTCTAATATTTCTAAATAGGTACCAAACAACTAAATTGCTCAGCAAAGAAACACAAATACCATAAAAGGAAATAAAACTATACTGAAGGAGGGACAGTCTCACATCATCTTGACCTTCATGTGTGGTATCTTATTCTCCAGTCAAACATTGAACACAAACTAAATGGTCCATAATTTCTCCACTAACATGTTTGATATTTTTGTGACATAAAGAAAAAACAACTGAACACAAACAAACTGTCTCCAATCACTCTGAAGGAGATTCGAAACCCGTCTCCTGATTTACTGAATTTGACGAGATCGGTGTTCCATCACCATTTTCTTCATGTCCCGGTCTGCTGTTATGTCGCTCATTTCAAGCTCGTGTCCTGGGCCAGCCATTGGGTCGTACCGGTGTCTGAAAGGGATTTGAGTGGTTGTAACACCTTGCTGTACTGTTGATGAACTGTGTTGGGATTAACTTACTGTTTGAGGTGCTCCTCGATGGCTTTCCGCTCGTACACAGTACCGTACACAGTTTTCACCGGGTCGACAAACATGTTCCTGGTCAGCGGACACAGCAGGTGCTGAGGGAAAAACTGCGGCACAGGATTCACCAGTTTCTTGAAGGAAAAATAAACGGCAGGTGAGGATGGTAAGAGTAAAATTATCTTTTATATCATCAACAATTTGTAAACATGCCTGTTTATTCACCTTCTCCATCTCATCCAGTGACTTTCCAGCATGTTCCTCTGTGTGTTTCTTGGCTTCATATTGGTATATTTCACGGCTCGTCAAGAATTCTTCAGCCAAAATGCTTCCATACACAAAAAAAGGAAAACAGAATCCTTTGATGAATGTCATAATATACTTTAAAAGGGTAAAATGTTAAACCCATTTAAATGTACATTTAGTATGACTGTGTGAGTTTCTAAGCACCAAAGTTTTGTATGCAAAATATCTGTATCTGACCTGTCAAGTGGATCATCGGGCTCGGGGATGATAAGCAGTCCGTAAACGGCATCCAGGACCTCTCTCATGGTGATGTGGGCATTGTAACTACGGTCAAATAGGTTGTGGCAGATGCGGCCCACGCTGTTGATGTTGCAGTGATACACCTGTCATCCTGTTAAGAAACACTTCCTACAAAACTCTACAGTATATCAACTGTGATGGCATGGTGGTACAAAATGTAGCATGGTCACTCTTTATTTTGGCAGGATACACGAGTGACGAAGCGAACAAGTGGGGGCTTCACTGGGTATTCGGGGCCAAACTGGCAGTACAGCTCAAACACGCCTTTCTCGTACGGTGTGTCAGGGGGGCCCTGCATGAGAATCCTCCAGAACGCTGAAAACATTAGAAAAACAATCAAAGTCACCGCTAACGTTGCTGAAAGAGGATGAAACAAGTTAAGAGAGACCATTTTACTTACAGAAGTCTGACTCTGAGGGAAAGATTCTAAAGAAGGGATGTGGGTCACAATGCAGATTCCTCAGCTCCTCCAGGATGCGTTTATCCTTTTCCATGAATCCCCCATTCTTTGACTCACGAGTCTTCTTCTTGAGCACACTGTTTTAGAAGATACAATTTTAAATGTAAAGAACTTCGTAGATGACTATAATTTGTCTGAATGGTAGGAAACTTAGACTAGAAAAGCTTCTACACTGTGGAAAACTGTGCTGACCTCTGTGTCATGCTCACTTTTTGGCCTATCTGGCTTGGCAAGGAGGTTTCTGGGTATTCTTCATAACCACAAACAGCAAAGACGCTTGTTAATGCGTGCTATAAGATCAAAAGAAAAGACACCCTGAAGTTACACACGTTGCCCCTTTTTGAACAGATTCTTCTCGCTGACACTGCAACTGACCTCAGAGATGGAAGACGCATCAAGTTTTTTCTTGACCTTTCTCTGCTCCAAAGACAGCACCGTCTCAATCTCAAAGAGCTTTAGACCCTCTTTGGTTGTCTGTGGTTTGAAACAGCAGCCGCCTTGAAGCAATGAAAAGGAAAAAAGATGTGGAGAACCTTTTTCAAGTCACTGGCGCCATTATGCAAAGTTTTCTGTGGTGTTTTCCTGAGTCTACTTTAAGTTCAGTAGACCGGATATAGAGCTTTGCGTAAATGAATTAATAATTTTTTACCAGTTGCATTGCTGATTCCATGCAGCATGTTGTTCTCCACATTTCCAAGTAGGATTGAATCCACAATGATGTTCAGCTTTAGGAGTTTGACTGTAACAGCAACTGGTTCGATTGAAGATCTGTGAAAGATTCAAATTAATCTGGAACTCCTTTTCAGCTCAAAGGGAAAAGAGATGGGCAAGGAAGGTTACCCAGAGTCATTTCCATCTGTGAGACACATGATGCGGAGTCTACAATCAGGGAACCTTGTCTTGACTTTCTCAAGCTCACAAGCTCCTCGTCGCAGTGCGTCGTACAGCAGAGTACATCCACTCGCCTCAATGCTCCGCATGTGCACCTAGAAATGAGGAAAAGGGCATCAGCAGAACTCCCAACAATTATTCAAAACTAAAGACCTCCATATTATTACAAGTGTTGCTGTCAAAGTTCAGGTCAAACGTGTTCTAAGAGGAAAATTCCTCCAAGAGGAATGACTTTTATTTTACCTTAAACGTCTCCAGATTTTCAGTAAATGTGTGGAGAGTTTTCACCATAGAGTCAAACTTCACGAGGCCAATGACGTGATGGAAGTCATAAGCCATGCTTCGAGTGGCAAAGTTGTCAAAGAGCTCTTTCACAACATTAATTTTCTTTATTTCTGAACTTCCGTAACACTCTTCTTCCATTGACGAACTGGTGTCTATCAACATCTATTATATTTAAAAAAAAGAGAGTAAAGAAAAATGGAAACATATTTTTCATGACTGAAAATTAGGAAGAAATTTCTCAATGGAAAAAAAAGATGGCCATCATCATCATCATCATCAGCAGCAGCAGTATTACCAGTATGGCCTCCGTTGGAGTCCTGGTTGTGACAAATGTCTGGTTGTCTCCGTTATCACCAGTCCTGCATTACACATCAAACACAATGAAAACAGAGAAAGCTTTTGGCTTCTGTTTACCGTAGGGATTCGAGAAGACTGCAGCTGGACTATGGTCATGGCCAAAAGATCATTTAAGTGATCACATTATGAAGTCTAATCGTGATGCAACTGTAAGTGAGGTACAGCTCTTCAGGTCTGCACAAATCAGAGCATTTTAACCTCTGACCTCTTGATTTTTGAGAATAATTCAACTTGTTTGCTCATGTTGCTCCATCCTGCATTTAATCCGCAGTGTAGTTTAAAACCAATAAATAAATAGAGCTTCTACTGAAGCTGACTATTCATTGCTTCACTTTAAAGTTTTTATTTAATCATTCACACTGCAGTTTGCTTGGCGAATTAATTTAATTTTGGTTCTGTACTCACTGGGCTGCCAACATGTCAAGATCCACAGATTTGACTTCTCCATCTAGGCAATCTTGCACTTTGACCATATTGGCGGATCCTTTGTCCTTATGGATATAAATGCCAAGGTTGTCTGGTAAATAGGAAGATAAATATAAACCATACTTAACATCAAAGAAGAAGGTGAAAAGGAGTTGTGGGAATGAGATAAATTGACTCTAAAATAGGAGCGTTTTTGGAACGTAACTTGAAGTACCTTCACTTATCATGAGAAGAGAACTCCCGCCAAAACCCAGATCCTTCAGACGCAGAGGGGGAGTCACATTGAGAGAGGGGAAAGATTTCAGCCCCTCCACCATACTCGCAAAAGTCCGATTAATAATGACCTGAAAGCTGACATACAATCGTTGAGGTTAGTGAAAATATTTAGCAGTAATCCTTTCCTATTTTCCTATAAATCATTAACCCATAAATCTTTTTGAAGACTCTTATTTTTAAAGCATTAACTATGCATGGCACTGTATCTACTATTCAAACTTGGCTACACTGACTGGCCTGAAACCAAGTTTAACAGGCTTCCTTCAACAGGATAATGTTGACCTGGTTTCACATGCTCATTAACAGAACACAGAAAACACTGGAAATGTGGCCAGTTGTAATAAATCAAGTCGCTCATTCAAACTCAAGGCAGCTAGCTGTTCGACAAGCTAGAGAGCAGGAGTAGGAGAGAACATCTTAAGACCTACAAAACACATATGATCATATTCAGATAAAAGTGATGGCACATACTTCTGACCAGACAGCTTGTCATGGTGGATCCAGAAGGGATATCTCCTTATGTAACGAGGCAAGCTGAGAAGGATTTTCTCGATGTCAGTGGCTCTCTGTAAGGAACTTTCCTGCAGCGGGTCCACTGTGCAGTTTGGAATTCTCTCTCCATCTATTGAAATAGCACAGTGGGGAATCAGACAGATGATGAAGGACTCCATACAACATCAACTACAATGAAGGCCAGTCTGTTTTAATAAACTGCAATCATATTTGTCTTTGTATTTACAACAACTGGTTCCTTTTTTTAAATCTTCACAGACAAACTTAAAAAGGAAAACATATGTCCAGAATGGATAGAAAAAGTAGAAGAATATGTCAATATAGTTCACGTAACGTCTTGAGAATACATTACTTTTGATTTTGTCAAGAATATCTGTTCGTTCAAACACAGTTGGTATTCCAGGTACTCTGACTGGTTCGCAGAGTGGGTCACCATTTCCAGATAGAAGAGTGATTGGAGCATAGATTTCATGCTCGGATGATTGTTTCTGCTAACACAAGCAAAGTTACAATTGCATAATAAAAGCTGATATGAATCTCAATTACGTAAATGGTATCAGGTATCTGCAACTCCCAACTATACCTTTATTTTGCACAAGAGATGTGCCCAACAGTACAATGAGTTGTCAAATACGTCCTGGTCTTCAATGAACCTTTCCCCTCGCCATGATCCCTGTCGGGGCAAAAGCTCCCTGAAGAGCAGGTACAAGCCCTCAATGAGCGCAATCTGCCAGACATCAACAAGCAGACGACAAAGCACACAGTGAATGATCAAGATCTGATTATGGTTTACTTTCCCAGGAGAAACCCCCTTTCACGTACAGGAAGAGCCATTTAAGCCCTATATTGCTTGGTGTAAAAGAGAGAATCTAAAGAATAGAAGTCCGCTGGAGGGATAATGCTATCAGCTTTACAGTATGTCTTATATGTAACAAATTTCACAGTTTCGATCTTTTAAAAAAGCAATAAACCAATTCATTCCAGCCAAAAAAGAAGACCACAGTCATTGTGTTTACCTTTTGGTTTCTGGTCACCGTTTCGTTCCTGCAGAGTATCTGATGCAGACTTTGGGCCAGAGCGTTGCATCCTGTCAGCTTTCGTATGTAGGCAATCAACGTGTTCCGGGTCGAGTTCGAAAATTTACTCTGAAAGTAAAAGAAATACAACAGCATCAAGGACACTTGAAACGTATAATACAATGAAGTAGATCTGACAAATATTTCACAGAGGAATTTCTGATCCAACTATTGTTACAATGTACTCATAAATGAATAACCACAAAGGTACCTCTGACCTCTTGAAGAACATCTACTCAGAATGAATGAAAAATAAATCAAAAACACTTTTCTAGCTCAATAGCAAAACTGTGTGGGTTGCACGTGTTGACTGACTTACAATGGCATGAAAGGAAGACAAGAACACACTGATTCCTTTCAGGGTTTGAGGCACTGAGGGTGCCACATCATTAATGTAGAGGGCATTATGTGGAGTTTCCTCAGGAAAATATGACAGCGAGAAGAAAACCAGCATGCCCTCGGATATGCCACAGTTCTGCAGACTGTATCCACTGGAGTGATCACGTCTGCAAACACAAGCGCACATCATTTTTATAAATGACAGAGGCATTTCAGAGAAACATAAAAAAAGGTTGATGTTTTAATGAAATGACCTGTGATGAAGCACACACGCTGGGACTCCACTTTCTTTAGACAGCTTGAGCTTTAGAGTCAAAATTGTGTCAACCTCTAAGTCCACAGTCAGCTCAAAGTCTCCCTTCATGAGTAAAAAGAAGCATGAAAAGGCATTTGTTAGTGTTTCACATACTGCATGTTTTAACAGAAAAGCTGCCATTTAAAGCACAATTTGATTTATGACACTGAACAGCTATACTGGAATGGCACCATAGTTACATTACCTTGAGCATGATGTGGCATCGGATCACATCTGTTCCATTTGTTTCCACATACTCTTGCGTTTCTACTTGATGAGCCTGTAGAAGGTTTTCTTTAGGTGTAAATATGACGTAGATCATGGCATCATTTTCAATGTGTCTGTCTTTCAAAGACCCTGAAAAACAAGACAATCCAAGTCAAAAGATTTCAATTTCAGTTTTCATTACCAAAAAAGGAAATGCTGTTTATAACGGTGTGTGTGTGGCGAGGAAAAGGTTTTCTGACATCACACCTTTAGTAAACACAGTGGAGGGACAACAAAGATTCTCTCCTGACTTAAGTCACAATGCCTTCGTTGCCTGGCAAAGGTCGGGTATATGTGGAATTAACTGGCCTTCTTGTGGACGAACTGTAGACTTTTGGTTTTGGAGCACCTGAGCTCCCACATTTTTCAAATAATGTTTGGGAAGGGCTTTCTAAAACAAATACTTTTGCTCACATCCACAACTAGCTCTCATTGGCCAGCTGTGCAAAGCTAAGATTGTGCCTCTACCTAACAGAAACATTCAAACTTTACCTAACACCTGTGTCTCTCCACCAGCTGCTTGTTATTCAGTACCAGTGTTGGGGAGTAACGGATTACATGTAACGACGTTACGTAATTTAATTACAAAAAAAGAGTAACTGTAATTCGTTACAGTTACAATGAGAAAATATGTAATTGAGTTACAGTTACTTCCGAAAATATTAAGAATTACAAATTTAGTTACATTTTCTTTTAAATATAAAGAAAAACCTTTGCAAAATATGCAACTCACTGATAGACGAAGCGTATTGATTTACTAATATATGACTGTTTGGTGTTGATGCATGACGAACGTTTATCGATGTCTATGACCTAGCCTAGCCTAGCCTACCTAGCCTACCCAACTGTAGGGTGACCAGACGTCCTCTTTTTACCGGACATGTCCTACATTTCAGACTAGGGTTGTCAAAAGTATCGATACTTAAAAAAGTATAGATACTAAAATGTTGTATCCGGATACGACTGACCTGCCGTCGCTGCGCCCCTTGTCTCCGATTTATTTATTTACGTTGTTTATGATCATTAACAAGACGTTAGCCTTGAAGTGCTAGCTGCGGCCAATAGCTAATAATAAAACGCTAAAATTAATCATGGGTTAATACTCATTAAAACCTTAAAGTAATCAAAAAGTAATCAAAAGTAATTAGTTACATTACTTTTTAAAAGTAATCGAAAAAGTTACACTACAATTACATTTTAAACAAAGTAACTTGTAACTGTAACGGATTACATTTTTAAAGTAACTTACCCAACACTGTTCAGTACCTACTGTAGACAATCCCTGCGAGAGATCATTGTGTATGCTAGCATGTCTTCCAAACCTTACAGATAATGAGCTGACATAGAGCCCTAAGGGCCATTTTTACAATCACAATTCTCTCTTTAGCGGATCAACTATTGAGAAATGTCTGAGTTTCAATACGCTTGGAAGAAAATGAATACAATTCTGTAGATTGGATCCCCAGCACTCACTGGACTGAACTAAGTACGCATAATTAATGTGTAAACAGCACTTCACAAAAACAATTCTTACTTATTTGAATGTATTCAGTCTTTCCAACAATAAACCAGTGCTTATGTCTACTCACAGGTGTTGAAGAATGGGTCGTCCGTCAGAGGCATCCCATCCACTGTGTAGAGGCACACTCCTTTGTCCTTACCAATATTTTCAAGGTAACAGATCCTTAACATCAGATCTTCAACTGTGTTTTGTTCTGGGTCCAGATCTGTAACAATAACATTTCGAATAAATCGCTGCCCTCCCACTGTTTACTCTGAATTTGTCAAAGGAATGGAGCATGTTCATGGTGGTTCTCTCACCTTTAAGATGCTTCGTTTTGGGACACTTAGGGTACGTGTAGTACAGACAGAAGGGCTCTGAGGATTTTTGCACAGGTTCCACAGTTTGAACTTGCCGCTGTGGAGATTGGAGTCTCTGAAGGAAGGTCCTCATAGTAGAAAAACGATTCTTTTCAATGCGACTTAAGCCTGAAAAACGAATAAATAAAAAATATATGCTGTATTATTTAACTATTTAACCATGACTGAGCATCTGGGAATCGAACCTCCCTTTTGAAATGGCTGTCACACTCAGAACTCTTACCCATATCATTTAAATGCTCATCCGTGACTCCATCCAGGAAATCTCTTTCATCCTTTACACCCAGCTGAAGAAACTGGCTGTGGTATGACTCCAGTCGGTGCTGCTGAAGCAGCTTGAACACGGCACTCATCTGGATGGAACACATCTCATCTTTAATCTCAACATGGTATTGGGAAGTTTCCTCTTATTTAAAATAAATTAACGATACACACATTATGGCCACTAAAATTGAACTCACTTTTAATTCTTCCTCTTTGTTCAATAAAGACAACACAGGGCTTGGGGCTAACAGGTACATTTAGTTACAAAAAGGCTGCAATTACACAACTGCTCCCAAGAGGAATAAAGCTATTACTTTACAGCCCGTATTCTAAAGATTAACCCATCCCTGTTTAAAAAACCAGATGGCTATAGGAGGAATGAGGAGATAGCAGCAGAAAAACACGATAAATAAAGTAAAGTTCAAAGATAAAGAACTAACTAAAGACTGTAACTAAGTCATCACAGTTCATTTAGGAAAAACTGAAACTGCACAACGAGGAAAAACACTGGGCCTGAAAAAACACCACATAATTCACTGTTAGCATTGCATTTAACCACATCCCCAAATGATAACGACAAACAACTTCTAAAAATCACTGACATTACTACTGTCTAAGGATGTTAAATAATAATATCAATTCCATATAGCTAAAAAGAGTATGTTGCAAAAGTCAAACAATTACCATCATATTGGCTAGATCATGTTATTTCTGTTAGCATCCCACTCTTAATTGATTTACAACAGTACGATAATAAAGCCAAATACATACAAAAATGTTAAATATATGTTGCTTATCTTAAACTTAACCGTACTTACTCTTGGTTCAGGGAAGGAGCAGAAATATTAAAGAGATAATGTGTGAGCTATTGGCATATAAGGAAGAATTTGGGGTGGGGCTAAAACTAGCAAAAGTACGAGCATAGATTTTTTTTCAAATTAATTTTCAGTCAAACTTAGCTAATGGAGAAACGGTAAATGATCTAACAGACATAAGAAATATTTTTTTAGTGAACATGTAATGAGATGCGGTGTAAATATAGTTTGTAGTTTAGATACCACAGCTTTTTCTGGGTGACATCAACTGGCACCAAATGGCGGTAACTCGGCCTCTCTTCATTAGTCGCAGGAAGTTGTTGTTTTTCACAGGGAATGCATCTCAGAGGAGCAAGTTTGTGCCAGCATGCTTATCAGTAACACCAAAGAAACCAAGTCTCTCTATATTTTATTTATGCTAACTGACAAATTATGGCGGGGAAAAATCACCAGACACAACTTTAACAGCAACATTTTCTTTAGTTGCACACACAACAGCATTAAGTTTGTTTTCCTCATGCCACCCTGACATCATGTTTGCATGAAGTCAGTGGCTGCAACTGGGTCTGTGACCGTGTGTCCTGGACAGCCCCGTTTGTCGTTTTGGGTGTCTTAAAGCTCTGAGCTTTTGCTTCTGCAGGCTGTGGTCGAGTGCACATGATGTCCTCTCGAAGTGCATCCATGCTTTCTGGAAAATGTGAGGCATAATCTGCCAAACGGTGGCCTGTTAGTCTTTGCTGTTTGTTGACATCCTTTCTCAGGTGGCCCTCTACCTCTCTGCTGTTTCTGACATCATGTGTGTGAGTTTCACACATGGCTGAACCCTCAGAACTGCTGGTCTCCGTCTGCACTGCTGTTGACTCTGAGCATCCTCCGCTCTCAACAAGTCGCTGCCGGTTTTTTGCCCTTACTTTTCCTTTTTGCAGCACAGTAAGATCTCTGCCGTAGCTTTCTGTGTCAAAGACCTGAGTGAGAGCCAGAACAGGCGGTGGGGTGTTATTAATATTTCTTGAGTTCCACGTAGGGCTTATTTTTCTCTCCTGTGGTACCCCAGTGCTATCTGTCCTTGATTTCCGAGTACAGCCTTGTGATGACAGATGGGTATCAATAGAGGGAGAGTTTTTCTCAGATATTTTGTGAAAATCCAAAGAAATCCTGCTGCGGACACCAGCGTCATCTTGCCTTGGAGAAAAACTGCTGTGGCATTTGCTTTTTGCCAACCTCTGGTCAAGGTTGAGGGGGCTGTTAGCAGAACCTGAGGTGTCCATCCGGCTGCAGGGAGGGGATTTGGCTGACTTTCTGAAGGCGGATGAGAGCCTGTGGGGCAAGTTGTCAGGAGGTTGTCCACACGGTGGCCTGGGTACACGCTGAGATAGGGGAGGAGATCTTGAGATTGACGTAAGAGGCAAAGGAAGCAGAGTGTCAGGCCTTTGTCTTTCTGACAATCTGGGGGAAAACAATAGGAATGGGAGAAACGACAAGAAATATGAGCCACTGATGTATAAGCCGTGAAGATAGGTGACAAATGTTGATTTGAAGACGACACAAATAGGGAGCAATTTGGAAGTAGATATTATTTATATAGTGATTGATAACCAAGCATACAAACCTGAACTTGTTTTTCTGTCCCTTTCCAGTCAGAAGAGTCGAGGCTGCAAACGATGACGGGAGGAGCTCCAGCTCCAGCTGTATAGCTCCTCTAAGCTCTCGCAACTCTACACATAAGCAGACAAAATACAGCTGACACAAGGAATGATCAGAAATAAAATAAAAAATCTAAAAGGATACAGTTTTGATGTGACATGAAAATGCAGTGTGAAAACTTAGAAATTATTTAACTCCATTTCTAATTTAAGACAAAAACAAAACTATGAGCAAAATGGACTTGCTCATGATTTTAAAACAAAGGCTAACTTCTCATCGAGATGATACAATTTTCAAACTCTGTAACAACTGAATGTGGGACATAATACAGAAATACACTCAGACATGTTTCACCAGGAGCATTTTTCTTTACTTTTGCTGCTTTTGATTCTTTAGCTGAGAAAGATTTGGCAAAACTGTCAGTTGCAGAGTGTGAGCTAACAATTAAACAACTAAGTCAGTCACTACTGTGACATTTTTTTAAAAGGAAAGAATTCTCCACCAGATGGCAGCAAGGGCCAAAGTTTGTCTCACCTGAAAGTGAAGGCTCAGATTTCTCTGAATCGCTTTGATACTTTTCTTTTACATTTCCCTACAGAAAAAAATAAAAAGAGTCACAGATGAGGTTATACAAGCTTTAGTGCACATCTCACTTTAGTTTGTCACAAAATAGGACACACTGGAAAAAGAAATGCATTAAGCACCTTCAAGAAAAGCCTTTGGAAATTGCAAAGGAACAAGGATAAAAATAACACGGGCTGGGGAGGGGAGAGGAATGTGTGTGTGTAAGTGTGTCTGTTAGAGAGAAACCACTAAGCGATTGAACAGCAGTGTTTCATCATAATTTGGCTCCTAACATTTATATCCATAGCAAATGAAAACCAAAGCGCTCTGTGTGTCTTAGTGCCCAAAGCTTGCTAAAACCAAAGAGACGAATTCAATGTGTGTCCTTGTGTGTGCTTGTTTTGAGTGACTGGCTAGCTCCTCTCCTCATTTTACACCAGCACAAATCCTAATGAGAACCTTTGTCGCAACCACAGTCTATACAGTCCATCACACACATGGAGAGATGTATAAACACATACCAAGAGACCAGGGGACTGACCGTAAATCCCATATTTTGCTCTGCTCTCCCGGTGGGATTCAAAGCCAAACCTCCCGGTGTTATCTTTCAGATTTACAGACAAAGAGCTAACTGTGCTTCTGATAGTGAAGGGACTACAATCTAAAACAACAGTGGAGAAATTTGGCTTTGTGGCCAATTTGAACACACTGACATCCAGACATTTTAGGAATGACTACATGTTTTAGTCATTCCTCCGGTACTTGAAAAACCAAATTCACCACTGCAAATCTCACATGGACCATCAGGCTGAAAACAGTCCTGCTGACATTTCTTCTTATTCATAGTTATGGTTTTGGCAGTTTTGCAAAGTCTGATCTACCAGCTAAGCCCCGTCAGCAAGTAAGATAAACTGTTCTGGTTTGGACACAGTTTGCTTTATATGACAGAATCAGCTAATGCAGGTTTATTTATGTCTCCAAATGAACTAGTATGAGGCACCTTTACACCACGTCACTGACAGCACGACCTTTATAAAGTCAGCACATAGATGAAAAATGATGGAAATAAATTTCCATACAGAAGCTAACAATGCCAATGCTCTACACTGTAATGCTAAGCCATGACCTGCATTTATCAGCTAAACGAGACAATGTTATGTTGGATAGCAGCGGGTTGGTGGTGTGGGAGACATCTATGAGTGGTGGTGATGGCGGAGTTTGCACAGCTGCTAATTCCGAATACAGAACATGAAGGCCGATATGCAGCAGCTCCTGTGACAATCACTCAGTGTCTGAAAGCCACTTTGGTAATTTCATTTATCGCCTCGACCACAACCAGTCCGTCTGTGCTCAGTTTAGAGCGGCAGAGATACATCAAAGTCAGACCGCACCTGTCAACCAAAATGACAAACTCTCATCCCACAGCCCCACTGAGTCAGAGGTGACTGCGGCATTTTGCCCGTGTGGAGGCAGCTAGTGTCTTACTTGAATGGACTTGCTGGAATCTCCACAGAAAAAAAAAGAACAGGAAAATATATAGTCAGGTAATTTCAATGTTAAACTGAGACAAGAAGACATGGGCGTCGATGCTCCAAGTCACTGGGCAGCATGAATGACATTTTCAGAAATATTCCCCTATCAACAGACCAAGTAATGTGTAAAAGTGCATTTTCATACTTTGAACACCCTCAGGGTGCAGGCAGAAGGCTGCCTCACATCACTAACTAAATACAATACTCAGAGCTGTGCAGGTGTGTGAGTTACTCCTAACTACTATTACAGAGCCGTTGTCTTGGAACAAGTCCAAGACACTTTACGATTCTCCCCCTGCTAAAAGAACATGGGTCATTATGATGGTGTGTAGAACCAATTCAGGACTAACATCTAGATCTGGCTCTAAAAATGCTTTCAAATAGATATATATCAAATAAGTATCTAAGGCAGCTCTATTCAAAAGCTGTATCAAATTTAACTGCAAAGAATAACTGAATGGGTTCAACTGTCAGAAACCTGTGTATGGAATGCATCATAACACTTTTAAGGTGGTTTCTTGAAAAGCTTTGCTGTTCCTGTCCTTCCGTTTGAACTTTAGATAACTAAGTCATCTGATAAATGCATTGTCATTGTTGCATATATGCACAAGCAAGCTGTTTTTATTTACAAAGCACCACAATTACAACTCTGTGGCTCATCATTTTGTGGTTGGTGACTAAAATGAAAGTGAACTGACAAACTAGAGCTCTCTGGAATGAAAACTGACGGTACTGATCACCATCCAAAAACAGTTTATTGAAAATTCAGATGTTTTGCTGCTGAGCTAGTCTAATAAATAAACTTTTCCTTTTTTTGGATAAAAATCCAAAATTCCTTTTGTCTTGAAAACACATGTTATGTGGGCTAATGACCAAAGATATGCTGTTACCACTTCTTTCCCATTTGTTTATTTATTTTTTAGGATTACATCTCCCTTGCTCCAGCTCTTGATGGGACTTAAAGGCAAAATAGAAACCACGAAGGTGATCCTTATGGCAACTTTTAATGCCCTTAATTCCAAATCTTCATTCCAACTGAAATTCATCACAATTCAAATTTGAAAAAACGTGTCAAAAAACTGCAGAACAATGAACGATTTCTATACACTTAAATAGAGGGAACAATGACATGATTCCCACATCTGGTCTGCAGACAAGTCCTACATCTGGCTCAACTTGCTATGCTTCTCTCATGCAAGACAGTGTTGTCAGAGTGTAGATGTGAGACCTTGAGTGCTTCACCTCATGTGATCCTTGTGTGCCAAATAATTATCTACACCATTCCAATGATTGGAAGGACACTGAGATATTTCTTTTAAGTTTTGTTTTACAAGTTGAAAGAAGGCTGATCATGCAATAATTCATGATTGTGTGTGACTGACTGTGCATGTTGACACCTCGGTGGGCTTTCAGAGCCCGACAGCACAACTACACAAGGGATCCAAACTCTAGGAGACATGTCTTCTACTACAGGAAAGTGTGTGCCACAATTGAAAGCAATGATTACAATTTGAATGGGGATGATCAGTATCGTACGGGAATCTACAATGACTTCACAGTTGTACTGATGTAAACAAAACCAAAATTCAGCTTTCTTGGTTAGGATAAGAAGGGAAAAAATGAATTATCCAGATATCAAGTCAGAATGTATCTAATTTATTTTGTGGGCTGTAATAATGATGAGCTGTTCATGTTGGAATAATTTTAGTGGATCTATGCTTTGGTTTTCTTGTTTGCCAAAAATAATAACAATAATCTCTGGATAATTGCTGAACTATTGGAGTGTAACCATTCTATTGGTTGTAAGTTTTTCAAATCTTACCTTTAAATTCTTTATTATTGCGGCCAAAGCTTCACATTCCTCCAAGAGGATAAACCTAAGGTGGAGAGGGGTAGATAGATCAGAAGATAGGTTTCAAGACCTCATCAAAGTGCTGGATCAGTAACAACATAAAATAGCAGGTGAGCTGTTAACAGTTTATCCTCTACAGTTTTCTTAATATACAGGAAACTGTCTCATTTTTCTACCCCTGTCCTCTCCCCCCACACTTTCTCCTTCTCTGGTTACATAATCAGAGCAGACATTTTTCACTTCCTTCAAATGAAAAAAGGAATCCTTTGCCGGCTTGGTCTGGTCTGGGATCCATTTTCTCACAATGGAGCCTTTTGTTTTGGTCTGGTCGGGACATGAGAGAGAGAAGGAAAGAAGGAGGCACTTTTCCAAGGTTATTCCAGTGGATGCATTGCCCTGTGGGCCTCAAAGCGAGGGATAGAGGGTGAGGAAGGAAGGGCAGTGACAGAAGTCACAGACAAAGGCACGAGAAAATGAAAGTGCCTCCAGGAACTTACCCAAACGTACAGGGAATATTTAATTAGGACATTTACAATAATATATATAATATAATTTAACTAGTGAGACAAGTGAGTATCCAGTTGTTATAAAGTTTGTATCTACATGCCACTTGTTGCCACACTGACTTTTGAAATGTGGTAAATAGTTAGAAAAGACTGAAGTCATAGGAAGGAGGCAGAACAAGGAGCTGACACTAATTAGTTGGACATGTTGCTAGGAAACAGAGCAAATTATTCACAATAGACAGCTAGTTTACAACTTGAACAACAGCAGCACTGAAAAAAAGTCAGTGACCTCAGAAGCTTAATATTGGAAAATTAAATTAAATGACATTTGAAGTTATTGGTACAAATATGAGAGTTAATCATAGAACAAATCATTCATTTCCCCATGCACACATAACAGAACATTAAGTAATCTGATGGATTTGCCAAATAAAACAAGAAAAAAATCTAATTTTCCATACAAAAATCACTTGAATTGGGAAGACAATGTGAAATCTGTGTGTTAAGATTCCTCTTATAGTTTCGATATGAGATATCGAGATTTTGTTGTCGCCAGTTGAGGGCAGCAAAACATGTTGTAAAAGCATTTCTAACGTATTTACGCTGGTGAAAGCATTGACGTCCAATTAAATAATCGCTTATTTAGCAGATACAACAGAATCGTGTCTGCCGAGGATCGGTTGTGTTCAGTGGGTGGTTGCTAAATTTGTCAGACTGGGACTTATTGCTGAGTGAGAACAGGGCAGAGGGCTTTTAGGAATTTATCTTTGAAAACACCAGCCCCCTGTGGTTGGGATAGAGCTAAGGGAGGAAAACTAAACAGACTATCAAACTTTACAATGATCTAAAATGCACAAGTAATTGTGTGTCCCTGTGCACTTCATGCTGTTTTCTAATGTTCGCTCTGTGGATCTTACCTGAGGTGACTGACCACTCTATGAATCTCATTGACATTCAGTTTGTCTCTAATTTCTCCAATCTCCTCCTCCGCGGTAGACTGGACTGAACAGCGGGAGCTTGGCCTGTAAAGGCAGAGAAGAAAAGAGGAAACTAATGCACATTCTCCTTATCCCTGAAGGTTCTGAATCATCTCGGTAAAGTAGGCTGATCATTTTTTTACTAGCGCTACTAACCTGCTGGGATTTCCATTTTCTTTAGGGTTTCCACAGTTGCTGTAGCAGATGTCCTGGTGACCAAGGGTGTAATTTATAGTCTGTATTTTGTAGTGACTCAGAAGCTCCTCCACGTCCCTGTAAAGGAATTATGCATCTTTGTGTGATCATTTTATCGATATTCTTTTGTCACTTTTTAAAATTATCTTCATATCCACCAGAATCTTATTGAAATCTGCACCAGTAATCAGGGGAATATTTTTGCACTATGCAAAAATGTGTTTCGTCGCCTTTTAGCTCTGAAAAGACAATACCATGGACTACTATTAGATCAAAACCATAACAAAATTTGCGTGTGAAGTATATTTCAGTATAATCGTCTGTTTACTGATATTTATGAAGCTATACAGAAATACACATAGTAATGTTCATCTCAACAGGGGAAGGTTGTTTCTGTGGGTAAAATGGCAGTAAGGCTTGGCTTACTTAGTTTTATAGTTTTTGCTCTTGGGAAAATGTGTCTTTTCATGCCACACTGACAATTATATGAGAGGGAAAGCCGTGAATGGCCGGAGCATCAGGACCACACAAGAGGAGGCCAATAAGATAAATCAGTTGACGTTTACAAGGTACACACCCATCCACATACCCTCATATAAATCCCGTACAAAATGCGGCACAGACTGTGTCAGCAGCTCCTGCTTTTTGTTGCATTTGGCCTTTGCATTTTGTTGCATTTTGCCATTTCGAGAAAGATTTTCTCAGCCAATATGTCTGACTAAATAAATTACGAACAATGAATATGCACAAATAATAAAGCAAAACAAATTCCCATACCAACAAAGCCCATTAAATGCAGTTAAGCTGACAAACAGAGTGCTGCGGAGAAGCTTTGTTAAGTGGAAGCGGTGTTGCTTCAGTCTGTGTTGGGTTTCCTCCTGAAAGCCATTCAGCTGATGTACACTTGGGACTTAACCTAATTGAATGATCAAAGGCTTGAAACACACACACATACACCCTGTGCCACGCATCAAGGTCAACAACTACACTGAAGCCAACTTCAAAGAGGAAATGCGATTTGCACTGGCACCGTCTGTGTGGCACCAATACTTGTTTTGGCACAGTTCCCACACAGCCACTAACAATGGGGTACATATCTCAGACTGAAAGGGACTTTTTTTATAATCCATTTACATTCAAGCCAAAGCACTTTACAAGAGAAATTTGTAACGTGTGACCAAGCAAGGCTTCCGTTTGTGTTCTGCTTCACTTTTTGTTCGACACTGTGCTGTTATGGGCGTCCATCAGACCTGGAGTCTTCTGGGAACTGGATTTTAGCTTAAACATCAAGTCTCTGAGATTGTTTCGAAATAAATCCCTGTCGAACCAGCTGTATTTATTACATCTCTTTCTTCGATACATGAACGTTATTGTGCTTCAACTAAACCTCAAAGGTACTGTGGGTGATAGGGACATTGCCTATTTTTTAAAATGTATTTATGTTTTCCACATATTCTCTTCATATTAGATGTGGTATAGTTTTGAAGTGCATATGTGTTCGGATTATTTAATGCCGAGTTCAAACCTGTTCATTTTCAGGATGTTATCATTAAAAACGTCAACAATTCGGGCATTGTGCATGTTGGCTTGCATGGTGATGTTAGACTCTGTACAGACTTGGGGTTCTTCAATGGGAGATTAAGATTGGCCATCATTAAGTTAAAATTTAAACACTTTAGACATTAACAAAGGTGCATGATTCACTGGTTTGTGACTACCTTTTTTAAAGCCTTCACTTTTTCATTTGGCGGATGCAATATTCAGTATTTGTGAAGACAACAGTATTCATATTTGGACAAGAGGATAGATTTAGGAGGCTCCAGTATTTCGTTAAACATTGAATTATGGGAAAAGTCTTTCTGAAAAAAATCCATCTGTTGAAGCTTAATACGTTTTAAAGAAAGCCCCTAGTGACCTTCTGCGGTATTGTGCTTTAAGGCACTCCACACAGGCCTTAAATTCCATACCCCATGGCAATGACTGTGTTTTATATGGTCTGTGACACCCATAAACATTATACATTATTCCTATAAAGTATATCAACTATGTCGGACCAGTGGCTGGGCGCCATGTGTATTAAATATGGAAATGAGCACAGACACCTCAATAGCAATAGGGATAGCTCATGAAGAACTGGAAAAATACAATACCAAAAGCAGAGGCCAAATTGAGAGACAAAAAATGACAAGTCAGATAACAGAGAATCACGAGCCGTATGATGTCTTTTGCTTAGAATATCCGCAAACGCAGAGAGAGGTGTCACAGGGCAACATTCCTGGGAGCAGAGAGCTTGTTGCTGGGATAAAACACACGCAGAAGCCCAATACACACATTGTGCACTCATACACAACGTCACACAATAGAATATATGTGTCTTTTATTATTTGTAATAAATCCTCTGAAGTGTTTTAGTACTCACATAAAAACTAAACTTCTCGCAGTTCATCTCTGACCTAAGCTGTACTAAGAGAACCTGTTGAAATGATACCGTTTCTGTAGCTGCTTATAAATGACAAATAAAAGAGATATAGAACAGCAATCCTTAGAGCTGTCTTCCAGGCTCTTTATAGAGAAACAACTGGATATAAATCAGCCTTATTCATGTCTTCATCTTAAACTAAACCAATTATTGCTGCCATTTGAATCACAATATAGGCCCTCCTCCTTTAATTGTCCTTTTGTTGCACAATTTATAAGTCCAACCACAATATTTCTGCAAAACCTTTCTTCCACTGGTTTCCCAGGCTATTTGTGCCTCTCCTGGGAACACAACGTATTTCATGATTCTCTTTGTTCGGGCTAAAATGACGTAGTTCGTATAAGACCGTATTTTGAATTGATGGACCTAAGCAGCCAAAAAAGTGAAAGAACAGCGATATTAATGTGCCAAAATTTGTTTGTAAATCTGCGGTATAAACTGATGGTCTATGACATTTTAAGTGGACTTTTAAATGGTGCATTATGCTTAACATTTTGAATATCAAATGTATATAAATAATATGCAATTCAAGTTGTTTTTTATTCAATTAAAAAATAACCTTTACTTTAGTGTTTTTCATATCAAACTTAATTAACTGTAATCAGTATTAAAAGTGCAACATTGAGTGAAGTAAAACGTTTAACCCATAATGTTTTGTCTGTCATTAGTTAAAAATGTAAATTAGAGGAGACTCTGGAGAGCGGAACCTACCTTCCCTCTCTGGAGGCTCTCTCTTTCAGTGTCTGCAGGAGCATCTTCACCTCAGCTCTCACCAGTTCTTTCACAGCAGGGGGGTCAGCCAGTCGGACGCCCTGCCCACATATGAATAGAGACTTTGGCCTGCTGCTGGGGTTTCCATCAGGTTGGCTCCCCTGCCACATCATGTGCCACATCTCTGCCTGCAAAGGTAACCAGACAATTTACACAACAACTTTCTAAAGATGTTTTCTACTGACTAACCAGATGTTCAAAAGCAGAATGGAAAATCTACCTGCATTATACAACAAATAGCCACACAAACATTTAGCAACTCTGGTGACACCTCACTTTATGAGGATATTAAAAAGGACAGTGTCCAAAATAAGACAAGACTATAGGAAAAAGTATCCCAACCGTGTGAGTACAAGCACAAAATGAGCAGAGCAGGATGTGTGGGTACAGGACCTCATTCAGTTCACCACATTGCTAGCATGGATTGATTCTAAATAACTATTTAGTTTTTAAAGTCACACAGTTCTAAAGTCTAGATATGATTGAACTTCCACAACCATTCAAAGGGACTTTAGGACAGCCAATACAAACAACAGACAAATGGTATATTTCTGCGAGATTCACAATCAAATCTATCTCTGCATTAAAAAATGTAAAAAAAATCGTAAAAATGGATATGGACATAAGGATAAAAACAGTCCCACTGCCTGTACAAATGCTGTGGCTAAATCATCAAGATACTTCTCTACAATTTATTGAAACTTCTTCCTGAATTTCTATAAAAAAGTGTTTTTCACAAGAGAACCTTTTCCACAGTGAACTCTTTTGAGCACCGTCTTCTTGAAAAAGTCAGCATACTAAACTAGTCAAATTTAAACTCCCACCATGCTAATTTGCTTTCACTCTGCACTGGAAACCTCACTACCTTACAAAGGAAAGTGTTATGCAGCAACCTAAGGTATGATTTAGCACTGTAAAAATAGTATTAAACTTTACTGAACTGAAAATGGGCTGTCAGTTTCCCATGATCCCAAGGTTTTCAGACTGCAATTTGCATGAGCGCTTGTGTCTCGGTGTCTGGATATCATTAGCACCTCCACACCTGTTTCCTGCCAATCATTTCTACCATGTTGCACTAAAGACTTCACTTCAAAGAAATACAGTGGAGGATACTAAACACGCCACTTCTGGATTTTGCAGGTGTACGCATGTCTGCTCAAACAACAGCACTCATGCTGCATCTTGCATGTGCACACACGCCTTTAAAACGTACTTACTTTCTCCATGAGACTAAGAGTGAAGGAGTGTTTATGGTACAGGATTCATGGCTCACTGGCTCATAAGTTTTCCCTGGATTTTTACTCCACCTCTCTGTTGTAAGACTGTTAAACTTATGATCTTGCACCGTTAAAGGAGCATTTTTCAAATATGTCATTGAAAACTACTCTAATGAATTTTATTGTAGGATAATTTAAATTGCTCTAAGGAACTCAATTAACTAAGGATATTCATTTTCTCTCAGTTTAGAGAGGAAGAGTGAGAATCTAGTGGTGTGCACTCCAAGATAAGCCTTTTGTAGACAAACGTGAAGAGAGCCAAATATTTCCTCAGGTGCTTTAGACAATGCGGACCTTTATAGAGAGGAAAGGATGCACTGAGGAGCGGAAGAACAGCCTACAGATCGACTATTACTTTTCTCTTTTCATAGGAATGCAGTTTATTACATGACTGCATGAAGAAATTGAAACAAAAAGGACTGAGAGAGGAGGAAAGAAAAAAGAGAAGGAGGATGTTTTCGAGGGAAGGATCACCTACATGAATAAGGCATTCTGTGCGCAGTGATTTCTTTTTTCCCTGGAAATTTCTCAAAAGTCTTTGCCTAAGTATTTCTTTCCATCTGACAGCTTTACAATCAGCCACTGGACTGTACAGAAAAATCAGAGGTACAGTGGGACTAACACACTCAGGCATGGTGTGCATATCCAAATACACACACACACACACACACATAGGCAAAGAATTTTGTGTTGCCCTGTTACACCCAACCCCCTGACTCACTGGGTTTGGAAGTTCTCTTCCTCTGTGTGCTGTTCGTCTGAGAGCAAATCGTATAAAACTGGCTGAGTTTCTGCTCGGTTGCCACTCTGAATTGTGCTGAATTCAATTTTGTTGTCAAATTACATTTATTTGACTGTGAGTGCAACATGTTTAAGCCCATAAGCTGAAAAGTACTTTTTCTAGCTGAAGAGTGGAGTCAAACCATGTCCAGGTGTACTCTGCAAACACTAACTGCTCTGCAGGTGAAGGAGAGCAGATTTACATATGGAGAGATTTCTGCAATGATGAAAGAGAAGAGATGAGAAATCAGCAGAAGTTTGAAGAGGACAAAAGAAAAAAAGAAGGCACAGATGGCAGTCAGACAGGGTAGTTTCAAGGGAAGAATGTTTGGTGTTTGCATTTTAATTCTTCTTCTGCGCTATGGAGAACATAGTGGAGAGAAATGTGATATTTAGAGCAGCACTCTTTATTCTAAGTGAACAGGATCTGCAATCTTAAAGCCTCAGTTGGTTACTGTGAGATATTAAGAACTATTTTAATTAAGATGGACTGTAAGAATAAACATTCCCAGACTTAAACATTTATAATGATCACATAATTATGAAAAATATAAATACCATACTCCATGATCACAGAACCCCGTTGGGAATAAGTAGTATAAAAAAGCGGATTGGATAATCACAGTAACTAAAATTGGCCATGATTGACTTAATAATAGTGTTGACTTAGTATGCAGGACACACTGTGTAACATTTTCCAGAGGAGTGGCTGAAGATTATATTTGCTGTTTTATTTCTTTACTTTTTTTGTTATCATTTCTGCTCAGATACTTCTTTAATTTGAAATCTCTCACATTGATCTTTCTCTCATTTGTTTCCTTTTCAAATTGATTTCCATTTTGACCTGGAGTTGACCTTTTCAGTGAGCTGGGTGCCTGTTCACCTCAGCTCATAATTTGCTCATTGACTCAGCAAGTCTGTCTTGTCTGAGGTCATGTGGCGAGTGCTTTTAATTCAAGTGGACATTGGGCCTGAGAATTTAGCTGACCTGGAGCAAATATTGACGTCCATCTGGCTCACATGTAGCCCTCTCTGCAGTACCATGCCAGTTAACTCACCTTTCACTTTTATTATAGAATCTGAGAACTGCACTCGATGAATGTCTCAACAAAGCCAAACAAACTCACACAGTAATAAACTTAAGTTATTTAACAGTTCAGCTAGGAATGCTTGACCAAGCAATCTTTTATTCACCCTGCCCGAAAGGAAATTCTTGTCAATCCTGTGGTGGTACCCTTGAGGAAATCTACCAGGAATAGACCCCATATCAGATTTCATTGGAGAAATAAAACCATATGGGTAAAAAAAAAAAGGCAAACGGTGAAATACTATCGCAACTTACAAAACCAGGGCCGTGACAACACAATAACAAACTCCACGAACAATTTCAGTTAGAACAACGGTCTCACCTCGGTATATGCTTCTGTGTACATGTCAACCAGATGACAGCCCAGCGCTGAACGGATCTTCAGCAGCTCTGACTCAGAAACATGCTCGGCAATCAGGCTCCACAGGGACTGGCCAGGACACCAGAGCTGGTCTCTGTCAGGAGAATGCATAAGAAGAGAAATCTAGGCCAAAAAAAGAAAAGAAAAAAGAAATGGAAATTAATTACTCAAACATCATATTCAGCAACTAGGAGAAAAAGGTAGCAGTACCGTATGATAATATACTGTAATCAAATATAATCAATTAATTTTGATGCATTGGGTTTTGTATAGTCCCCGGAATACTTTAGAGTAGTTTGGTGTTTAATTTCATCTTGGTAATGTAATGGGAGAATCCAAAGCTAACTTTCAATGCAATTTTGTCAGTGCCACAGGGTTATAACTTCCATCAACAGAGGAAAAACAAATATGTATAATTTATCATGACATCACTGATGGCGTGAAGTCATCGACTAAACTAAGATCAAAGTTTTTTTCCCACATTGAAAACGATACTAACGTGAGTTTTGGGGTTTCTTTTTGAACAGTAACTTAATATTCGTTTACCCTAAAGTCAATCCCAAAGAAAATGACACAAATTAGGAGATCTGGCGTAGCTACCGCTATTTGACTGCCTATGAAACATAAACCCAGTTAGACGATAGCATTAGTATTCATTTAGCAAATTCAAAATCGTGAAGTTAAAAAGAAAAAGTCCCCTCTGTGAAACACCCAAAAAATGTCACCATTTCCCCCCGGTTGGTATTCTATAAAACGCTTACCTTATTCTGTTTTTAGACAGGTTTTGGTATCTAAGGAAAGCCTTTCCGTTGTCAAGGAGTGATATCGCGAGACTTTTAGATATCATCAAGGGGACTTTTGGTACGTCTGTGTGCGTGGAAGTTAGGTGCAAACAAATAAAATGTTTAACAGCAATTGCATAATTTTAAAACACTTTAACCGTGTCTTTCTTCCATGCGTTTTATTTAAAAGGAAAACCCCATGACGAACACACTAACAGCTTCCTGCTGCTTGTAAAATAGTACTTTTGTGGCTATTGAAGAAGGGGAGGGACTATAGACTTTTAATGAAACTGTTGTATGAACTTTCAGGACTGCACCGAGAAACCTTCTCTCTCTTTACCCCTAAAATCCAGTTCTCCCGTGCTTTTATAGGGAGTGCAACACTTTTAGACCACTGGGAAGCCGAACTGGAGAAACTCCATAGACGTAGGCTTTATTAAGGATGTAAACCAACGTTTTTATTTTATTTGTGTGTGTGTGTGAAATTTGCCTGCCAAACCCCAGCTGGACTTAATTTGACGATTCTTTTAGAAGAGTTTTTTGTTACTTTTTTCTCTTAAAGGTGATTATGGCACTGGTCCACGGTGTGCGCTTCTCCTTGCAGCGCAGGGGACGCGCGGCGGTTTTTGCACTTCTCCTTTGCGCACAGGCCACTTTTGGGTTCTCGGTCGCAGGACAGCAGGAGAACACCTGCGAAGCCAACGGTAGTATATACTACGTCGGGGAATGGTATTTCCTGGACTCAGATCACTGCACCCAGTGCGAGTGCACCGATGAGGGCTCTGCATGTGCCCGCACCGAGTGCACGTCCCTCCCGGCTGCGTGCATCCACGTTAGCCACTACCCCACCGACTGCTGCCCCAGGTGCGAAAAGATCGGATGTGAATACCGGGGGATAGTGTATGAGCTTGGCCAGAATTTCCAGGTAAGATACTGTATGACATATGCATGGGACTTCCATAAACTTATATAATCTCCCAGAAAGGCCTAAATTGTCATTTCATTATTATGGTTTCTAAAGAGGAATCCAGATATATATTTGATCTGCCAAGGTATTTTGGGGGGTGTCCAGCACATGATTAACTTGGAAATAATAAAAACACTTATCATATATTTATTTACCTGAATTAGACTAAAAGGGAAGTGTTCAGAGGATGGTACAAAGTAAGTTAGAAAATATATTAATATTTGCTCCAAACTTCCTATCACCATTTGACATTTTAAAGCTTACATTCACATTTGTGTCAATTTTAGAAAGAACAAAGTAATATCTGATGAATATATATTGGACTTCATGTGGGGGGAAAAAGCCTTTACGAATCAATTATTGTGGAAAATGTCATTTCTGGTTTACTGATTACAACTAATAAATGTACATTCCACAAGCATTTTCCAAAACCTTGAACCTTTGTTGGTATTTGGTATGTGGTGAGTAGACATAAGGAAGTTGCTGGTAAATGGCGCCCCCTTTGAGGAGATGTGGATGTGAGGGGCTTGCAATAACCTAGTGTTTCTCGTACATTCCATTCATGTCTTTTTTTTTGCAATGATTTGCTCTAATGTGCATCATGAAGAAGTTAGAAATTAATCCACAGCTGACTCTCACATTGTGTTTTCCAGCCGTCAGAGTGTGAGCAGTGCACTTGTGACAGTGATGGCATCGCCCGCTGTCTTGTCGCAGATTGTGCCCCTCCACCATGTGTCAACCCTGTCTATCAGACGGGGAAGTGTTGCCCTGAATGCAAGGAAGGTATGTTGAAAAATAGTTAAGAATAGAGTTGACACTGTGTAGGAAAAGCATAAAGAGGACTTCCCAGAGGTGCAACATGAGATTTAACTTCATCATTGTGAAACATATTAGGCATCTTATGGATCTGTGTGGTGTCAGTTCAGATTAATTTGAATAATTCCATGCTGTGATGAGTTTTCACACAACATCGCCCACATAGCCGTTCTTTAATAGTAAGGTTCAGCTACAGTGATGCTGTCCTCCGTTACTTATTTCCCTCCAGGTCCCAACTGCTATGTTGATGCATCACGCAGTAAAGTTATTCCTGCTGGAGATTCTGTCTGGGTTGATTCCTGCACCAAGTGTCGTTGTCATGATGGCCAGGATGCTGGCTACTGGGAGGGAAACCGCCTTGCCTCCTGTTCCCGCCTCAAAAACTGTACACCCGAGCAACCGTCTGCCCAGCAAAATTGATTTTCTCTACTCATAGAGACACAATAGTTATTTTAAAGAGTAGCACTTTGTAACTTCCTATACTGCACAATTACCAGCTATTTGAGAATCTGCAAGTCAAGAACAGCAGCTGTCTGGAACTTGCACAAGGATGCTGTGACGCATTGACAGCTATGTAACAAAGACGGGAAGATAAATAGTGCTTCATATCACATATTTAGCCAATATAAAACCAAAATAAGTTTAATAAAACTGGGATTTGAACCATTAGTTTCAATAAATGTAGTAAATATGTGTTTAACAGTGACTTAAAAAGCTTTAGTTTTTCTCCTTTATAATGCATGATTAAACCTACCTATGGAAAGAACTACCAAGCTTGACCTTTAAATGATATGTCACTTCAGATACTTGATGCTATATTTAATCTCTTTTTGGATGGAGACAGAAGTGGGTTTTTATAGGCTTTAATTACCCAGGAGGTAAATTAGTTTTAAGAAATGTTATAAAGCCAGTGAGATTATTAGATGGGACGTTATAATTGACCCGTCACTGGGTGACGGAGCGTTGAAATGTACAGTTGTGATACAACTCACATGAGGAGATGGCTAAGCAGAGCTGTAAACAATTCTGTTTGTTCTCTAAATCTTGTAGTTGCACTTCTATGCTAATTAGAACATAATGTATGACAGCATGGCCTCCCATGGGTTTACAGCAGTTGTAGACAAGGGCAATATTTAACCACAGTCCTTCATTTAATGAGGTATTGTTTCTGCATTTATAGCGGGTGAAACTATTCAAATCCCACTGCTTTATTTGAGATTTTGTCTGCTATTGGGAATGTGCTACCTTTAACGAAACTAGAATTCCCTGTGATTCCTATTCAAAGTGTATAGCTATCATTTACTTCTCGATTAAATGTAGCATGGCGTAATTATACATTCTGTAAATTGATATTAAGCAAGTCTTCCTTCAATTATGAGCCACAATCCTTTTCAAAAGCAGGCTCTAGATTAAAAATGGAAAGCAATGTTTTTCTAGTAGTTTTATTAATGTATTCCTGTGATGTACCCTGGACGATAACGCCTACACTGCTAGAACTGACTAGTTATTGTTTAATTATTCATAGAAAAACCTTTATGTGTGGTGAAGGAATAAGATCAGCCATTTTGAACACCTTCGCGTTTGAAACGTTTGAGAGAGCATGGACAGTATGTTTTCCTATTTAGTGATTGGCAAAGATTACATCAACTCATGTCTGCATGGGATATTAGAAAACATAGCAAAATTATCAGTGTGTATCCACAACATTAGAGCAAACCCACAAGAAAATTGCTCAGCACCTTTCTTCATAAGTTATAGAGCAACCAGTTAAATATTATTACATTGGCCTGTTTAAATAGTTGGCTTGTGAATTTTATTTTAACAAAAGTCTTTTGAAGAGAATAAGAGAATATGGACTCTAAGGATCCTCATGAGTCTACTTACTCTTTTTAGACAATTTTTAATTAGTCTGTTTTAAAAAAAAAAGAACTATGATGGTGTATGATTCATACACCATATAACATTCCTAAAGGGTATGAGATGCTGAATGCATGGTACTGGTAATTTACACCAACTCATAGATTCAAATATAAAATAGATAATGTACAAAAGCAAAATAAAACATCAATTTGTACTTACTTAACGTGTAAGGTTTTTGTCTGGAGTGGTCCCTTTTTTACGGTCATTGGGAAATTTAGGCTTCTGCCATCTGTGAAATATCATTTCCTTATTTCCCCCAGATATTTTCCACATACCTTTTAGAATTCGACTTGTATCAAACAGAATAAAAAACATAACAAAAAGCAGTAAGCAACAAAAGAGAGATGGCTCAGTTGTACCAGTAAAAATATGTTTACATGAAAAGAAAAGAACATTTGCTGAAACAGGTTTGAAGTCTGGCACCACACTGTTCCTAACACGGCGAGAGGAGGAAGTGGACTCAAAGGCAGGACAGAGAAGAGCTGTGTGGCTGGCAGCTGGTCTTTGTAGATAGATTAACTGAGAACTGAAAAAATACAGGGAAACAGTCTGACAATAAACAGACACAACTCTGGGTCCTGAAAAGAAACAGCGTGGAGTGATCCAGCAAAGAGCGACTGAAAACCAGGGGGAAAATATTACAGGGGTATAAATTACATACAAACAGCAGGTGAGGCAATGACTAATGAAATCCAGGTGTGAAATAAGAAGTAATTACAACTGAATAGAAAATGGGGAAAAATAAAAAAAATAAATCTGGAAATGCAGTTTACTTCTGGCTAAGGAGCCAGAGGTCAATGCAAAACAAAAACACCTTTTCAAGTTTATGAGAGGTGTATGAACAATAGTGAAATCAAGAGAAAAAAAATGTATGTACTTGGCCTACATATAAAAATCTAATATGTATTGTCAGACGTTGATTGACAGTATCTTTAGAAACCTGAGAATAAACAGTTCCAGTAAACACACCATCATACAATCTTTAACATCAGATTTATTGATTGTATAGAAAAAGTAGGTTTGATATGACATAATGCATTCTATATAAGATATAACATTTTCAACATTCAATGTACAAAAAAGAAAAAAACATAGCTATAGATACAGTAAAGTTTAGAAATACTTACAGGCTTGAAGATCCTGTCTGCTGTCAGCAGCAGATGAGGAAAAACTGTACTTGCAGACATGTTTCTAATATTTAAACAGAGGTGTGCTTGACCACTGGAACAGCTTTAAAAGTCCAATGAGAAACATCAAGCACTCCTGGTGGCTGTTTGATTCTCAAGTGGAGGCTACATATGAAATACATTTTTTGCTTAATGTGTCTGATGCTGATCACATGGAAGCCAATCCACTCTGATAATAATTTCCATCATTTTCCATCTCAAAACTGATCACATGAAAGGTTTCTTGTCATGTAAAGAGTATCCGCGTTAAGTTAGAATCTGTCTTATTTTAAAGCTCCATACCACCAATTTCACAAGAGATTTAGCCTGTGAATGCAAGTGCTGTTTGTGTGCAGCAGATTATTGTGCAGGGGGAGGTGTGGGACACTGTGGTTTCCATGTAACCCATCTGCTGGCCTGTTACCATGGAGAGGGACTCAGACAGAAAGACCAATCAGCCTGGCAGCCAAACCAAAATGATTTGATAGTTGGTAAAATCACCCAAGTGAAGTCATTAAGCGGCAGGAGCTAAAATTGGTTTTCTAAATAGTTTAGTCAGTAGCTTCTGCATGCCTTTCTTTGGCATGTGTGCAGTTAAACACTCATGCAGAACCAGCCTGGAAATGGGAGCTACGGTAACCCTCTCCAAAGACATTTTATTGCACATATTGTTACAAATGGGATGCCTCATAAAATACCTTCCTGCTGCAGTTTGGCATGTTTGCGCCTGCGAAAAAATCCCCATTACCTGATCACACATAAACATGACACTATGATCCTGCTCTGAGACTTGAGTATTGAGCTCATTCTCCCTTAAAAGTCATGTAGTGTATAAAAGTTGAAAAAATGTGGAGTGGCCATTTAACTCAGCTATAATGGGAAAGGTCGGTGTAATGGCTGCACTGTTATCTGTTACGCTGTAAGCTTCCCAACAACAGGCGGAATAAAATATCCCACTAAGGTTGTTATCACCTCAATTCATCAACGATGTCTCCAAAGTATGCAGCAGAGGTGAGTATGTCGGCAATACTGACCAACTGTTTGAGAGCTGTTTGTGGATTGGCTTCATCATCTTTAGTGTAAGGGACACAAATAAACAGAGGACCATGGCAAAAACAGATAAAAACACAAACAACAGAGGACAAAAAAGGAAATGAGAAGTGGATAGAAGATGAAAAAGTTGGGAGACAGAAGGATGCTCACATGGGGATGTGTGCTGAGGAAAAGAGATTAGAGAAAATTAAGATACAGAGACTGAAACACACAAAAGAGCCCCTGTCGATATCTATTGAAAGACGAAGCCTTCTTGTGAGGCACAGCTGTGCCTAAAGTGGGTCCGCCACAAAGCACAATAGAGAGCCATTGACATATAGCCCAAACTGGCACAGTGAGAAAAACAAGGCAATGAAAAGAAAGATAAGAAAGGGGGTGAAAAAAAAGGTGGCAGAAGTAAATACCTTGTGCGCCTAGGAGTGTGTATTGAGGGGAAGAGCAATCATACTCTCCAACAGCCTAGAGGCAAAGAGCCAAACAGATGGGAATGTTTTTTGCCTCAAGGTTGAAACAAATATCTCCTAAATAGAGGCCCTATTTATCTGTGTGATTCAAAATTCAAACAGATGCAGGATTTTACTCAGAATCTCCCTTTCCTTGAGAATTGTAATGATATGTGAAATTAGCATATGGACTTCTGTCTTTTCCAATGATTTAAAAACATTGATTTTCCTAAAAAAAGACCTTTGAATTAGCAGATGACTTCTCAAGGCATCAGAGTTTGGTGGTCAGGCGTCAGCAGTAATGAGGAGGGGGGTGAGGAATTAGAAAAAGAGAGGAAGAGGAGCAATGTCTCTGGCAATACTGCAGCAACTTTCACTTGATGATGACAGAACCATGAACAAACACCTACTTGTTCTCACTAAGGGATTTGCGTATGAGTGAAATATTTTGTGTAGGAAAGATCTTATATGTATTGACCTATTCATTTTGCCCATAATGAGATGTGCAATTAAACAGACAATGATGTAGCGATCACGGCTGCATTTAAGAAATCTGTCAAACATCTCAAATGGTAACATCTCAGCTCTCCCTCATCAGGAGAACATCACTCTGTAATTTACAACTTCAGGATATGATCATTGTTTTACTGTTCTGGAAGATTGACAGAAAAAGACAGCAAAGATAAAATGTGGCATATTAACAATATCAATACAGGTTTATGAACTGTGACACTTAAAAGAAATCTTGATTAGATTGTAGGCATGAGAAAGACCATTATGATGACTACTTTTCACTTTATATATGTAAAAGTTTGTAAGAGTTAGCTTTTACATCCACAATGCTTTTTGACTGTAAAACGTGTCCTGACAGCTCAGTTTGGATATCTGTGCCTCTTATGTTAATATTGGTTAGCATCCAATGTTCAACACATAAAGGTTTCGAATCATAACTGAGCTGTCAGTATGGATCAGACCTTCAGGTCTGTAATTTTGGTTTCTAATGCCTTCCATAGAGAGTCAGCTACAGTTTTTAAAGTTTTAGTATGTAAAAAAAGTGAACAAAAAGGGAGTCCATAGGTGTTTGTTACCGCTGATTTCCTGTCAGCGTGTTCACCAGTCTTCTGCTGTAGATGCAGGCACAAAACACATTCATTGATTGATTGCACATGGTTGGAGTAATGAGATCCAAACAGGTGATTCCCAGACCTAAATGCCAACATGAAACCGTCTGTTTGCCTCATATGTCACCATAAACGTGAGTCTCTTACACATCATCCATCTGACACCGTCAATGGATCATCACTGCATGATTTGTTTAAGGTTCCAGTTGGCGTCCAGTGGCAATCAAATGACGTCACTGTGGACGCTCAGAAAGTTCATGCTTTAACGGCCTTTGTAAAGTTGCCCTCTGATGATCTGAAAATTAATTTTTCATCTGGCAGCGGCATGATTTTGATTTTATTGATAGGATCCTTGTACACAGCCTCTGTACTTCCTCTGAACTCTGCAAAACTTCCAGAAAAGTGTTTCATCACATCAGTAGATCCTCTTTTCCGGAAGCAAGTTTTTTGTCGATATGCTGCTGGAGGCCCTCCAGTCTGGAGTGGATTGTTCAAGCAATGACTCCGAGTCAGCTTCTGCTGGCAGTAGATCCTCCAACGTTTTGGTCCTCGTGCCACTAATTTAAAGTCACTAAGTGGTAGTGCAGGACAGATGTGACACCTGCCACTGGCTGTTTGAAGAGGCTGTAGGTGGAAAGAGTCTGAGTCCTAAAAGAGAGAAATATCAAGCTGAAATATCAAAAGACCAAACAAAGAGGAAAGGGGGGGGAGAGAAAGAGACTCTGTGATGTGCTTGTGATGAGTTGTGTCAGCTCATCTTCAATCACAAGTCTTTCCAAATGCTTGGGATACACTTTTGCAACTCTCTTGTTTCTCTTCATATCCTCTCCCTGCTCTGCGAAACCAGTCAGCTTGTATCACCCACCTCAACTTTCTGTCTTTGATTCTCTCTAGCCTTTGAAGGGCCGAGGCGGTGGCTTTCCGATCTCCACAGAGATGTTTGTGTACAGGGGATACTTCTTGACCTCCACCAGTCTGTAAGTCAGAGAGCTGATGCCATCCTTCCTCATCGTGTTCTTTGTGTTCTGAATTTTGTTGAATCTTCAAGTTGAAAGGTTCCAGGCGGAAGAGAGGAGAGGGATGGGGAAGGGAAGGAAGAAAAATAAGATACAATTTAGTGGGAGGAAGAGGACATTTTACAAGGTACAATTTTCATATTTACATGTATTTTTTTTTACAATGGACACTTTCTGATTCTGGGATCTCCTTCACACCATACAATATTTATATATTTTTATAGGAGATGATGGAGCTTCTTCTTTAAACATGCATGATTTAAGCATAGCAAAGAATAGAGGAGTAGAATATATTAATTTTCTAAGCCTATTTAATCCAATTCAAGGTCGTAGGGCGGGCAGGAGCCCATTGCAGCTGCCATTGGGTGAAAGGTAGGGCACGATACAGGGCCACAGAGAGACAGCCATGCGCTCACATTCAGTCCCAAACTAATCAACCAACTGACCAAACAGGCATGTTTTTGGAGGGTGGGAGTATCAGAAAGAGCCAATACATATCCAACTTTCCAAAGGGTTCTCGGATTCAGACGAGGATAAGTACAAATTATACAAATACATTTTTGAAACAATGAGATTGGAAAAAAATAAACAAAGAAAATTTTGTTTCTCTGTCTTCATAACATCCACAGACCTATTAGAAGCATCTTGAACGCAAAGAGAAGAAACCCTCTTGACCAAGAGGTGGTGCTGTTACATTGCCACTCAAAAGCAATGAGCGGTAGTATCTGTGATGTCTGCTTGACTTTCTCTGAACTGTGCTGAAAAATCCCTCCCAATTGGCTGAGATACAGCAAGTTACATCAGAATCTGCTCATGTTTCAGTATTAAAGCCGGAAAATAATTCACAGACTGTCTCAAACGTTTACACACAGTCACACAGCTGTGCGGCTGAGCTTCAATCCAGCGTGTGACGCAACCTTTGGCATTCAGAGGAGTCACACACAAACACACATCCTCACGACGCCATCGTAGTAGTAACAGTTTTTGCTGCCATTCCGAACGGAAATGAGGCCACAGCATGTGAGTGTCTAACAACATGTTTACAACACGCCTGTCTTAAAATTACTTCCCTGTCCATGAATAGAAAGAGCTGATGTGTGTGAACAAATGGCTGTGGCACATTCACTGTGTAAAAAGACAACAATGACGGACTGCAACAAAAGATGTCTCCTTAATGATATGCTTGGACGTTCAAGTGGAGTTGACACTTGATTCCGGCACGGACCAGTGAGTCCACAGATTTCTGTCAGAGCTGACTCTCCCTCTTTCTACATCACTTTCTCCTTCTGTCTCTCTCAAATCAAATCAAGAGACACTTTACTGGCATAAATGAAAGCTGGAAAAATGTTGTCAAGCGTCTTTCCGCTGAACAATAAAACACGATAACATCCAAATAGAATTGTGTGTTGTGTTATCTCTACAAAGGACTGGCACTTCTATCCAAAGGGAGGGGGAATTAGTTTAAGAGAGAGAGTTCAAGAGGGTATGGGGACTAGTAAGTTTCAAGTGAAATGGCAGGTGGGTGGCAGGGAAGAAAAATGAAGGATAAATAGAGAGAGAGATGAATATATGTGTCTGAGAGTGACAGATAGACGAAGATGCTCTGATATTAAAAATGAAGCAAATGGGAAGAAAAAAAGAAAAATCTTCATCTGAATCCATCAAATACTGAGGATTAAGTCTACTGAACTAATCCCTACATACATATAGAGAGTATCAGATTCATGCAGACACACATGCGCACACACGCATAATTCGATGTGTTATGTTTCATTTTAGGAAGTTAGAGGGCGAGACAAAGACAATGCCTGAATATTCATTAGCCTGATTTCCAAAAATCCTAACTGGGCTAAGTAAAGCTCTACTTTAACGGTGTCGAAGCTCTCAAAGGAAAACATGTCTAGTTTAAGATCTCAACAATATCAGATGATGCCAGCTACGGAATTATTTTCTATTTTCTGTTTTGACTTTGTTCCCATGACTGTGTTGGATAGAAGTCTCAAAAGACAAGACTGAGAATAGCGCATTTAGTTGTTTCCATATTGAGAGCAGCCATAGACTTTCTACAAAAGATGAACGTTGCCTCCGAGTCTGGAAGGTGAAGCCAGTGTGTCTAAGAATGCATTTTTTGGAATGGACAGCAGAGGGAGTTTGTATAGAAATCTGTAACAAACTTGAAAATAGCATATATGTTTACAAAGAAAGGCAACATTTTGCCAGTTTTACCTAGCCTCCTTTGCCTACCATTCTCATTTTTGTAAAATAAAAGGAACAAAAAATATCTAATGAATTGGATTTTTAACAAAAAGGTTGAATAGTCCCTTTTTCCCCCTATCAAAACTAGACCACAATTTCATAAAACATTTTCTCAAATTTGGAGAAATAAATCACACAATACATATATGTGAGAGACATATCTGCTAATGTTAATTCAGTAAATACAAACATATACAGTCTTATTTTCTTTTTTATTGATTAAATACAGGGATTTAACTTCAATTACTTGTAAAGTGTTCTGGGCTTGGGCCATTTAAGCTGTTTACAGTGCTAGCTGAGCTAGTTGATCCTAGCAGCTTTGCAGCTGTTTTACAGGCTAAATGGTCTCTTGATTAGATGCTCAGTAATTGTGTATGAAATCCCTTCTGAGGTTTGTTAATAGCATTTTATACATACTCAGGTTGATACTAAATTGAGAATTTAAAACAAAATGTACACACACACACACAGACACACACACACACACACACACAAACACACATACACAAGTGTAGAGGTACCCTTGGTATCTGCAGTGTCCCAGGATGATGGCTGATGAATGGAATATTGAACAATGCTACAGAGCAACTCATTCAATTGCAATGCAAAAGGCGTAGCTTGCCAGAGAAAATGTGTGTGTGTGCTAACAGATACTTGGGACTAGTGATGAATGTGCCTCTTTCTTACCTCCACTAGCCCAATACCTCATTGGTATGCCTAAACACAATCTGTGAACGGACAAAGAGAATGGACTCCTGTGTGACAGAGTGTGCACTTTTGGGTGAACGTGAATGGAAAAGTATGTGGAAGATAGCTTGTCAGGCAGCCATGGCAACACTTGTTTTCATAAGATGTGGACATTGGACAGATATACCCCTATACGCCCGAAAAGGCCCAATAATTAATCTAAATCAGAATAGAACAGCAACCCTGTGCCCTGAGACAAAGAGGCAGAAATCTGGAAAAGCTGAGATAGAGTGATTATCTTTTCTGACTCAGTTTGATGTCTTGGTAAAAAAAACAAACACTAAAGCCATCTGTTGGAAACTCAAAGTCAAACTATAAGGAATTTTCTGAAGACAAGTTTAAATTCTGCTATTTATTTAATCTTTTTTGTGACATGAAGTGTAAAAGACGTAGAAAGGTGCTTGATATAGAAGAGTACAAAAAGTTCCTTCTTTAAAAGAAAAATGTTGATTTTTTAAACAATCAATCTCGACAGAAAATACTTTTAAACTAACATCCAATATATATATATATATATGTAAACCCATTCTCCTACACTCATGGATTCTGACTTGTGCTTTTATATGCTTTGCAAAACATGCAACAGATGAAAAAAGCATTGCAAACTGCAACTTGCTGAAGTCAGCCTATGGCTCTAAGCACAGTTCTGTTTGACTACCATGTCTCAAAGAAAAGAGGTTACCCTGGTGACCAGCTTCTCATCACTACTTTTCATCCGCTGAAAATTTGCTGAAAATACCAGTGGAAAAATCAAATTGGTTCAACACTTTCCCGCAGAGTGACAGAAAAGCTGCACTATGATGAATGTTATGCCTGCTTTAGGAGATGTGAAGTAATTAATACATTTCCATGTGCAAATAGGGATACAGAGAAAAGAGAGAGCAGAGAAAACGCTCTCCTGCACTCACAGTGCCTGAGTACCGCCATGAGATGGCCATTCTTCTTTTCACAGCCTCCCGACTAGTTTGAGCAGCCACGCTTTAAGTCCAAGCCCACTCCTGTTCAAAAGAATCTTTAAGACGAGATTACCGGGACGTTATAATGAGGGTCCAGAAGGGCTGTAAAAACCAAATTTGTGCCGACTAATGGGTGGCTATTTTCTGCCCCCTCGCCACAGTTATGAATAATATATTCACTCCAAATAAAAAGGGTCCCTGTTGGTGTCACCTCTTATTGGGGAAGTGTGGTCTGCGGACCAGAAAGGCAGTACGGAGCAACCGGCAAGACGAGGAGCAAAACGAGAGCTGGGTATTAATCAGGCGCACATACACACAACATAGAAACGCACGCAGAGAAAAGCACACACACACACTTTCTTTCAGTCTAGAGGCTGATTTATTGATTTTGATGAAGGCAACTAGACCACTCTGACCTAGCCGGCTCCCATCTCTATTGGTGTCATTTCAACAGGCAATTACTGGGGAATCGTTGAACCTTTCTATCTCCCTCTGTCACATACCCAAACACACACACACACTTAAACAAAACAATGATGGATGATGCATTACGCCAGGCTGGTTATTTTACACATCTTGAAATTTAAGTTATTGTTGCAATTTCAGAGTATGGATTGTTAGTTTTAAAACAAAATCACATCTTGATGGATGCTTCATTTCTTTCAGGGGTTGCAGAGCAGAAAATATGAAAAATAAATAAATAAAATGTGTCTGTCATTTCTTCCCTGCTCGTGTCTGATTCTTAGCTAACTTGAGATCTCAGACATTTAGTGTTGCTTGATTATTTCTTTTTAGAGAAGATTTCCTTTGAAGACAGGTTTCATCCACAGCTCACGACTTTACGGATAAGGAGGTCTTTTTTCACATATGACTCTCTTGCCAGCAGTTTTTGATCTCCTTAAAAAACAGTTTAGACCAGATTTTTCTGTAAACAAAGAGGGAGAACCGGTACAAATGCTGAGATAAAATAGTTTCACATGAGATCAAAATTAAATAACATTTGAAGAAGGAACAGTTGTCCTTACATCTTCATTCAGACCTACCAGGAGCAGCTATCGATTCTTGTGCTGAAAGGCATCATTGGCCTGACTATTCGGGCATGAAAACAGGGGCTCTTAGAGGAGAACAAACAGTGATAATCCACATTTAAGCAGCTTAATGTGAGGTGCTATACTCCTGGTGATTAATATGTCTAGAAAGGCTCATATCTGTATATTGGGTCTCGTTCTCAAAGCATAAACATTTTTATGAGAGGAAATCTTTTTACACGTTTGTCTGAGAAACAATTTAAAATGGTGCAGTAAAAAGAGCAACATTTGAACCCTTGGGGTATATGTCTCTAAAAAAAAAAGCAATTTTTTGTTTATTGCAACTGTTTTGTCTTTGGCATCTTGAAAACCTTATCGGCTGGAAAGACAGAGCCTCAGATTGCTTTTATTTACATTTTGCTGGGTTATTTGGCATTTTTAGACATGAGGTCCCACACCACGCTCATCAGGAAACAGCCTGCTGTGAGTCTCAAAATTAGAAACATAAGACCCGTAAAGCTCACCAGTTAATATTAAAACCTGATTATGTCTCTGGGCTGGAGGCCCAGTCAGGCATGAAAGGATATATGCACACAGGAATCATTAACAACGATGATGCCAGAGTGATAACATTTCAGGTGACTAAAATGTTCGACCTCATCACCCCATCAGATGTACGCAGATTAGAACAGAGAACAATATTACGATTTCACTCAGACAGCTTCACATTGTGATATCCATTCATCTGGCAAGTGGAATAAGGATGGATGAAGAGGAAGATCCTTTGCAGTCTCAACTGTCCTCTCGCCTCTTCCTACAAACCCCATGACTCAGTATGTCAACATACAGCTTTCCCTGTAAACCGGGCCCAATGATCTAGACTTCCAGTCTTTAATAACACACAAACACCTCTAAGGTGTATTGATGAGAGAATTCTTCTTTTTGCTCGCAGTTTCTCATGAGGAACTGCTCAGTGAGAAAACTGCAGGTGTGCTGGACTCACAGCTGGAAGCTCCCCAGGTGTGAATGTCTATTACCAGGGTGGGAAAAAAATAAGGGGCAATGTAATCATTTAACCACTATATATTGACATTAACTGCCCAAACTGCCCACTATATATTGACATTAACTGCTTTTCAAATTTGGACAGGGTGACAGTGGACGATATGGATGAAAATTATAGAAAAATGTAAATCATATTTTACTGAAGCCCTTATTCTGCAGTTTGTTTACAGTTGGTGTGTTTCTTTCAGGAAGATGCTAAATAAAAAAAACTATTGATGGCTTTTTATTCCATTTGGTGACACAATTTTAGTAATTCTTTCAAATGAAGATGTAAAAATCTGAGAGAAGCATCTAAGCAGGACAGGTGTAAAAACAAAAGGAAATTCAATCCATTCAAATGTAAAAGCCAGGGAAAGGCCTCAGACAATGATACAGTACCTCTGTGGATTGGGCTCGTTGTGTTTGTCTCTCTCGTGCTTAATCATTCTGTAGCGGCCGATACGAACGTCTGGTCTGGACACCTTCATTCCATTTAGAGTGATCCTGCAACACATACAGATGCAATATCTATTAAGAAAGGAAAGAGAAACACAGAGACTGACCAAAGGGGAGACAAGAGGATTCTTGGAAAGGAAAACTACGACAAGGAGTGAGTAACAACTAAGTGAGATGTCATTCAAAGAAATCAAAGCACAAAGCAATATATCTGTTCCCTATGAGAAAACCCAAACCTGAAACGGTTATGTGTGCAGATGGACATGCATTTGTAAAAAAATCATCAAAGTATACTAGCATCTTTTATATTTTTAATCTTTTCCAAATGTAGTTTCTGGTTATCATATAATCATTTCAGTGCAAAAATCAGATTGGGTTATTTAGAATCAGGCAAATTTTCTTATAGGTTTGCTTTCAAACTCTGAAATCTTAAATTACTGTAAATTCCACTCGTCTAGCAGAGTTGTTGGAATTGTTTCTTTTACTTCAAATGATCAACACTGTGCAGAGAGGGGTCATTCTATCCAACTGCAAACAGCATCTGTGGTCTCATTTCCAGCTGTGTGAGTTGCTGCAGAGAGCAATTCTCTTTTTCACGTCTGATTTCTTTCCATCAGGTTTAATTAACTTTTGATCACCAATATGCTGAGTGCGCTGATAGCCATACTGTAAAAAAAGTGTGGAAAAGTTTAGAAGTCGAGTTTAGATAGTGTACTGCTACACTCTGGATCTACTGGGAAAAAAATAGGGGACAAAGAGAATTGTGTTCTTTGGCTCAGAAGAACTCACTGTTTTGAAAACTGTTGTAAGCCAGATATAGCTTCAAGAAAGAGAAAACTTGACATATAAGATACTGAGTAAGAAAGAAACACATCCGCTTTGGGAGATGTTTCCCTCTTTGGCAAAAATACCCGGGGTTCCTGCATGGAGCACTGAGTGGGACATGTAAGACAGCGTGATAACATAAAGAATCAACACAAAGGTCAAATCTGCCCAGAGATTTAAATCTGATGCAACTACAAATGGAGTATCACCCTCAGACACAACCGATATGCTTCATATAAGGGAAGGATTGATATTCGTATCTCTAAAGATATGACATATAAGTGTATAGCTTAGGAGAAATTCTTACTTACTGCGGTACTCTGAGTCGTGCAGTCTCTGTCTCAAAAGGCATCCATGCCTGATATTGCTCTTCAATAACCACTCACCTACCAATACTCCTCATGTAGAACTATTTCTTGCCTCCCTTCTTTCTCTGTTTTGCACTCTTCATGCCCTTCTTTAGTTATTCATGCTTTGGTCTTTTTTTGTTTTTTAAATTGTGCTCAATTCCCTTCTCTTCCCTTTTGTTCTGTCCTCTATACTTCAACTTGACCTTTTGAAGGCTGACACCAAATATTTGTACAAGATATATTGAAGGTTGAAATAAGTATCCAGTACTGATTAAATAGATCTATATTTTTCTTGAGATACTGCAAAAGCTTTTGCAACTCTATTCATCATGAAAATAAACTTACATTATTCTAGCCTATTGATGAGGTGGAAACATCTCACATTTCATCGTTCCATAGCTTTGACCAGTGGCCTTTGCGAGGATTTTCTTTACTAACTCTGAAAAATCTAATGAAATATCTAAATGAAGCACTGTCATAGATTTATGTTTAGCTTAACTTTGTCGCTCTGTCATTAAAGACCTGCTCAATTGGTTTGTCTTTTTGGAAGAACCTGCATTAATTATGACAATTTCTGGAAATAAGGGTATCAAAGTGGGACCAGTGGGAATTTTCTGCCTGGATATTCTTTTTATCAAGCAGACTTTTAAGGAACAGCTACTTTACTGTCAACAATATAAAAACCTTAAGGACTGGCTGAGATGTTAAAGCTTCTTTCACAGACCATTTGAGGGCACTGACTAAACTATCACATTAGGTCACATTTCATATTTCCAGTTACATAAATTATGGTCTAAACACCTTTGAGCTCATCACTTGAAAGCAACATAATTTCCCCTTTAGCTAAGCAGCCAATATAAACACTTCATGCCTAAAATAAGGTTATATTGCTGATGACAGAAAGGCAGAGACTTTATTTTGCCTGGAAGCTGCAATGCCTAAACTATGTGTGCATGTAAAAACAGCAAAGACCATTTGTTATTGCCCATTTCTGCAATCAGAAAAATCTTTTTTTTTAATAGTTATTGGCAGCTTACAGCCTATATAGTTTATTATTTAAAGGTTAAAGAATTTATTCAACCGTCTTTATGCCAAGTTGGCCAAGTTGGCTTTCTCACCCCTGTTCTATTAGTTTTTTCACAACAAACAGCATTCTTGTTCAGCTTTTGTTAACGCTAACAATTATGGCAGTTTTAACCTAAACAGTACTAGTATTTCTGCATTTAGTATTTCTAGTATACTAGTATTTCTGCATTGCATGTGTTTTTCTGCATTCTACATTATGTGCAACCTTTTTCTCTTTCAATACTCTTATTCGAGGTTTTTAATACTCTATTTTAAGCCTCTGCCACTGTTTTTTTCATCATCACCTCTTTGTTCTCTTTCTGTCTGCACATCTCCATCTCTCGCCTCTCACACTTTCCATCTTCAGTTCTTCTTCTCTCATTTTTTCTCTTTGCAGACAAGCAAAATGTAAACCCAAAATGCAGCTTCATATCTTCTAAGCAAGTCAACCAGTCGGTTCAAACCCGAACTCCTTCAAAACAAGCCCAAACTATATGAAAGTGAAACAGACCTGTGGCTACGCTTTTCTCATGTTCTCAGGTCTCTGCGATTTAGCTTATTTAGCAAACGGTCACAGATGACTGCCACTGTCAGGAGATGCATGTGTGCACGTGTGTGCATAATTCTTCAGATTCATTATAGTGCAAATCGGAGTTTGACAGTAAGAAAGGCCACTTCACCATTCTTATCCACACTTTCTCAGTGAGCTTAGCTTCACGTTATGCACAGCTCTGCATATTTAAAATAATCATCTTCTTGCCTGTTGCCCTGTAAAGGGCATAAGGCGAATAATTTCGTCTTCGCCAAATTCTGTGATATTTTTGTTGTATTACATAATTCCATTGAAAGAGCGATAATGTAAAGTGCATACTTCCATTAGAGCACAATTTTTTTATGTGTTTCACAAAGCACTCTTGGTCTACTCTTGCAGTTACACTTTAAGTTGTGATAGGGGTTGCTAATTTCAGCATGTCTTTGTAAAATAATCAGTCATTGATGTGGGCTCTGTATGCCTCAGAAAAGTACAAAATTAAACCTAAAGTATGTAGGATTAATCATAAATCCATTTATTCAAATACAAACCTCCTTCAGTGTGTAAGGAGCACTTAATGAAAGTTAGTGACCGATGTGGAAGTCATATATGACTTAAATGAAAAGTGAGTGGTGGAACAGATTGGTTCAAAAGTCAAAAGAGCTGAGAAATAAAACTTTGACGGTGCACTTAGCCCGAGTTGCTGGACTGTTGCATATCAAAACACACTTTTATTCAGAAAAAAACTGCAATCATTATTCCATTGCATCATTCCATTGCAGGATGGAAGCTGAAGCATCGCGAACTGGCTCATACTTCCAGCTGAACCGAAACACTACAAAGACTTTTAGCCTTCTCCAGCTCATTACGGGTTTGTTTAGATCTCATTGTTCTCGTTACCTTCCGTAGTGTAACAGCAGAGATTTTTCAGCTACAAAAAAACTGAAATCTTTTTTCAGCGGCAAACGATAGATATACAAAGTGGAGCATATGGCAGCTAAAGAGCCATATATTTCCCTAAGGAGTAGAAAAACTGAACTAGAGGAAGAGTGAATGTGTGATTTACATAAAAAATCTGTTGTATTAAAATGGATGCAAAAATAAGTAACCGTTTGTACAGTGTACAAACGGTTGCGACTATAATAACAGCTTGCTGAGCAGGATGACTGTTACTTAACATAAGTCGATGATATGAACAATCACAACCAGTTCACATTATGTGTTGGAGTGAACTGCTTACATTAAAGTTATTTTAACAGTGTATATTAAAGATTAAGCATGAAGTTAACTTGACCTCTTCCAGATCTCTCTTCTGTGGAAATTCTCTCGTCAGCTGCTGGGAAAAACAATATTTTGGAGATTTGGTATAAGATGATTGCTTACGCTTTAGTGGCTCGGGGTGAATCATTTCCCCCTTGTTTCCCTCATAACTCAAAATCATTGTTACAAACACATCTGCTCTTTCTGTGCGGTAAAATGAGCAGAAGCAGTGTCGAGCTTTCGGTTAAGACAGCAGCAACTCCAAACATTTCCAATCTTTATCATCTTTTCTTGGTCAAAACACAGACTTTTTCTGACACGAGAATATCACAACATGTCTATAAAGACCACCATTTCTGAAAGTTAACTCGAAGTCAACATCGACGCAACTTCATCCGTTAATGTCACCGCTTTCAAAACCTTCTTTGAAGGTGTCATCCAGCAGTCCCTAAGGGTCGGCCGCCTCTCCCTCACCTCATCTATCAGTGTGAAACAGACACACAGGGCATAAAAAAGTCTTATTATTCTCCTTGAATGCCCAGTCCTCAGGCATAAGCGGTCACGTTGCTTGATAAAGGAGACTCGGGCTCATAATGTTTCATAACGCGTGTGTGTGTTTGAGCGACACAATGCTGAAAAACTGCAAAATGAAATTGTGATTGTGAGCCTATAGAGCAAATACATGCAATGCCTTTGTGTCGGTCCAGTGTGTTATTATTAAATCAGCTTCCACCCTGGTTTCTTGTAGAAAGCATAGTGCCAATGGGTAAAAACAAAGCACAACAAAAGAAGACAAAAGAAACCTTCAGCTTAAGAACAGTAACACACAATCCCTGTGACACATCCGTGAGTGGTTATTGTCTACGGCTCTACAAGACAGGAGACAGTAACACAGTGTGACAGCCAACTGTGAGAATTTACGTAAGAGGAACAGGTCTGTGAGGATGCCGTGGAGCTGAGGGATCTAAAGCTTCAGCCTCCCCTGGGTGATATATATAATCCAGAGACAACACACT